TATATATATGTACACAAGATTGTGCGAATCTGTGCGTGTGTTTACCTGTCATCTACTTGTCCTTGGTCCAACATATGATGGCCATCACTGATGATGGAGTACAGAATCTGTTGCCTGCTAAACATCTCTGCCTGGAACAACTTCAAGCACACACATATATTAATGAAATAAATGTACATACAAAGACAGACATTAATGCACATGTACTGATTCTCTAACCTCATGGTCTCTCTGCTGCTCCAGCAGACTCTGGTAGTTCCCTGAGATCTCAGCAGCCAGCTTCTGTTCAGTCTGAGACAGGAAGTCCATCCACGCCTCACACTTCTGGAGGAAACTCTGATGCTGGAGCAACACTGCTTGCAGTTTACTGGAGAGGGACAAAAGGGAAGTTAAGTTGTTTGGAACATAAACAACATTAATGTCAAGATTTCTACCACTTTATAACAAGAATGTTACATGCCTTCGCTTCTAACTATTAGTAGTTTACACATATTTTTTCATATGTTATGAGGCATTATAATGTGTAATAAAAATAATCCATGAGGTACCAGGTTTTGTATGTTTCGTATATCACCACTATTTATTCCATGCATGCTCATTGCAAAGTTGAAAGCATAAAGCATTTTATTGATGCCTCACTGACATTTATACCCTGGCAGGCAATACTTCACTAATCCTTTTTTTCACATACCAGCATTCATTATAGTGGCTTAATATGAATGTGTGAGCACAAGTGAAATTTGAAGGTTTTATGTACCTGAATCTCTCGGTAAGGTGAGCGGAGTGAGCGGCCCAGGCTCTGTTGAGACTTTGCAGCCGTTTAACATCTCTATCACTGACCGGCAGTCTGTAAACCAACTCATTCACACGTTCAAGATCTGGAGACAGACTGCTCAGCTTCAGTAGGTGAACCTGGAAACACATTATTTCACATTTTCAGTAGGCCAGTCAAAGGAACAAACACACTTTGCCCATTAAATTAAAGTGAATCTAATTAATTTAATTTACTGCAAAGATTTTTGTCAGGTTGATGTATATTACATGATTAATTCAAACAGAATTTTAGATGAAAAAGCAGCAGATGTTCAAACACAGATAAAACAACAATTACAAAGACAGAAGCTTCATTCATACCTTCAGTTTTTCCATACGTGTCTGGACCACAGCGAGGTCTGGTGAGCCAACTGGGTCAGACTCCTTCAGCACTTCCTCAGCTTCGTCAGCCTTATGGATCAGTGTGTCCAACTGCTCTCTGAAACCCTCACAGGCCTGAGATCCAGACTACAAATATCAGACAGACACAATGAGAATACATAAGTGATGTCCTACAGTATTTCTATACTGGAGTTGTGTACAGGAAACTGTGATGTCTATGACATTCTGCTCATGCTTACAAATCCCTGCCACCCTACCTGCAGTACTTCCTGCTGCCTCTGAAGGGCGTGCTCTAGTGTTGCTAGGCGATGTGTGAGTGACAGGTGGTCAGACTGAAGGGCTGCTGAGGACGAGGCGTCGACTTGGCTCTTCAGTTGTTCCCCTAAAGCCTGCAGCTGCTGGAGGGACTGCTGCACTGAAGCCTGGTCACCAAGGCACGCCTGCGACAGTAATGTCACCAGAGAGAGGCAGGTTAGGAACAGAATCGTTAGATGTTAAGAGTTCTGAGAAGATTTACATGTAAACTAATGCCACAGGCATGACGGGACTAATTATTCATTGCAAAGGCAGTAAAGTGAAAGGACTGGATTTGCTAAATGTGGTTGATATTTTCCCCGCCCAAAGAAAGCCATGTGATCCACTTGTGGAAGGTTTTGTGTAAAGCTTTCTGGTAAAAAGCTTTCCAGGAAGGACAGCCCGTGCACCAACAACATTCAAGATTTCTAAACCACTTTGTGTTTTGTAAAAGTTTGCATCAGTAATCCTCAGTCAAAATAAAGGTCTGCTTACAGTATTTAGGATATTGTGTCTCTAGACATTGCTCGGCATGGTCCTACAAGCCCAGCGTGACACCGGGGGACCCCTGTAGTGTAAATCAGGGGCCTGTCTTTCCCTTTGCAACCTCCTTTTCAAAAGGCTTTTGTTAGATTTTGCTGTGGATCTACATTCAAGGAGACAAAAGAGCAGGGTGCAATTTGGTATTCTGCAGCTGGGAAAGAGGCTTTGTGAGTCCTCATAGTGAGCTGACAAGCTGTTTCGGAGCTTATTCACAAAATCTTAGAGGAGGCTGAGGGTAAGCTTTGATTGCTGACTGAAAAAAAGTTCACAAAAAACACATACTGGACTCACGTGTTGTATTGTCCAATCTCTACTCACATCACAGTCGTTTATCCAGGCGCTGCTCTCCTCCTCTGTGATCTCCCTGTCCGTGGCGCTCTTCAGCAGGCGATCAGCACGTTCTTCCTGTTTCTGAACCGCTGTCACACATTGGCCACACAATGACCTGTAGCGCTGCCACAACACCAGCAGGGCTTTGCTGCTCCTCAGCTGCTCTGAGATCTGCTCTAATAGACTGTTCCACCTATAACAAAGGAGAAGAAACATATTACATAGTGACTTTGGCACAGAAGTTAGTTGATTAGAAGAATTACAGCTGCAATTTGATTTAAAGGAATACCTCACCCCCCCAAACGACTAGTTATATATCAGTTACTCACCCCATGCTACAATTATTGAGAAAAGCCTTGATTAATTGAAGTCATAGACAACTGCATTAAACAACAGCAAAACCATCAAAACATCTGTTCATAAACTCTCACACATCTCAGCAGTATAATCCAAGTCTAATTCCCCCAGTTGTATGCTCAGTATTTCCCAAACAGACAGCCATTTTTGACAGAGAACTGAAGGGAAAGTGAAACGTTCCTATATTAACATTAATTTACCTCGCTGAACACAGGAGCTGCTGGTCCTCTGCTGCCTTAACTGACTGTTTGTGTTATTGAGTGACTTTGGCATTGTCAAGGGTTAGTTTGGTTTCACCAAAGTCACACAATAACAAAAACAAACTTACTGATCAAGGCAGTGGTGGACCAACAGCTCCCATGTTTAGTGAGGTAAATTGCTGTGTTTTTGTAAATGGAGTTTGGCTTTGAAGAGAGACCATATATAAGTTTCATTTCAGTTCAGTTCCCAGTTGGAAAGGGCTGTCTGTTTGGGAAGTACTGAGTATAATACTGCATAAATGAGACTTGGATTATACTGCTGAGATGTGTGAGATTTTGTGATGTTTGGATATAGTTTTGCAGTTGTTAAACATGGACCCCTATAACTTCAATTCATTCAGAATTTTCTCTGTTTTTGGATTCTTTGTTCATCATGGGGCATGCAAGAGAAAGTTTTCTTCACATAATTAACATAACACAGGGTGAGTAATTAATATACAAATGGTCATTTGAGGTGTGAAGTATTCCTTTAACTCAGGGACATGTTTTTGTTATCCCCTACCTAACGTTAACATCCCGGAGGGCTGTGTTGAGTGTTTCAGCCACAGATGGGTGACACTCTGTCAATAGCTGGTGTGTTACAGATCCAAACTTCCTCAGGCTGCTCTCCTGTTTGTCCATCTCCTCCTGCAGGTTCTTAAAAAGACAGAAACATACTAAAGTTAGTTTCATCTTCAGTGTTTGTGAACTTTGCTCAACCCATGCTATGTCTTTTAAACACTGTGCAGATGTTCTTATTCACAATGACACTAGACAGTTGTTGCAGTAAAATATCTTAAGCATGACTTTATGTTAACAGAAACAAAGTTTTTTAAGGGGTGTGCCACATTGCACACATCTGCAGCACTCACCTCCAGACTCTCCACCTGCTGCTGTACTGCCTCTAGAGACCCGTTAAGGAGGTGCAGCCTGGACACAGAATACCTCCCCTCCATCAGGTACCCATTAATCTCATCTGAAGCTCGTCGGTACAGCGTCCACTGCTCCAGCACCGACCGCAGGCTCACCTTCATCTGACTTATCTGATAGGAATGATGGGAGACAGAACAGGTAAATTGTCTTAAAGCAGAATAGGACAATTTAGGCAACTACCATAACAGTAAGGGATTCTTGGAGCTCACCATGTGGTCCAGATGAGCCCAGGATTGGTTCAATCCTTTGAGGGTCTCCTTCACAACTGAGCAGGCTGCTCCTTTCTTATCCTGAATGAGTGCATTTCCTCGTTCCTCTGCTTTCTCTAGATCCTTCTCTTTGTCCTTCACTAATTCCTCTAACTCCTGCAAAAACAAATTTTTTTTTTTTATTTTCAGAAATATAGACATTATAAAAACTTAAATTGTGTGTGTGGTATGCACAGCAGTGCTGTGTGTATGTTTACCTGACAGTCTTTAAGTGCATTCTGCACCGACGCTACATCCTCTATCCTGTGTCTCTTCTTCAGTTTCTCCTCCTGTAGTGTGAGCCAGGTTTTCAGGGCCTGAACTCCATTTTCATGCTCCAACCAACCTTCCAAAAGTCCTTCCAAAAGCTGAATCTAAAATGCAAACACAATTCAGAACAATGTAAGAACACAGCAAACTAAAAATATAAGACGAAAACATTTCAGGTCTAACTTCACTGGGACTGTAACATTACCTTTTCAGTGATGAGCCCCTGCAGTATCTGCCACCGTCTGTTCATAGCTCCCAGCTTCTCAGCAAAGTCTGTTTTGTCACTGCGCTTACCCTCCACATCCTGACTGCTGATTTGCAGCACTGACTGGTTTACAAAGTCCACAGTCAACTGCTTACAGGTCAGATCTATGCGGAAACCCTGTGCAACACAAACAAGACATGATGAGGAAGAGCAATAAGAAAAAAAGACATGATAAACATTACATGTCAAGTTCTTTGGCAGCCTAACCAGAATAACACAACACTTATTTACCTTATACTTCTGCAGGAAGTCCTGGACCACTTCTGAGCCTATAGCTCCCATGATTTTATCCTGGTCCTCCTGTATAATGTTCTCCATGAGAGAAATCCAGCTCATCAGCTCTGTGATGGCATGCCGCGATGCCAGTTTCTCCATCTGCAACTAAGGGACGAGAGCAGAGGAGTTAAAATGTTACAAAAAGCCAAAATACAGTATCATCAGCTACGACAAAACCTCTTGAAAAGAACTGACAGTCATTGAAGGTGCAATGTGTAATGCCAGGCCACATTCTCTGAATTAATAGGGGCAGTAAGGGGCTCTAAGGGGCTCTAAGCCAACCTTTATAAAACAGCTGGGCAAGAATACACAAAATTTGACCTGACTGCTGAAACTCTGAGGGCCAGTCATAATAACACACACTGCTATCTTATAGCCTTCATGTGTTTACCAGTATTGTGGATTTCAGACCTCTGCTTGACTGATTTACAATAACAGAAGAGTTAGATGAGGATATAAATACATTGCTGAACTTTATGTTGGGAGAGATCGCAGGTATCTCAAAACAACAAAAAGTAAAATTTGGACTTGACTTATTCATCCTCTTGTGTTTGACTGAGGGCAGATCATATGCTACAGTGACTCACTATCACCTCCAGAGTTATAAGTGCTATATCAACACAGGACAGGACAGAGCTACCTGGTTAGCATGCTGATTTCAATAGATATCTCTGCAACACGACACACACAGACATCACTGACATAATGTCAAAACTGTTACTTCTTCCCATTCTGTTAATAATGTTCAGTTTAAACGGACATTCTGGCCATATCTTACACATTGCACCTTTAAAGTGTAACAGCTGCTTATGTCAGACCTGGTGTAGCTTTTCTTGTACTACAGGAATACGAGTCAACAGCTCCGCCCACTGAGTGTCGATTTGGCCAAGTGCTGTCCTGAGACCAGCTGTATCTACTCTTTTCAATCGCAGGAGCTGGTTCCCAGTACTCAGCACAGATGAGCGCAAGGACGACTTCGCATCCACCTCTTTGGAAAACTCCTATCAGAAACAAATACAACAGTAAGACAAGCTGGAGTCTTACCATGCGTTCATTAATAATATAGATGTTATTATTAGGTTGTGTGGTACATTTTTGCTGCTCATGTGATAACCAAACTAACCAGGAAGGCACAGAGGTGATCTCTGACAGTCTCCAGCTCCTGAGGCACTGTCACTGACTGGGTCGTCCAGAACTCTAGTCGGTCCAGAGCCGACTGTAACCAGTGGCTCAGCTCTGCTGACTCACTCTGGTACCTGAAGTTTAAACAGGGCAAAATATGAAATTTTAGTTCTGACATCCTCTGAAAGATTAAAAGGGTATTTTCTATGTGTTCGGCCTCCAGGTATGACACACGGGATTGCTGACTCATAGCTGTGTAATTGACTTGAGATTTGATTCTTGGCACACTCGCAAACAAAACAATTTCAGACCATTGTTAGAGCCTGACCTGCTCCAGTGTTTTAGCGTGGAATCAAGGCGGTGCAGCTCCTTGTTGACTTTGGTGGTGGAGGAGAGCCAGTGTTCTCCAAGTTGGGTCAGCTGGTTCTCCAGGTCTGAACAGCCAACAGACAGAAGGAGCCTTTTGCCCTCCTCCAGGACCTGGTATAGCTGGGGCTGATGCTCCGTCAGGCTGGCCTTAAGACGCTAGAGGACAGCAGAGAGGACAGATGGATAACTGATGAATTAAAAACTCAGTATTATCAAAAACCTATCAGTGTCAGATGACATCTTAATACTGCATGAATGCATTTCTTTGTGCATCGATGTGAGTCCAGTCTTGTATAAAGTTTCTTACCTGGAAGAGACCGATCCTTTCAACAAGTCTTTCCTCTGTCTCCTCTACCAAGCCCACAGTAGGGATGCTACACTCCACAGCCTCCAGCTGTCTACACAGAGCCTGGTAGTCTTCCACAAGCTTGCTCCACGACTATCAAAGACAGGAGAAAGAAGATGTCACATTCAACTGAACTGTACTGTTCCTATTTGGTATGATTTTATGAGTCACTCATTCTTACCTCCAGTATTCCCTCCAACTCCACTCCCCTCCTGTGGGCCTGTTTGAGCACACTGTGGGCTAAGGCCATGGTCTCCTCCAGGGTCTGGCTTTCCCTCTGTGCCACCAGACCACACACTTTACTGTAGAACGTCTGGGTGAGGATCATATGGCATTCGAGACCCTGGAAAAATTCCTGTATTCAAAGAAAACATAGTGAAGAGATAATGTTAGAGAAGAAAGACACTGGTTTCTAAAAAAAACACAATTATATTGCATTTCAGTGAAACGCTACCCCCTTTTACCACCTGCCTTACTAGAGGTGTGCAGAGATGTCATTATCTGTATCTGTTCAAACAGCATAATGCTCTATCTCCCTATCTGTACCATAAATTGTCATTCATTTTATGTAACCACTTATCCTATGGATCCTATCCCAGCTGACACTGGGCAAGAGGCGGGGTACACCCTGGACATGTTGCCAGACTATCATGGGGCTGACACACGGAGACAGACAACCATCCACGCTCACATTCACACCTACAGGCAATTTAGAGTCACTTATTAACCTGTATGTCTTTGGACTGTGGGAGGAAGCTGGAGTATCTAAAAAAAACCTCACGCTGACACAGGGAGTAAACTCTGTACAGAAGGGTTCCCCCACCCTGGGGTTTGAACCAGGAACCCTCCTGCTGTGAGGTGACAATGCTAACCACTGCACCACCGTGCCACCAAATCTATTTGAACAAACATAATGACTGCCACACAGACATATCAATAATGTTTTTTTTTCCTCCCTGAAAAACAAGGAGCAACTTCAGGAAGAAGAAAACTCTGTTTCCATCACAGTATTTGTGCTTTCCGAAAAAAACAAAACAAAACAAAAAAAAAACCAACAACTTACTTTGTGTTTGTCCAGTAACATCTGAACCTCTATGACAGAAGCCACTGTCATCTTCTGATCGGCAGCCATCTTGTCCTGGGCAGTGTCCACCAGGTCTGTGAGGTCATGAAGTGCAGCTTCATACTGAGCCTTGAGAGACAAGCCGTGGTTCAGGCTGCTACGTCTGGAGCCCACCATCAGCACCAGCTCCTCATATGCATCCTAAACAGACACTGACATGTCAGTCACTGAAGGTATAGGAAACAAAAACAATGTAAAGACTCATACAAAAGTAATCCCTCTGAGTCATCACTTGTGACCCACTAGACATGTGTGGCAGTGTATTTATCTGCAGAGACTCTGTCCTCTGCCTGTACTCATTCCAAAACAAGAATGAATCTGGGGTTGGCTTTCACTTTCACTGGCAAGCGTGTTTACAAGCTGTAACTGACAATATCTGCAAAGTATGTCTTTAAGTGCTGGGACGTGATGACCCTCAGGGCAAAGTGCAAGAAAAAAAGAGCTCCACAGAGACTTTGTTATTACCTGTAGTTTGATAAGTTCCTGGTTGGAGATTTGGTCAGATTGGAGTCCCTCCGCTCTTGTCTTCAGCTCAGTCACTCTCTGCTCAAACTCTCTCAGACTCTCCTCCACCTCTGATAATGTCTACAAAAGATGCAACACATTTATTGAAAATGTGTTCTCACAAGCTAATTCACTGCATCTGTGATATTTCTATGTTTTGCATCTTTTGTGTATCTCCCTTGTTCAGTATCATACCTCTATCTGTTTGGACGCAGGTCTGTCGACAGTTCCAGCCATCTTCTGTAGCAACAGGTGTTTACTTTCACTCAGAGCTGTGAACAGCAGCCTCAGTTCATTCTGGCAAAGACAATATAAAACAATGTTCTAACAAGGTAAAGCAAGTTTCCTAATCACTAAAAAAGATGCTTCACACTCAAGTTCAATTAAAATCAGACTGGTGGTTCGACATTTTTTGCCACTGTACCTGGAAGGTTGAGTGTTCCTGTAGTTTGTCCCTCATGGCGTCACAGTGTTGTTCAAGGGTGGAGTCCAGCAGCCCCATCCTCTCCTGCAGGCCCTCCAGTGTGTCCTCCATAAGAGCTTGCTCGTCTCCCCCACACAACCGGCCCACTCCGCCACCCAGATGGTCTCTGCACAGGTTTACCTCCCTGGTCATTGCCTTCAGCTGTTTATTCAGACCCTGAACAGAAGAGCTGAGGTCAGTAACATCCCTCCACCTAGTACCATGTTAATTATATTGTCTGTTTATGTCCAGCTATGGTGTCTAAAACAACATTTGTTAACAGTGTCACTATAATACAAGTGTGTTTAATACCTCCAGATTTGTAAGTTGTGTCTCTGTGTCTTCAGACAGCAACACAGGACCAGAGAGCAGCTGGTTCTCAGCAGCATCCAACCAGGAGGAAGCTGCGGAAACTGCAGAGTACAGGTCCTGTTGGACTGTTGTCCCACCTAAAGATGCTACCAATCTGTTGTCACCACCTGCCGTCTGTGAGGAAGAACAAATAATATTTATTCAGTACATTAAAAGCTGTCAGTATGAAAGTTTTTGTTCTTTACTAATAACACAGAAAAAAATCTGTAATATGTAAGTAATGAGAGATTAAAATGACTGAAACAGACATCATTACAACAGGCGTCTGTGGTATCAGAGTCAAATATTTTGAGGATATAGAGAGGAAAAAAAGGAGGAGGTCTACTATTGTTCATTTATTTATTTATTTATTTATTTATTTATTTATTTATTTATCCTTTATTTAACCAGGTGAGTCCCATTGAGATTGACATCTCTTTTACAAGGGAGTCCTGGCCAAGAAGGCAGCAAACCAATGTTACAACAATACAACAACAAAAAACATAAACACAGCAGTACATAGATACATAAAGTACATACAGTACACATCAAATTCAAAGAAAGCAGTTGCAGAGCTCTGTTTTTACAGACTGTAACAAACATTTAAAATCACCCAAGGAAACAAGGTCAGCCAATTTTAGCGTTTTCTGGAGCTGATTCCAGGACCAAGGGGCATAATAACTAAAAGCGGTCTTCCCAAATTCAGTGAAGGCGCGAGGGACCGAAAACAACAAGAAGTCCTGAGAGCGCAGGCTGTACCCACTAGTAGAGTGATTGATTAGGCGGTTCAAATAGCCAGGGAGTAGCCCTAAGATGGCTTTGTAGATAAAAATATGCCAGTGGCACCATCTGCGATAGTTTAGTGATGTCAGACCAGACCCTTCATATAAGAAACAATGATGGGTGAGAGATTTGGCATTCAAAATGAAGCGCAAGGCACCATGATAGACTGTGTCTATAGCCTTAAGGGATGCAGCAGAGGCATGCATATAAAGAACATCACCATAATCAATCATGGGAAGAAAGGTAGCCATGACAAGTCTCTTTTTGGCAGTGAGATTAAAACAATGCTTGTTTCTAAAGTAAAATCCTAGTTTAATCCTGAGTTTTTTGGCAAGATTATCCAAATGAATAGAAAAGTAAGTTTAGAATCAAGCTAGACTCCAAGATATTTATAGGAAGCCACCTGTTCTATGCACTTTCCATCAGTGGTGAAAACGTGAGGAACAGGAGGCTGGGAGTGGGATCTAGAGAAATACATGACTTTTGTTTTACTAGCATTTAAAACCAGTTTAAGATTTTTAAAATCAGCCTGAATCGAGCTAAACTATTTTTGGAGGTGCTGAAAAGCGCAGGACAGATAGGTGGCACAAGAATAAACAATTGTATCATCTGCATACAGATGAAAGTTAGATTTATCACAATTTTGTATATCTGTGCCAATGTTGTTTATATAAATCGTAAACAAGATAGGCCCCAGAATAGACCCCTGGGGCACGCCCCAGGGGTCTATTCTGGGGCGGAAGATGAAGATGACCTCTGACCATCGGCAAGGACTGTCTGTGACCTGTCAGTAAGATAATTTGCAAACCAACTAACAGAGTTTACACTCAAGCCAATATTATGGAGTCTATTGATTAAGATGGTGTGGTCCACAGTGTCAAATGCCTTAGATAAATCAATAAACACTGCAGCTCAGTGTTTATTATTATCAAGACCCTGAATTATGTCGTTCAGCACCTTGGATGCAGCAGTTATAGTGCTATGACCTGATCTAAAACCAGACTGAACAGAGCTAAGCTGACCGCTTTCTAATAAAAACTCCTTTAGCTGGTCATTCACCAGGGATTCCATAATTTTAGCAACCACTGAGAGTTTTGAAATAGGCCGATAGTTGTTCAGGTCAGAGGGATCCCCCCCTTTAAAGATGGGCAAAACATATGCTTCCTTCCAAGATTTAGGGATAGAATTAGTGGACAGGGATAAGTTGAAAATATTAGCCAGAGGTTCAGCTATAAGTTCTGCTGAGAGTCTTAATAAATAGGGATCCAGGCCATCTGGGCCTGGAGACTTCTTAGGGTCACTTGCTTTTAAAGCTTTAAGGACAGAAGCAGTAGAAACATGTTCAAAAGCAAAACCATAAGAACCTGGAGTCTCTTCAGCAGTTGGAGGGCTGGACAAGACACTGGATTTCAAATCGGGAAACAAGCGATCGAACAAATATCCAGCAGAAACAAAGTGTTCATTAAAAAGATCAACAATAGATTGCTTCTCAGTTATTGGCTGAGAACAATGAATAATTTGTTGGGGGAGCAAAGCAGGGGCAGTAGGATTAAGCGACTTAATAGTTTTCCAGAATTTAGAAGGGTTATTTAAGTTTTCAGACGTCAAGTTGAAATAATATTCAGATTTGGATTTCCTGATGGAAGCAGTACATTTATTCCGGAGACACCGAAATCTGGACCAGAGAGAAGAAGAGTTTGATTCTCTGGCTTTGGCCCATGCTTGGTTACGAACATGAATTAACTCAGCGAGCTCAGGGGAAAACCAAGGGTTATCTCTTCCTTTTATTCTGAATTTGATAAGAGGTGCATGTTTGAAAATAATTCCATGCCATATCCACATTAGGGATCAGACTAATTCGATCCAAGTCACCACAAAGTAAATCATGCAGAAACGCCTGTTCAGAAAACCTTTTATAATTTCTTTTTAGTACCGTTCGAGGGCTTGTTTTTGGGAGCCTTGTATCTCGAACACAAGCCACCACACAGTGGTCACTAAGATCGTTTGCAAAAACTCCGACAGAAGAAAATTTATGAGGATTATTTGTAAGAATTAAGTCCAAGAGAGTAGATTTACTTGGAAGTTTAGAGGTGGGGCGGGTAGGAAAATTTACAAGCTGGGATATGTTCAGCTCACTACAAATCCCTTTAAGACCATCTGAGGCAGAGGTGAGCCAATCCCAGTTCAAATCACCCAACAATACCAGTTCAGAATCGTTAAATTCAGCCAGCACATTTGAGATAAAAAAAAAACACTGAAAAATTTAAAATAAAAACAGTTTTGTTATCAAATTGACCTCCAGCTTCAGAGTAAGTCAGACTGAAAATATCTTGTAAAAAAATTAAGAAAATTGACACAAATGTCTTTTGTTGTTGTGGGAATTAATCAACCACCTATGTGTGATGGAAGTTTTAATGATGACATTAAACCTTGAAGGATGATAATTTTAGGGGATTTTAACTTAAAAGCATTAGAGTGTAATAGTTTAACACAATTTAAAACTTACTTTCAAAAATGGTTGAACAACAGACGGTGGTCGTTAAGATCTGATAATACCTCTCCTTACGTGAACACACTTATCTGTCATACGTGTGTTTTTAATTATTTATATTATGTTGGATCATCATTTTTATGCAATTACATACAATCCCAGGGACAACTGATGAAAATTAGCATTATGCTATACCTGGTGCAATACAGTGCACTGTCCCATAAAAAAATGAATGAAATTAAAATGAGGTACAGTAAAATCTGTGCTGTACCTCATGGGCAATTCGTTCCAGAGTCTGACCACAGGCCTCAAACAAAGCTCTGGGAGAGCGAGAGTCCTGATTAGCAGACACGCCTCTAAACACCATACTGGGGCTGGACAGACGGGACCGGTGGAGGACCTGCACACAAGAGTAACAAATGAGACATACGAGACCTATGAAGGTCAGGCTAGAAGCAAACAGAACAATCAAAGTGTGAAATTACATGAGAGGAAGAAAGGCAGAAATCAGCCTTGAATAATGAGTTTAAGACAGCTCAAAGCAAATTCAATTATGAATTATTATTAAAAAACATCACACTCCAACATGATTGTGTACCGGGCTCAGCTGGTCCTGTTCCAGAGAGTTGAGGGAGAGCTGCAGCTTTGTGTTTTGATCTTTATTGAGGTTTTCCCAGCGCTGTCTCATCTGTTCCAAAGGTGAAATGGTCTCAGACTCCAGCAATACTCCTCCTGGGATGGACACCTCACTGTGGGGAAGAGAGGAGTGAATCATAAGAGACTTATATCTGGTCCCTGGTGTGTTACTTTACCAGCATGTTCCAATGTAATTAAATGTTTTTACAACAGAAAAAAAAAAAATCAAATCACAGAAACTCCTCCTTACAGAAATAATGACAGAGAAATGTCAGTGAAAAATAAGTGTGAGAAGAAATGAGAGAGGAGAAAACATACCTGTCCCCATTAGGTGTGGTCTGTTGGCTGAGTAACTCTTCTCCAACACTGGCTACAGACTTCAGCAGCCTCCTCTGTTCAGCTACCTGCTCCTGCAGCTCCTGGGAAGTCACCATAAAGCATTTAGACCATAAAATGTAGAAGTTATTTGAGATCTGTCTAAAGGATCCAGCTCCTGCTTGAAAATGAATCAGTTACCTATCAGTGGTACAAACAGGCTTAGGCCAGGCCTTTTAAATATAAAAAATCTGCAAAAGTTTAGCTTCTTACCCTCTGTCGAAGAAGGTTGTCGTGGTGCTGCTGTGTGCGTGTGGATCTGGCCTGGGAAAGCCAATCCTGGACATTAGGACTCTGAGACAGAGATGAGTCTGGCTCACTGTCCTCCTGCTCCTGCAATGAACCCTGGGAGAAAGACAGAGGGACTTCAACACTTAAAGAAGTATTTCACAGCTGGAAAGATGGTCTTACAGTTAAATGGTCGACTAAAATTCCGAAAACATTTAAGACATGAAAAAGAAAAAGCACTGACAGAATCTTGATTTGTATTTGAACAGCACTGCCTTGTTTCACCGTTTGATCTCATTTTTTTAGCCTTTGTTTTAACAATACAGGAAACAGTATGGCAAATGCTTCCTGTTCACAAATTCTTGCATTACAGCCAAACCATGCACTAAAATATGTTTCTGAAAACACTTTGGAGGAGAAAGATGCAATATAGTAACAGGGTCCTGGTTTATATTTGATCATCAGCACTATGTTGTATGTTGTGTTAGTTCATTGCCACATACTACCCACATTGTTATGATACAAAGCTGGTTAAAAATCATCAAAAACAACAATAAAATGTATAGATGTATAAAAATAAACTGAGATTGATTGCTGCTGTAGTTCTAATGTGTTGAAGAGTGACTTCATCAATATCATTTTTTACTAAAAGAGCACATGAAGGGAGGCCAACAACAGGAAAAAATGAAGTTTTCATAGGAAGTTCAGAGATTTAAGAAAAAACTGCTGTTTTTCCAAATGGGCCAAAGCCAAAATGTTGCATCATCAGAAACACACCTGCTGCAATACATTTAGTGTTAACATGTGATGAGGTAGCATCCTTTTGTCTGCTGTTTAAGGCCCATTGTGAGACAGACAGGCTCTTATTGTTCCATAGTGGAGAACAGTGGACTTTTATGAAGGAGCATGACCCGACCTTTAGTATTTGCACAATACTACCATTGATACTGTTACACAGTCAGTGACACATAATGCAGCGCAACACAACAAGAGACACAGAGGCATGGAGGAAGGATGAGCTGGGAAATGGAAAAGTGTGTGGGAATGCGGAGGGGAAGGGAACTGATGGCCTGAAACAAGACCCCAGAGCAAATGGCATCTGACCTCACCTGTATGTCAATTTGTTTATCCTGTAGCATCTGCTGCAGTTCCATCAGGCTGTCTTTGAGGGAGTGCAGTTTGAGGGTGAGTTGCTCCGCCTCTCCCTTGGTCTCGGCCCGACCCTCCATCAGCAAGCTCTCGCTGTGGACGGACAGCTCCGACAGATATGAGACCTTCTGCTCGATCTCGAACAGCATATTCTGGAAAGGGAAGAGTTACAGTCAATAAAGAACAAACTACAAACACATATACACAGAAACAGAATTTATCTTCTAGGCTCTCTGAAATGTGTCACACCATGTACAATAAAAGAAAATTTGTTAACATTAAAAAGCTTTTCTTGGATGTTTATGCCAGTGGTTCTCAACCTTTTTGACTTGAGACCCATAAAATGAAGCAATGTTTACTTGTCACCCATCATCACCAGTTGCAACCAGTAAAACTTAAGGGTGATGTTTTCCGTTATTTGATTTTTAGACTCCCCAAAAGGTAACATTACACAGTAATTCCAGTGGTTTAGAAGCCTCTACTAAACATAATGAATGGAACTTTTAGCTCTTTTTAGCACGCACTGTATACACACAGCATCCTTCAGTAGCTTACTTGTATCTGCCTCTCCTTGTCTTACAGTTCTTAAGATCCACTTATTATTGCATCTCATATTATTATCCCATACGTTTTTTTCAAGCTTAATACCTTACTTTTCCTTCAAATCCTTTTCAACATATCCCACACTCCCCTCTTGCATTTCTAAACAAGGGAAACAACTGAAGAGGAGACCCTCCCTCTCCACATCCAGACTGTGTGTGAGAAGTGTTATAATTGTATGGAAGTGTAAAAGAGGGGGATTAAGGTTGTATCCTCTTCTTTCACACGAGGGTCCTTGACAGAGATGGAGATGTAATTCCACGCAGAGAATTCTTCCCAACAATACAGAGTGCTGCCATACAACTTTTTTCTTTCTACTCAGTCCTGTCACTCTGTGATTCACTGAGAAGGTGGGGGACGTCTCTCACAAAAAGCCTCTTTATGGTTTTCTAACTGAAATTCCAAATTGCCTTTCTTTTGGCCCAGGATCAAATAGCACTCACAAATCTTTTAATGTATTGGTTTAACTGACACAGCTGCAAGACAAGGCGGAGTTTGTTACATACAGCAATACAATGTGTGGCAGAAAGTTTAGACTCAGCAAAGTATTTGATTAAGCACTGAGCTGTGAGAGGCTTAAGTGGTTTTTGAGCTGCTTACAGCGCAATGATTTTCTTGCAGTGTGTTAGTGTTTAAAAGAACAGACTGAGGTTGTTTAGTGAATAATTTACAGCAGCTAACAATGCTAAAATCAGTCACACACACTGTTTGTCAGACTAGTGAGGACTAGTCAGACTGATGCGTTGAGAACTGATGAAGCCGCTTGGATAAGAGGTGAAACGTCTTCTAGACAAAATCAAAGTCCAGTTGCCTACGATTTAATTGTTGCCAGAATGGAATTGACCTGGATAAATGAGAATATCCACAGACTTACAACTGAGGTGCAAAACCATCTACAAAGTATCCTAATGCACAGAGCAGATTCATAAGATACAACATTTAAAAGACAAATTAGTTGTGACCATTATCCAACCAAAGCCTTTAATATATCAAACTTTTCTTATTTTCATTCTTCCACTCCAACTTCTTGCCTTTCTCTTGCCACTATTCCTCACGTCATCTGCTGACCTCAGATCCTTCCTCACATGTTGCCCTTCCCATTGGATCTTTACTGTAATAATTTAGTCTTTTTGGTATTGCAGACAGTTTTAGCCCCCTGGAGATGAGGATCCGCCAGGGGCCGGACCTTCAGCCCTGAGCACCACAGGGGCCATATGTGAGCTATAATCAGCTTACTGTCTCCCAGCTGCTACACACACACACACACTCTTTTCGATTTTCTTTTCCTTAGCAATGGAACTAACATTATTACTGCTGAGAAGCCAATCATGGTGTATTATGGGATGAATGTTAAGAGACTCAGTTTTGGTACTGAAGAGATCAAGGTATATGCTTCCACAAAAAAAAGAAAAAGATGCCAAAACAGCACATTTGTTTTTTATGTAGAATAAGACCTTAACTAATTAATCAAAAATTAATTCTCCAGTGCTGATGTGGCAATCTTCATTTTTGATGAAAATAAAATGAACTTAATGAGCCTCAGTTGTTCTCACTTGAATGTATAAGTTAAAATAAAACCCATATTTGTTATCAGAGAAGCGTTTGGCACAGCAAGTGTACGTGTACATAGACATGGACATACCTGAAACTTAAAGGGCAACTACGCCCATTATCGAAATTCATATATTTTATTTCTTTTACCTAAGACAGTCCAGGATTATTGGAAAATATGCACAAGTCTCTCCTAAATCCAAAAACTAGAGTGCAAAAACTCTATAATTTGCGATGTCATAAATTCTGGAGTTGCTCCATAGACAATGAATAATGAAAAATGTTATAAATGACAGTGAGAACACCCAGGGGAATGTTCTGGGTATTCGGGTACATTTTCTGTTTCACAACTGAGAACAATACAACAGAATAAAGCTCATTTGGATATAAAAAAAGAAATCAAAGATAGTGTGGATCCACAAAATCAGGCTCCATTGTCTATGGAGCAGCTCCAGACTTTATACTTGATGACATCACAAGTTTGAGACTTACTTCTCTGGTTTCTGGCTTTGAGAGAGAGAGTAGCTCAGGTTCACAAATATTGATTGAACTTTCCTAAGCCATGGAAATAACACATTGCAGTTCTTAATTTACGTGCTGTTCCCCTTCAAAGTACAGAACAATAATTTTAGCCTCATACAGATCCTTATATCATCACGTCACCAGACAAGAGTCAGACTAATTCTGTGTTACTCAGAAGCATCAACAACCTTTTATCTCCCAGACAGGCAGGAGCCTCTCAGCATAAAATATGCCAAGAGTAAAGGGCACTGATGCCTCTCAGGTCAACTACATGTCAATGCACACATCAAATCATTTCTTTATGATCCAAACATTCCTTAACAAGTGCACTATCAAGGTACATATACATAAAAGCCTTTGTCTGTAAAGGTATTACGCTGCTCAAATTGTGGATCTGTGACCACTTCTACCATTTAACCATGGATGCTAATTATCCCACAGATAAAGGTGATGTTAGCATAGAAACAGGATGAGTGGGGAAACAACACTTGGGCTGGTGAAAGAATGTTTGACGACAAGTGAGGAGGGTGATCGGAGGGTCAGACTCTGATCCTAAAAAAAACTTGATTTACTGGAGAATAAGGGCACCTATTCCCTTCTGTGCTGAAACAGTTTCATATTCAATGTAGGTTCTGTAAACTTCTTCTGTTTTTTGAAGATGAGTTTATGTGTGACATAAATAGTAACAGTAATACAATACCGAGGGAATTAGTCCAAGGATATGCTCTATTTTTGGAACAGTGAAGTAGCCAGATACTCCTCTTTAGTCTGTGATAGCTCCCTGCTGATAAAACTGTAGCATGCCAACTTTCCTTTAGTGCCTAGGGCAGTGATAGCAAAGTTTTCCTTGACTGTGTCAGTTGAGCAAAACTTAAAAATACCTGAAACAGCAAGGAAGCTGCATACCATCTACCATGGGCAAAATCGTTACCCTTGGCAAACTGAATAAACCAAGCTCTCAATCTTTCAGTGCTCAGTGAACCAGTCAGTCCAGTTTTTTTAAGATAGCAAAAACGGCATTCTTACCTGACAGTCAATGAGCTGCTCCTCCATGTCCAAGTCCTCGTTTTGGGGCTGAAGGGCAGAGCTCAGAGTGGCACGAGTGCTAAGCAGCCAGTGGTCGAGCTCCTCGGCCTCACTGTGGTAACGCTGCAGCGCCTGTTCCTGCCGCTGCTCCTCTAGCTGTTCACTGAGTCTCTCCTGTAACATCAATGTAAAAAAAAAACATGTTAGATTCCAAAAGTGAGATGATTTTGACACTATAACGGAAATAATAATGTAAATTAATATCATCTCTGAGTGCACACCTCCAGCAGCTGCCGTTTCCCAGAAGCCTTCATTCGAATGGTGGCCATCCTCTCTCCCAGCACAGTAAGAGTAGACTGAAGAGCCAGTTGGTCCCCAGCCTCCCCATCGCTGTCACTGTCTGCCAGCTCCTCAGAGAAACACGTCTGTAACTCACCAATCTCATCCTGCAGCATCAGGATCTCATCCATCAGAGCCTGGACGGACAGAGATCAGAAAAGTGTGAGAGGTGGAAGAAAGAACAAAAAGAGAGAGTTGAAGAAGACTGAAATGTTAAAGGAAGAGACTAAAAAGGAAATGGCTGCATTAAAAGAGGGTTTGTCCAAACTGCTTGACAGTAGTGTTACAAAAAGGAGCTGTATCGGCCGTCACTGTGAAGTTGGCATAGCAACGGAGAACAGTGCCATGCAGTCTGTGCAACCATTGCACGGGCCAGTGCAATATTAAACCCCTCAAACATTCTGTTTTCTCAGAGCAGGCTTGTCTTCAGTCAGCTTTGTGTTTCCCCCGAGAGATGTCATCTGTCTGCCTTTAAGTACTTTCAGTGTCACTATCTGTATTACACTCCTCTCTTTTTCTATATCACACACATGAACACAACTTCCCCAATATCTCCAGACCTCTCTGTCCCCCCTCTCTCTCACCTGGTGTGCAGCCATCTGGCTCTCGGGGCTCTTGTTAGGCTCCAGACCCTCATTGAGTGCTCCTTCTATGGACTCCATTTTAGTGGAAATGGACTGGAGGGACTCCTGATAGTGTTGCTGCCGCTCCAGAGCTTCATACAGACTCTTTTGCTTCTCGTTGATCTGTGGTTGGACAGAAGCGGTAGAAAGAAAAAGAAAGACATTAATGATGAGAAGGGGAGTCTAGGGGAAAAAAGTCCAGTGATAGTAGAGGGAGTTGGAGGTATATTTGGATTTCAATTTAATATAAGGTCAAGCTTTAGTACCAGTTTGGCACCAGTGTACTTTTAACTGCCATAACTGTCATAACCCTATTAATTGGCACCCTGTGAATTGTGCCGACTTCAAAATTCACATAAGGATTTCTTAAATTAAAATGTGTAGCTGATTTTACTGGTCTAGTCATACCACTAGATTTGTTGAAGCAAATGACCTAGCTGTGTAATACATATCACAGTGCTGTTTTACTTTTTCATGTGAATTAATGTAGTTCATTGTAGTTGATGATGTGACATACCACGTTCTTGAGTGTTTCCCAGGATCTCTGCAGGTCATCGAGGTTGGCAGCACTAGTCTCCATGGACGGGTCGTACAGCTCCTGGAGGGGCGCTCGGCTTAAGGCACCTCGACCCTATCATGCAACAACACAGTGAGTGTAGGTCTCTCTAGTGTGTCAGAGCGATGTTCAATATATGGTTGAACGGAGTGTGGTGGTTGTAATGTGTCCTCCTCAAACTGTCAGCAATGAATTTGAAAGGCCACATTTGGAGGAAATATGTCCACATCTGCTGTAAATACAATTCTGCACATATATGCTAGTTTGTAACAGATTATGCACTCAGAAATAAACTAATATAGACAGTTAATATAGACATATAAAATGGTATATTAAAATATACTTGTAACATATATACTAAATATTATAATTATATTATTATTATTTTATTACTAAAACTAATATTAGTGTAGCTACTGGCATCACTGTTTGCCCCGTATCGCGTCTTTGTCTCACTCGGTCGCTCCCTTTTTTTATGTATCATTTTATCATATGGATTAATGTAAATCTATTATGTTATTTTGTTCTGTACACTCGACACCTATTGCACGTCTGTCTGTCCTGGAAGAGAGATCCTTCCTCAGTTGCTCTTCATGAGGTTTTTACCATTTTCCCTCCGTTTAAAGTTTTTTTGGGGAGTTTTTCCTTATCCGACGTGAGGGTCCAAGGACAGAGAGATGTCGTATGCTCTAAAGCTCTCTGAAGCAAACTGTGATTTGTGATATTGGGCTTTATAAATAAAATTGAATTGAACTGAAGTTGAAATAAAAATATCTTCAACCTGCTCTAATTGTTTTATTGGAAATACAGAGGGGTCTGTAACTGATCCTGCTCTGCTTCTGCAAATCCTCCTTCCAGTAAATGTCTGTGACTTTTCTTTATTAATGTAATTAATATGAATAATTGATAAATAATTAATTTAAATAATCATAATAATAATGATAATTATTATTATTATGTCAAGGAATATTCTCTTCTTTTGGAAAATGAAAAATTCAATAAAATGTATTTTAAAGAAAAAGTTCTTGGTTAAGGTAGGTCACACCGAAATGTATCTATAACTGCTTTGCTCTCTGTCTCACTTCAACAGCATCTTGCTAAGGTCCCATCAGATAAATTTAAACTCTTTCTTTTCTCTTTCTGTTTCTTCTTTCTGTCACTTTGTTTACTGCTTTTGACCTTATTGATTTTAGTCAAGTTCAACAATTAGGCTCACATGACATATCACAAGACAAACATACTGTATTTACATTTCACAATAATAGCTAAAGAAACAACCATGACATTTGCTGTTTCTCCCAGAACAACAAAGACTTCCTTTTTCCCTGCTGCACCATCTTAAGTCATAGATTGTACAAAAAAGGTCCTTTCTACCAGTGATTTTCAAAGTGGGGTCCTGAGACCTCCAGCGATCCAGTGAAAGGTTTTAAGATTCATCAACTTATCATAATAAAAACAAATATTTTAACTTCTGAAATCTAAAAAAGTAGTAGTAATAGATTATGTTCTAAGGAAACTACAACCATTCTTTTGTGTTGTTCTTTCACATAACTAGAGTTGTAGAGATGTACAAAATATTCTACATCAACTGAATCCAAAGGACATATACAAGGTAGTATTCTCTATCTTGTAAGATGTTCTTGGCTGAAAAGAGACTGAAAACCTCTGCATTATGTTAATTCAGCTATACTAAGAAAATGACACCCTCTCATTCACATCTCAGCAAAGAAGCAAGTGGCAAACCAATTTTCTTCAGCAAAATAAATCTGCAAACATAAGGCTGATAAACAGGGAAAGCAGGGGGAGCATGGCAACTCTCCAGCTGTTTCCAACATCCATTGTGTTGACAGTGGTGATGACAGGGACTTTATTGTTTGGTGGTGGCAATGGAATGGGATGGGATGGGGTGCAGAGTAAGCCCGTCCATTTTAACAAGTCATTGAGCCACATATTCAATATTCAAAACTCTACCAATGTAGGCTCACTTGCTGCATAACAAAAGCTGCACTGACACTTATGTACAGTAATGTCACTGGGTAGGAAAACATCTTTAAGACATGTTCATCTGCATTGGAAAAAAGTAAAATAATCTCATGCCAGTGTCAAAAACAGCCGTTTTAAATAAAAAATAATAAAAGAGACTAAATATTTTGTTGGTGACTCATTAAAATGGACATTTTTATGGCTGCACAGGTTGAAGTGGTGGTCTCTTATGATGTTAGACCAAGAATTTCAGATGTGAATTGGTCAGTGGTAGTATGGAAGCTGGGCAGGTCAGGTAATGCTGGAGGGCTCTGGAGGTAACCAGGGTGGGGTTTGCAGTACCTGGTTAAGAGGAGCATCAGCGTTAGCCCCCGGGGAGGGGGAGCGGCAGGCAGGGGGAGAGGAGACCTCGCTGTTGGTGCCCTCCTCCCCTGACTCCTCCGTCACAGGGGAGAGGAGTGTGTGGCAGCGGCCGGCTGTCATCTGACCACACATACACACCACACATCAAACACGCACACATCAAAAGAAGCAGGTGGAGGAATAGGGAGGGGGACCAAACAGAAAACGCCCGGATCAAAGGAGTGAGGAGACAGAAAAATGAGGAGAGAGAAGAAGAGAGCATAAAAATTAACAGGGGGAGTGCAGGTTAGGCAGATTGCAGTGAGCACATTGCTGATTAATTAGACAGTGAGTAATCGAATAACACAGAGAGGAGACCAGTTAGATCACATTACTGCTGTTGACATCAAACACCGCATTTGCCATAGCACAGCATTTAGGAGACATAATTTACTGCAGCATTTCTCTGAGCTAGCAAATGGACAAAGATTGGATTCCACTGGCAATGAATGAGCCACTCAGATTTTCTTTACAGGATACATCAGGGGAAAGGAATGGCCATTACCAGGAAGTTGAAAATCACACTTTCAGTGAGTACACACATAAACGCAGTGCTCTCACCACACACAGATACTGTAAAGTTGCAGTTTCTGAACCACAGTAATTTCCTTTCCATCACAGACACACTTTCCGTGTGAGTGGTACAGGGGCATTATTCCTTTTCACAGATTTTAAAGTTATAATGTTTTCTTGGATACTCAAACTACTAGAAATATTTTCTTTAAGAACTAGAAAAGACCCACTCATACAGTCTGATGCATGAGCATGCTGAAAAATGACATTACGCGTATGTTCAAAGGGATAAAAACACTATATTAACAGTAAGAAGAAGTCCTGAGAAATCCAGAGGAAGATCAAGGCCCAAACTTAAACAAAGCATAGCTAAAGCATTGCATAGCTTACAGCGGCTGGACTGGTGAATACAGCAACAGCAGCAGCAGCAGCAGCTGTCCTAGAAGTAGCACAGTTGTCTGTGTGCCTGCATGCTTCAGTAGAGAGGCAGAGCAGAAATGTGAGCCAAGCCCTACTGGGCTGCTTTTTGGCAGTTAAAACAGAATTTGGCCGACTGACTCGGGACCTTATTATATTTGGAGGACTTTTTCCCCGGTTTTATGATGCAATGCAAAGCAACCAAAAGCATCCGCACACCGGCATTTGTCGGATACTCAGCAGTTTCACATGGTGAGATTACTTAGAACCTGAGAAGTACTGCCAACAAGGACACGGTAACAATGACACAGAGCTAAACATGCCACACAATAACAAATCAAGGATATCAGCAGTCCTGCATAGCAACTCCTTTATGCCATAGACACACATTTATCATGCTCTGCTCACACACAAACACACACACATGCAGTAATATCCTGTTTCCTGGCCTGCTGAGACCAAACACACCACAAACAGCAGAAACAGAGCAAGGAGGCGAAAAAATCTGAATCAGAACGAAAGACACAGAGGAAGAGGGTAGTTTCTTATGTGCGAACACATGAGAAAAATGAACAGTCAAGCTGAGGATGACATACTGTAGCAGCAGGCAGACAGAATCGGGCTAATACAGAGCAAAGTGAAGTGACACAGCACAATGTCGATGCAGTAGTACACAAGAGGGGAAAGCCAGAATAGTAACACTTGAGGTATAAGGAAGATGAGGGAAAAGACGTTATTTCTGTGCAGTACAAAACACAAAAAGAAATAGGAAGAGGATACTAATAGAGAGAAAAAAGCCTATTCTGAACCTCTCTTATATAGATGCACATGAGGCCCTGCAGCCAAATTTAAAATTAAATGTCACCCCAGGGGTCCACATTTTGTGAACATGAAATTGAATTGTACCAATATAACTTTGCAAACTGTTACTGGGAAATTAAGAGTACTTGAGTCAAACCTGTAATCATAATCATATTATCCTCAGACACCCTCTAATTTGGGATAACTTTAAGCTAATTACACTATTGTGGAATGAACTGTAAACGCCCTCTACAAACCCTAACAGGACCCCTGGGGTTTCCTGTATTCCACTTCAGTGGTCTGTATAGAAATGGAGAAGGGCTAAATGCTTCACATGCAAACACACACACACACACACACACACACACACACACAAACATGGGCCAGACGGGCATAAAGCCATGCAGCATGTACATGTGTGAGTCTCTGGGTGATTGTGTCCAAAAAAGGCTTTGCCACTCACCATGACGACAGAGGGGTGTGCTGGGAGTTGCTTGTTGGTGGCGGCGTTGCTGGTTGCCACAGAGCTGGGCAGCTCCTCATCACTCAGCTCGTCCACGCCATCTGAAAGGCCCTCCACCTCGTTGACCGTCAGCAGCATGGTGGCATGTTTGGCTTTCACCGTCAGCATCTTGCACTTGGAGTGGAGCGAGGCGATCTGCTCCTGGTAGCCACGGATCTTCTGGGCCAGCTCCTGTCAAAACATCCCCCACAAACAGAAAACACCACCACCCCCAGGGTCAGGAGAGTGTGGTTCAGTCCACAATGGAAGATCAATAGTTCCTGGTTAAAAGGATCCTGAAAGAAGGGAGTGGCTGAGTTGGTTCAGCTTTGAATGTGGTGCCGGTGTGAGAGGAGTAAGTGGAGTGGACGCATTCTCTTCTTTCCCCGGTCTCTGGCTTTAGGCTTCACAGTGTGTAAGCGTAGAAAGAGAATAGCACTGCCTCACTCCCTCTCCCTTTTTTCGTCCATCTCTCTCTTCTGTATCTCTGAGCCAATCAGAGCAGCACAGAGGCGGGTGACTCAGAGCAGCGGTGAAGCCAACAGACAGGATGTTTGGTTGAGAGAGAGCGAGACCCTCGCAAAAATAGTTCAAAATCCCTCAGACACTCCCTCTCGTACACATATACAAATGGCAAGGAAAAACAGGAAGTGATCTCACTGCCTGCCCCCCCCCTTCCTCTGCCTACAGCTTCCCTTCTCCACCAATCCTCGGGACAGAGTCCTCTCAACAAAAGAGAGTCGTAAGGAGAGAGGGAGTGTTTAGGGAGGACGACAGAGATGGTGTCAAATTACAGCTATGGTATGAGCTGCAGGCCGGGTCCAGCTCCTCCTTCCCTCCTCCTCCTTCTACTCCCCCTGTCCCGCAGATGGTCAATGCACCGATAATCAGGTCATGTGACTGACTGGGCCAGTGGAGTTGCAGCTATTTGCTCAGCTTAGAGATCAAACTCAGACATAAACACAGTGCCATGCCAAGTCACTCTGCAGCACCGGTAGGACTGAAGTAACAAGAAAATATCTACAAACACCTGGGTTCATATACCCCCTGTCAAATATAGAAGGTAGATAAAATCTGCCAGAACCACACAGGGAAAATCTAAATGTAATATAAAAATGTGTTGCCTCTGATGTGTTTCTCTGCAGGTCTTTTTACACCCCCCTCCTTTGCGATCTCACTCTCTGCATGGGAGATCAAATACACTTACTCAGCAAAGTAAAACTCCAACATGGAGTGCAGGCCTTACCTAATGCAGGTAAAAACCATCTACACTGCATCAGACAAGAATCTATGCAGATAATATTTACATGTACCATCCGATAGAGGAGGAATGTGCATGTGAGTTGGGCTTGTAGAGGCACAACATTCTCCAAGAATTGTTGTATGAGGTGCATGGCTCTGATAACACGATGTTAAAAGCAGCAGTATTTAGTCTGGGGCCTTTGGTGGTTTGAACTAATGATTTTAATGCCTGTCTCAATGACTAAATTACAAATGCTCAGTCTAATTCAGACATAAGGGTTGCCCACAACTTCTCTAAGACATACAGTATATTTCCTGCTGCCTCAACTTCTCGTTTTAAGTCTTACACTGTTACAACGTGCAGGAAATACATAATGACTCAACCTCCATTCTCTGATGTTGACCTCATTAGAAAAGCTGTTTTTAGAAATAAGCATAGAATTGTCTTTAAATGTCAAATGACGAGCCTTTAATGCAACTGACACCTTGAATGTTGTAGGAGCTCTGAAAGAAAAATGCTGTCAATCTGTTATTCTGGTTTGTTAGAGTTTTTATAAGATTTCCAACGTGATGCATCTACAGTCAAATCTATAAAACCCCTTTAAGTCCATGTTGCTTTGCTATCATTTCACAGGCTATTTAGACAGCTTTATTGCCAAGCTTTGCAATACATGAATAAGGAATGTCAGTGAATAAAGACTAATCTTAAAGTACACTTTAGGGCTAAAAGTGTACTTTTGGTCATGGGCTATTTTGTCTAGACACCTTAGCTTCCATTAAAGGAAATTGTCATGCTACAGCATACAATGATATTTTAAACAGTAGTATGCTTCAAACTCTGCTGCAAAAGTTTGAGGTCATGGTAAAAGAAGTATTCAGATCCTTTACTTCAGAAAGAGTACTAATATTATGCTGTAAAAATATCCCACTAAACGTGAAAGTCCTGCATTTAAAAGCGTACTTAAAGGGACAGTTTGGATTTTTAAGGTTGTATGAAGTACTTATCCACAGTCAGTGCATTTCCTACAGTACATGGCAGTCAGCAACCCCCAGTTTGGAGAAGCAGGCAGGAGTACCAACATAGAGTCTAAAGCTGTCAGGCAAATGTAGTAGAGTAAAAAGTACAATATTTACCTCTGACATGTAGAGGAGTAGAAGTAGAAAGTACCATAACGTGGAAAGTTAAGTACAAGGCTATTTCTTGTGTCAACATGACAAAAATAGGCCAGTAAAGAAATGGTTTTTCTGAGTTTGGTGTGGATGAACTTGACTGGCCTGCACAAAGCCCATCCAACACCTTCAGGATGAAATGCAGCGCCAACATTGAGCCAAATCTTATCACCCAACATCAGTACCCTAATTCACTAAGACTATTCATGGCTGAATGCTAGAAAATCCAAATCTTAGTGAAAAAGCCTTCACAGAAGAGTGAAGGCTGTAATAGCAACAACTTCTAAATGCTTGAGTTGGAGCTTGACTTATGTTTTAAAAACTTTATAAGAGACAAAGTGTGTGTCTTCTCTGACCTCATGGTGGTGTATTTGAGCCTGAAGTTCCTGTATGTTATTGGTGGAGACTGGCCGGTCCTGAATGATGCGATGAGCCTCTTCTATTAATCTCTGGAGGTTCTTAACTTCCTGTTCGTACTGCTCATACTGCACCACAGCCTCCTGGGAAAAAGGGAAACATATAAAATGTGAGATATATTGTTGATCTCTGAGGAGTGATGAGCATTTCTCCTGCCTCCCCTTCCAGGGAGGTCAAAGGTGAGTGTCACCTTCAGATGTCATCAGAGTAGAGTCATTTCTTTCACTCTTAATGTCACACATGCTTTATAGGTATCAGGCACTTCAATTTATTCCTTTGTAACACCATTTCAAGATCATTTTTAACCAAATTTCATTTCAATTTGTTAGACGAACCATCTCTTTCTTATTCAAGCAATGCAGGTAAGTATAACTGTATATATGTGGTCTCGTGCAGATGTAGGTTTTATGTAGGAATATTACTATTAGAGTGAGTTAGGTTAATCTACATTTTACCAACAGGTAAGTGCAAGCATAAAGTAAAATAAAGTATGAGGTTCAGCAGTAGGGTTAAACATTTCTAACATCAGAAGTGTGGACTTTTATGCAGAAGAGCTTGACTCAGTTTGGGAGAAAGAAAGAAAGAAAGAAAGAAAGATGCATACATGAAATAAGATAAATATGTTTGTGTCAATTAAGACTTCAGAAATTCAAATTTCAGACAATTTAATGACTTTTAGGAGCCTGCAGACACCCTGTTCAAATATACAAAATCAAGAGCATGGACGTTTTTGCATTTTCATACAAAAACAAGTCATTTGAGATGTGCTGATATTAGAGCAAGTAGGTATGTTAAAAAGCTCTTCTGCTCGTTTTGGGCATCTAAAGCCTGTGCAAGCTAAATTTCCATGATAACATTCATAACATTGTCGTTATTGTGTTTAAAACATAGATATGAATGTTAGCAGTTCGTCTCAACTATGTCCCTGGGCCATGTCAGATAGACTCATTGTTTCAAATCTTGGTGTGTTTGGTTGAAATGGCTGAGATGCTTTACGTGTTTGTCCTCCTCAGATAGTCACAGAAGGTCACTTGCTTCTTCCTCTAAAGGCTAATCTTTGCTACAATGAGCTTAAAAGCAAAATCGGCCCAGAACCAAAGGACTGGAGGATAATACTGGGCTGATGGGGGCTCAACAAAAACACACGCATTCCTGAGGCGGCCTATTTCGACACTGCAGCCTTTAGGGAGGCAAGTGACGAGTCAATGTATAACTATATTACTCTTCTGACAGGGCAACAATGACCAACTAGACACCTCAAATGCTTTGAGCCATGACGATTTTTGGTTCTACGGTGACAGAAAATTTTGGCGTTTTGGTGAGAAAAAACTAATAAAGACAAGGTCACCAAACAAACACTCTCGGGGGTAGGGCTTTCATCACATTGATTGGTAAAATAATACATTACATAATACATAATATGTGGCAGCTGACCAACAGCAACATGAGGACTGCACAATACCTGCAGGATGTTGCACTGCTGGATGGTGGTATGCTGCAGTTGGCTGGCCTCCTGCTGCAGAGTCTGAGCTGTGCGGCAGATAGGCAGGCTGGCAACTACCTCCTCTGGTAGCCGGAGGGCGCTCTGACACTGCTGTACTGCCGCCACCTGCTGCTTGAAGCCCTCCATTTCCACCAACAGACGCTTATGAAGGAATGAAAAGGACGTTAGAGAGGAAGGAGGAAATGTATGGTGTGTGATAAAGTAACACTGTGTTTTCAGAATGGTTATATTTATTTTTTCCTGCAGGTTGACGGATGCAAATTGTGTGGGGATTTCATACTGCAAGTGTGAGTTGTGAGTGTTGGAGATATCAGCTGTAGAGATGTCTGCCTTCTCTCCAGTATAATGGAACTAGATGGCTTATGGTGCTCAAAGTGCCAAAAAAAAAAAAAAAACAACATTTAAAATACTCAACGTCAATGTCTCTTTCCAGAAATCATGACCCACTAGCTCATAATAATCCACAGACCTTGTTAGCAGTTTCACATAGTAACTATTTTCTTTCTATTGAACTACTCCCACCAACCGTAGCACTGCACAGAAGGAAGTGTGCATCTATTCATGGGCGAGAGGCTTGTGCTTGTGACAGCACAAGATGTAAACATTAATGCCATCCTCCTCCGCTGAGCTGTAACATTAGCAAGCTCAGTGGTGCGAGGTGCGCTAGCAGTGGATGCACACTTCTTTTTGCACAGTCATATAGAGAGATGGTGGGTGTAGTTTGATAGACAGAAAATACTTTCGACATGAAACTGCTCATAACAAGTTCTGCAGATTATCTTTAGTAACTGGGTCATGATTTCTGGAAAGAGACATTGCTGTTGAGTTTTCCAAATGTATTTGTTGGCACTTTGAGCACCACCATCTAGTTGTATTACATTGGAGAGAAGGCAGCTATCTCTGTGGCCAATATCTACACCACTTGGCAACTCAAACCAAAACAACTTACACTGATAAACAGTACTACAGATAAGAACAAAAATGTGTATTTTTGATTTGGGGTGAACGGTCACTTAAAATGCTGATTTTAAACGAAGCATCTTAAATGTGTGTATTCACCTGTCTCTGTGTGAGCTGTTCCCTGAGGCTGAGCCTGTTGAGGTCGGGGGACGCAAGTGTGATCTGGATCTGGTCTACAGCAGCATGGAGGATCTTCACCTCTGCCTCCAAACGCAACATGTCCTGAAAGATAAACAGACAGATAAAACAAATCAAAGAAAAGCACACACAAGAGTAGGAACAATTTATACTGTATATATATCATATACATATAATGTAGCTTATACAGGGTGTCTACACATATCAGACACTTAAATGTAATGCTTTTTAACACCCTTTCAAGATAATTTTCAACCAAATTGAAGAATTTGGGACAAATCATCCTTTTCTTATTAAAGTATTAGAGGTAAGTAAAAAGGTAAGTTGTATATATGGTTCTGCGCAGTGGTAGGTTTTATGTACGAATATGATGTTTACAAGGAGTAAGTTTAATTTACCCATTGCCAATAGGTAAGTGCAAGTATAAAGTAAAAAGACAGTATGAGGCTGGTGGGTTTAAAGATTTGTAACAGCAGAAATGTGGCTTTTCACGCCAAAGAGTTTGACTCATTTTGAGCAAAATAAATTAAAAGATGGATGAATAAACTTAGATAAAATCCCTTTTAAGACTATTCAATGACTTTAAAGGCCTAATGCATATAAAATCAAATTTAAGACATTTTAGGACTTTTTAAGGACCTGCTGACACACAGAGGAAGAGTTTTTTCAATTCAGTTTGAGCCATAAATAAAAAGGTTGGCATCTCTTTAAAACAAAACTCTTCATTTGTAAATTCTGATTGACCAAGATGAATTTCATGTGAGAGGAAATTAAATAACCCATCGCTACAAATAAGGATTGTGCTATGTCTACTGTAGACCCAGAAGAAAAAAATCCGAACTCACTGGAGGAATTGTCAACAAAATTTCCAAACACCCAGTGTTATTAGCAACAATCAGCAACAGACTGTCATCTGGGCCCCAGCTGTATGGCAATCAGATTAGTTTAACAGATTACTGCTGCAAAAGCTAAAACAGTGCATTCCATTATGATGGTGTAATGCAAGATGAATGACCATAAGGGGGCACTGTTGGGTTGTAGCTCTGGTGTATTTGACTCAGTCCAAAGGGATGTGTACCAAATGTTTGGATTTAGGAAATTCAATTGTCTGCATTTCCTAATGAAGATGATTTGATCAGAGAGCCCTAAAACTATTTAGAGGTGAAGTATTATTGATGTCTTATTCCCGTAATGGTTGCCTCACAGTGAATGTTGTTTACCTTTGCTGCATCCTGCAGACTCTGGAGGCGAGTCTTGGCAGTTTGCTGCAGCTCCTCTGTGCGTCTGCTGAGGTGTTTCACCTGCTGGATCCACCCCTCTGTCTGCAACACCTCCCCCAGCTGCACCTCCCTCTCCCCCATGGCCTCCAAGTCGCCATGGAGACCCCGACACTCCCGCAGCAATGCCTGTCACCATAGGAACATAAATTGCAAGTCAGAGAGAGGAGCCTTTTGTACGTGCAATTACACTAATTAAGGCCGGCCGGCCAACACAGTGTACAGTACATAACATGTCACTGAGAAATCAAACAAGTGTGTGAAGCTAATTAGCTGTTAATTTGTGGGGTGTCTTCAGATTTTAATACAGGACATATTAGTATTTACTTTTGTGGAAAAATAAATGTCTAATTATATTTTTCACAAAAATAAAGACTAATATTTAATAAATGGACTTGCACTTCTACTCACACACACATTCATACACTGGTGGCTGGGGCTACCATATAAGGTGCCATCTGCTACTCAGTTTTAAACATTCACACGCACTGCAACTAGGCATTCAGTATCTTGCCCAAGGATACTTTGACATGCAGACTGGAGGAGCTAAGGACTGAACCCTCGCTCTACCTCCTGAGCCACAGCTGCCCTGATTTGGGTCCTGGGATTTCAGAGCCCATTTTTTTCAGACATCTTAAAGTCATTCCTGCTACCTGCTGTGTAACTCATTAAGACTCACCTGGTATGCTCGAATTTGCTCCTGCAGCTGGGACGCAGAGCCCCAGATAATGCCACCAGTGACCAGAGCTTCTGCCTTTTCTGTCCAGCCCAAAATGAATGCCTTCATACCCTGATATTCCTCCACCTGCCTCTCCGCCTGCTCACAAGAGACAGACCAAGACCAGAGGAATTAATACAGAAGAAATAATACCATATCAAATAGAATCACCTGATACTGGCCACTATAGTCTGATAACTATATAAAAGATTTGTTGTTTGATCATGAAAGCAATATTGGGAACTTGAATAATATTGGAAACTGAACTTAATATGGATATCTCACCTTTTTCAGTCTGCTGGCTCTGTCCTGGACCTGCTGCGTGGTGTGTTGCTGCACCTCTGTCAGTTTGGCCACAGCATCGCCCAGCTGCTTACACAGCAGAGGGTTCTGCTCCCCAAACTCCTGCACCGCTACTCCTAACTCCGCCAGAGAGCGACCACAGCAGTCACACTCTTCACAAAGAGCCTGTAACAGAGGAGAAGAAGTAAGAAGTGGAGAAAGATAAAAGAACAAAGAGAGTTTACGCATGTGTTAAAACTAAAAAGTGAACTTCAGTAAACCCTCCATCCCAGGTCGCTATCTTTGTCTGTTTGTGCTAAAAAAAATCCCATTCTACATCAGTGGTCTTAACCTTTTTCGTGTCAAGGACCCTTATATTAATACACATTAGGCCACAGACCCCCCTTTGACACCTATGTTTAAGGGATTGAAAGATCCTGAAGGTGGAGGGGGGACAATTTACGGGTCATGGGAGGAAAGAGGATGCAAGGAAGCATAAGTTAGCATGATGAAAAAGCACGCTTACTCACGCTGGGCTCACTTCTAAGTGAAATATATACTGAAAATGAACTATTCCCCATCAACCTACCAGCACCTATAAAGCTCCAAATTTACCACTTTATATCTTGTTTCATTTGTACAAAACCAAGCTATGGTTTTACAGGAGAGCAGTGATCTATCAGTTAACTTCAGACGTGCTGGTAGGAGTAGTTCAAAAATGAAAAACTACTCCTTTACACACTCTTGAGGCCTTAAGGATCTACAGATGGGCAGAGGAGTGAGAGAAGAAAAAAGTTGGGGCGACAAGAAAGAGAACAGGAGGGAAGGGGCTCAGACTCCCATCTGGGATACTTCTCTCAGAAGTGGGTCACTGTTGAAGGCAGAATTCAGTTCATGCCATTCCAACTCTCACACACTCATTAACCTCAACATCTGCAAAATGAATAGCCAATTTAACAGGGGTTAATTGCTTGTTAATTAGTCAATCTGTCTGGTTGATTACTTTGGTCTCTTCTTTGGCCTCCTCCAGGTCGACACCCTTGTCTTCCAATTTCAGAGCGATGGTCTTCAGCTTCGCCTCGATGTCCTGGAGTCTGAAGCTGAAGTCTTCTTTGACATCTCTGGTCTGCTGCACCTCCCTTTCTCTCGCCTGGACCTGAAGCAGATGGCAGAAATACAAATATTTAACTGTGCTGTCAAAACATAAGCCTTTAACAATGCTAAATGATAAAGGATAATTCAGAGTGTACTCTCTGGACACACTAAGAGCCCTGCTGCAGGGAAGTAGTCGTACATGAGACTGCACTGTAGAACTCATACAAGTGAGTGCTAGCTTTACACTGGTACATACAGTCATATGATCACTTCTACAGGTTTGTTTGGGGTTTTTTTACATTTAAGAGTGTTCTTAACACAATAAACCTACTAAACAGCCATTTGACAGTCCTAATGAGTTAATGAAATTGCAACATTTCATAAAATGTTAAACTGTAGCCAGGAGAGGTCACCTGGTCTTCAGCGGAGCCCAGAGCCAGAGCCACCTCAGCCAGCTGCATGCTGAGCTCAGAGGGCAGACCAGCCTGGAGGTCCTGGTACTTGGACTGCTGCAGCTCTGTCATGCGCTCCACACTCTGGCGCCTGCTGATGACCTCACCATGTGCAGTCTACAACACAGACAACATCACGTGATAGACTGTTAGGACATGATGCTGTTTTTATGTCTAAACAAGTTAGAGAAACTAAACCAAAATATCGCTGTGTGTAGTGGCCTACCTCTAGCTCTTGCAGCAGTGAATCCAGGTCTGCAGTGGGACTCAGCAGTAAGCCACGAGTATCTTGGATCCATCCTTTGACCAAGCCCAGCTCCTTCTCAACCTCCTCTCTCTCCCTCAACTCCTGGTGTACCTGAGCCCTGCTGGCTCGTACCCGCAACACGAGGCTAGATAAGACATTAAGTAAATTTAATTTAGATATTCATTTTATTTTTTGGTCCCTGCTTTTACTAAATAATAGGTAACTTGCATGGAAATAAATAAACCACAAAGAAAAAGAAAGCTTTTTGTTATCAAAGTGAATGATACATATCTGAAGCAAGCACCAATAGATTTCTAGAATAAAAATGACAAATGATATAGTAAAAGATTCAACACAGAGGGGCTTGAAATCCCAAGTGAGAGTTCTTTAGTGTGATGGGCTGCAAAACAATTTGAATATCCACCTACCTCAGTAAAAGTCAAGCGGAATCAGATTATGTTTTAAACGTGTATGTTCTCTGACAAAATTTCTTGTTCATTCATTCATTTTCCATAACTGCTTATCCTGTTAGGGGTCATGAGGGGGTTGGAGCCTATCCCAGCTGACCCTGGGCAAGAGGCAGGGTACACCCTGGACAGGTCATCAGACTATCACAGGGCTCACACATAGACAGACAACCATTCATGCTCACATTCACACCTACAGACAATTTAGAGGATTAACCTGCATGTCTTTGGACTGTGGGAGGAAGCCGAAGACCCCGGAGAAAACCATGCTGACATGGGTGAACATGCAAACTCCACACAGAAGGGCTCCCCCACCCTTGATTTGAACCAGGAACTCTCTTGCTGTGAGGCAACAATACTAACCATTGTTCTCCAAATTGTGTTATACAAGATTTAATCTTGTTTTTGGTCAGCTGCGACAGCCACAGCACTGGCTCACTCACCTGTCATATTGCTCCTGCATGCTTCTGATCTCTTGAAGGCAAGGTGTCTCCTCATGTCCATTCTCTGTCTTTTTCTCCATCGCCTCCTCCTCCTCTCCTCTGAGGCTGCGTGTGTGTTGCCCCAGCAGGGCCAGGATGGACTGCTCCCTCTCCACCTCCTGGCTGAACGAGTCATGGTACTCCAGGAGGCTCTGGAGCGCCGCCCTGGTGGCAGCCTTTTCAACTGTGCTGTCTGGGACACGGCTGTGGAGGTCTTGGGACACTGAGCGCACCTTCTCCATCTGGGTGAAGTGCAAAGATTCAAGTTCAGATTTTAAATTTACTGTGAGTAGATTAAAGCTGGTAAACATGGATGAAAACAATGTTGAATTTAAAGGGGACCTATTGTGCTTTTCCTTATTTTCTGTCATATATATATTTTTACAATGTCAGATGTTCGTACTAAACGTGGCCAAAGTTTCAAATAATTAGGTAAACGTATGTTGAAGTGTGACCCCACCTGTGACATTATTTCATTTCACAAAGTATCTTTTAAAGTTCTATCTACAGTATACAATACTCCCTGTGATAGTCGAAGGCAGAAAACAAGAGTGTAGAAACTCAAGTGCAGAGAATGACGTCATGTCCAGTTGAACAAAGGGGCCATAGAAAAACAGCGGACAACAGGAAAATGCCACATATGAGGAAGTGACCACCATTCCTTACAGTTTGACCTAATTTCCCTTTAAGGAGCAGTGCTTTGTGGGAACTGTTGTGAGCTAACAGCGATCACACTTGAAAGAGGTCGAAAGGCGGGAAAATGCTTCATGACACAGTGTTTTGGCAGGAGCAAACAACTGGCTTGAAGCCTGGAGTTACATCACGGCACACCAACTGGTATTCAGTAGTTGCTGCGTTTGACCTAAATCTGTAGAAGCATGAACAATTTTCTAGACTTACTCTAAGTGTCATGTGAGTATAAACAGCTTCTGGGGCCTGTAGGCACACTGATGGTTGGTTTTACACTGTACATGGGCATTAATGAAGTACATTCATGACACATACAGTATGCACTTGAGCATGCAGAGCACACACTCACACAGCAAGCCATGAACAAAATCACCAACAAGTGTACAGGAGATTCAGAGGTTGCCTTAACTAAATATTGACTGCATTTCTTTTAGGAATAATGGAGAAATCTTAAGTTTGACACATTAGAAACACTCGGGGCAATCCACACCCCTGCTCAGGTGGTGGCATGTGCATATTAATTAGCTATTAAATATGTCTTATTGTCATTAAAAAAATGAAATTTAAAATGACAGGTAAAATTAGATTATGGTGTAATTTTTAAGTCTTTGTAAAAATGATGGACAACAAGAAAGTTTAACACAACTGCTGCTCTAACCTTGTCAGTGAAGTTCCTCCACTCCCTCGCAGTGTCCTCCAGTGCTCTCTCCTGGGCTCGGGCCACACTGCGCAGCCGGGTCCACCGCTGCCACAGTGACGACACTGAGTGGCTGGTGACAGCTTTGCTGGACTCCGAGATGATCTGCTCTAACTCTGTTGCATTCTCTTTCAAAGCATTCAGAGGCAACTCTAGCAGGTCGATGTGAGCCACCAGAGACTACAGCCAAAAGATTAAGACAGATACACGCAAGATATTTCATGAATGCAGTCTTCTGAAACATTTATACTATGGGAAAGTAATATTTTCCCTTAAAGGAAACAACTATGCAGGCGCACGAGAGAACAAGGAATAATGCACAAACCCTCAACTGTTTAAATATTAATGTGCATCTGCTGCCATGACAAGAACAAATGTTGGAATTTAATATAACAGCCACCTGGGACTGCACATGCAAGCTAGACGATTTATACAAACGTCAGATAATCTTTTTCTACAGTATCTCTTTTTTTAGACTGTACAAAAGTGTCCCACCTTGTATCTCTGACACTTTTCCTCTGCCTGCTGGATGCTGACAGCTTTAGCTGTAGTGAACATGGCCATCTTGCCCTCTGCGTCATTCATCTGTTCAACTAGCATCTCTTTCTCATGTTGGAAGGAGGTCCATAACGCTGCACAACTGAAAACATTATACAAATTACAGATTACTACTGAGGGGGATTTACTATTAAAATATGCATCATACAGCCTGCACATGCCAGCTGTGTATACATATATTACCTGGCTCCCCATTAACATTACTACACACCTCTGAAGCACATCTCTGTAAGTATCCAGGTTCTGTTTGACTTCTGTGTTTCTCAGCAACAGTGCCTCAACTTTTTTTCGAAGTTCGCCCATTGCTCCTGCTTCCATAAAATCTTCCAGCAAAGGATCCAAAGTCCTCAGCTCCTCTAAACCAGCTGTGAAGTTCTTTTCCTGGGCTGAAATGTCTTCCAGGTCCTGCGCACAATCTGTCTGGTTCTCTAGATCCACCCCCAAGCTGGCCCTCTGGAGCACAGCAGCAGCAGAGTCCAGACATTTCTGCATAGACTGCAGAGATAAGTGGTGCCTCTGGACCAGGGAAAGGGTTTGATCCACAGCCAGCTAGAAGACGCAGAAGGTGATTTCATTAACTTTTGGTGATTTCTACGTGAATTTCTCCACACAGATTAAGTTAGGAATGCATGCCTTTATCATTACAACAAGCATGATCCTGTCCTGTGTTGGGGTAAATACTCAAAAATAAATACGTATTATACATCACTCCTTAGTCTCACAAAAAGAAATCATTACTTTATTTAACGTTTATTACACTTCTAACTACATTACTGTACTGTAATGACATTGCCTAATACATATTGACATGGCAAGAAAAAGGCCTCACTGCGTGCCTCAGCGAATCAAGGTGGCACTGGCAGTAGGCTATAACTGCCTTAAAACAAAACTTCGATCAATATATAAAAAAATGTAAAAGAGACTGGCCTTCCTAACACTTCGTAGTACAAACATTAATTACATCAAATTATATATATATATAAACAAATAAAATGAAATATGGCCACTGAATTATGACAGACTAAAAAGGAAAACTAAACAGTGTCGCTGTTGTCGCCACGTTTTATGATTTATTTCTATCTGCCCATTATGCATAGACTGTAACTGAGGAACTTATTTAACGCAAATAACGATATTATTGTTGGATTAGTAACTGTACGTAAGCCACCTTCTGAATGTAATGTGATTACAGTAATGCATTCCTTTTTTACTCGTTAAACCCCAACACTGGTGCTGTCAGTAAAAATAGTAGACTACACTATGTCTGCACATGTATAAAATTGTCCTGTTCCAGAGCTTTCCTTCAAGTTTCAGTACATTGTACACCTCATTTTGGAATCCAGGTTTTTAAAAAGCTTTCTCTCAAAATGGCAAAGGTCAAAATTCTCCTCAGTGGGAAATCAAATGCCTATTATTTGCACATTTTCTCTGCAAAACTCTATTGATTTAAGATAGCTCTGCCATTTCATTGTAACTATTACTTATTATTCAACATAATAGAATCTTTGGGATATGGTACTTTAACACATTAAATCCCCACAACAGTTATACATTAATAATAACGTAAGTACTTATTCAAACTTCATGGAATCTCTTGAACTGTCCTTTAAATATTTCAGCTTCCCTGTGCCTATTAATATTGATGGTATGGGCAGACAGGAGATGGAAAAATAATATTTAGTAGGTTCCAGCCAATAAATGATGGAATAGATTCATGAGGAGTTCAGGATATTGACTATATCGGCTAAGGCGGTAATTGATCAGATTTATATCAATTAGAAACATAAAGCAATAGAAAATGTCTCCATGAGTGTTATTTCTGAATTATAATGTACACATACCTGTTTTTTGCTAATTCCTTGTTGTACTTCAGCTCCCAGCTTTGCCATCTCCTGTAGTTTCTCTTCTATGTGGGCAGGAACAGGTTTTTTTCTACTACAATACCTTTGCTTCTCTCTGCCCCCCAAAGCATCCCCTATCCTAAATCTACTTTTCACTTCCTCTTCCACGATCTTCAGTTTCCGCACTTCTTCATACACCCTCTCGATTTTGACCTCTGACAGGGCCAACGGCTCTTCCAATTTGACCTTGATAGTCCGCAGCCATTCCAACATTTTCACAGTCTCTTTTGTGAAATCTTCATTCTTTGTCACCTTCTTTTCATTTTCATCAACACAACATTTTACTTCACACCGTAAAGACTGCAATGATTCAAGCTGCAGTGTAGTTTCCTGAAAGGCAGCAGGATCAAACTTCAGGCCAAGGCCCTTAGTTTGTTGGTTACATTCTTCAACTTGAGAGCTCACACAGTCCAGACTCTCAAGCAGTAAATAAAGGCTTGTGATTCTATCCATGGCACCGATTTCTGCGTCTGACTTCAGTCTGACCAGTTTCTCTTTCACAGACTTAAACTCTGAGTCCAACTTGGCAGATACTCTGTTGTGTTCAACCAGTGTTTTCAAGCAATCATCCAAGTGCTTAATTTTCTGATCGTTTGTCTTTTTCAGCGTGTTGTGGAGATCGACCAGCTGCTGTGTCTCCTCCGCTCTGTATTGCTGACCCCTACTGAGAAACCCCTCATTTTTGCCATGCAGTTCTCTCACAGCAGGGCTAATATGGAATAAACTTTCATTAATACTTCTGTATTCATTAATTAGACGAGCAAGCTCCTCATCTCTAATACTGATAGTCTGCTTCTCCAGATTGTCAAACTGCTCCTGAAGCTCCTCCAGTGCATTACGAGTGATATCAAAGAAAGTGCTGAACTCTTTTCGCTCTAAGATTATTTGTTGGACTCTGTCTTTTTTCTCTTTGGCTAGAGCTAGGATGGCGTTGTACTGCTGAGGCAGGGCATTGAGCCTCTCATCTAGGTAGCAATGATCAATCTCGTTCAGAGTGGGGAGGATCTCCTGCCCTATTCTTTGGACAATGAGAAGAAGGTTCTCGTACTCTGAAGCTTGTTCTAGGACATTCTGAAAATTAGACAATTGTGTTTGCAACTCCGAGCTATCGTCAATGTTGCTTAGATTGATCTCAGGGAAGGTGATGGTGTCTGCTCGTCTCAACCAGTGGCAAGTCTTATCCAGGTCAACCTGGAAGTACTTCCTGGAGGTCAAGGCTTTCTCTAAGTCTGTGAGACGCTGTGTCGTCCTCTGGAGGGCGGTTTCAAACACTGACTGCAGATTCTCCAGTCTGGCCAGTGTTTCTGCTCTTTCTTTGTCACTGGCATCTCTCTCTAGCTCTCGCCCTTGTACCCAGAGAGATGCCAGCTCTCTCTGGTATGCTCGTAAACCACTCTGGACACCCCGACAAGCAGCAACCTGTTTGGCTAGGTCCTCAGGGAGAAGTGCTATGTGGTCATCTATCAAAGCCCTCCTCTCCTGTTGCTGTACCCAAGACAGTGCTCTCCCCAGGCCTTGAAGGAACTGTGTTCTCTCTGTAAAGGCCTTGAAAGGAAGAACAGACATTTATTTTCTAATGAAGGTTTAACAGCTTAAAAAGATGTAGCTTTTTTTACAAACCAGAAACCATGGATTACCAGAACCATCTGGAATCATGGACCATTATGAAGCTCGAGCCAATGATGTAAGAAGACGAAAAAGGACTAAATCATAGTGCACAACTCAAATGAGCTGATGGGTTCATATTTCACTGGAGTTGCACTATGTATAAATTTCATGTGACAAATAAAGAATGATGATGATAGCAACCAAATGGCAACCCACAGGGCTGAAAAAATGGAGCCAATGCAGAAGTGCCAAAAACTTGCAGTCCCGCCATTGGCCACTTCAGGCTGGCTCCAAAAGTGAGTCAATCCTCATGGACCCCCATGTTAAAATGCCAGACTTTATAGCAGAAATAAACATGTTTGAGTCTACTACAAAGATGGTTTTGATCTTTCAATATAGCTCACCCATTTAGTTTTTAGTAAAGCTTAAAGTTATGCATAATCAGTGGTGTGGCTGGTTTAATGACAGGTAGGTGACATCTGTTTACATGTCGCTACTACAACGACAACATTGGTTACTTAACATAAGCAAGGCGTAACCCCAGATTCACAGATAATACAGTAGGTGTAGCTGTAGCTATTTCATTGTGTTTTCAGTTCATGAAAGCTAATTGTATTTACATTTATTTATTTACATTTTACATTTTGGTCGCCTAGAAATGATGTATAAAAATTGGTTGTACTAAAAGACCCTCGAAGGAGTTGGATGTTCAGCTTTTCTGGTAACTACATTTTGTTATAATGATTTTAAGCCATTTTCAATAGTAAAATTTAGCATTAGTATTATCACAGCTAACCTTAAATGCAATGTTCTAACCAAGCTAGCAGCTAGTGTTAGGGCTAGTTCCACCCTCTCTTTCAAATGGTCACTTCTTCAAAATACTAAACTAGCTTCAAAACGGGAGTCAACAAACCAATAGGTGATGTTACAGTGGCTACGTTCATTATTGTATGCAGTCTATGGTAACAACATGTGGTTATCTGACAGTCAGTTTTTTGGATCACCTGGTTTCTTGTTACCACCAGACTATCAGAAGAAAGTTAGGTCCTTTAGGACATCATTAAAATTCTACTTGCATCCAATACAAAAATCCAGCTGTTTACCTTGCTGAGGTACTTCCTCCTTTGGGCTACCCGAGCCCCCAGAGTCTCCACTTCAGTCTGGGCTTGTTCAACGAGCTCCTGCAGGAATCTCTTCTCACTCAGCCCCAGTCTGGAAGCCACAGCCTGTGCCTCGCTCACTGCCTGACCCAGCAGCTGCTGACGGGCCTCCAGCTCCACACACACACTCAGGTGGTCAAACAAGAAACTCTGGGCCAGATCAGGGGGTGGGCTGGTTTTCAGCGCAGAGGTAAAAGCAGGCCGTTGCTCCTCCACCCACTCCCGGGCATCCCTCAGCTGGGTTTCAACACGAGCAAGATCCTCTAGTGTCTGTGCAGAGTCCTGGATCTTCTGTTGAATAAGGGTTTCAAGCTGAGCCCAGCGCTGCTCTAGATGACCAACCTAGTGAAAAGCAGAACACCATATAAAACTAGACCCAATACTTATGTGCTATATCAAAGGTTTCCCACTTAAGTTGCAGCTGAAGAACTACGAGAATGGAGCTCTACCTGTTGCTTGACCAGCTCCTTGTCTAGCAGGCTAAGTCGAGGGAGGATAGCTTGTTTCTGGTCTCTGAGGTCTTCTAGGGTTGCTCTTTGCTCCTCTAGGTCACTGGAGAGCTTCCTCAAAGCCTCTAGATGCTCACTTGTACTCTCTGTGTCAGCCCTGGGTACACACAGGTGCAGGTTGAAGAAAATCAGGTCTATACAGTAGTATAGTAATAAAAGATATACAGTAATTGTATTGGCTGAAATAAAGAGAGAGCAATGATAGTAACACCAGAGGAAATTAGTGTATCTATAGTAAATACTGTATATAGAGCCTTGTCAATAACTTAGTACATTTTTTTTGGAAATTAATGTTCACTATGTGTAAAATTTTACACAAAAATGAAACATCACAGCCTCCACAGAAAAGCTTGATACCTGGCGAGGTAGTCCCATTCCCTGGAAACTTGGTGGAAGAGTTCCTCCACAGCAACAACAATCTCCTGGTACTCCCCGCTTCGCTGCATGTCCTCCCCCCGCTGAGACTCCAGCTCCTCTGCCCGCTGGCCCAGGTCCATCCAGCTTCTCCTCAGTCTTCTTATCTCCTCCAGGGCAGGAGAGACCTGTCCATCTGTCAGCCTACCAACAGCTTCATTTAAATGGGTTACCTCAGACTGTCTCTCCCTAATCTGCAGAAGGAATTCCTGTAACAAAGATAATGGATTTTCACTGTCACACTGAACTTGAGTTTGAGTCTAACTACTTGTACAAATTTTACAACAAAACAGTGTTGTTGTAGGATAAAATAATAAAACAAAAAAACACTGATCATTGATCATTAGCATACAAACACAGACCTGTGCTTTGTCCAGCTGGTTCTGTGCAATCTTGGGCTCCAGCTCCGCAGGTCTTCTGATGAGGTTCTGAAGTTGCTGCTCTGTCTCTCTCAGCTGAACCTCCAGATCTGCCTTCTGCTCCTCAACGTCCCTCCAGCTGTCTGCGACCTCCTCACAGATCAGCATACGCTCTTCAATCTAGACACAAAATCAATTCATTCATCAAGTATTGTGTTAAACAATATATTCATTTTTTTTAAATTTAGGCTTGTCACAATAATAATCTCAAACCTTTTCATTTAAAATTATAGTTGGTAATCCTGTTCAGAAACACTTCTTGTTATACTGGGTGAAATGGTCTTTCCATCCTGAGTGCAGTCAATACATAATGTGTTCAGAAAAAGGAATAAAAAAAAATCAGACCTCTGTGGCAGCTGCAGGCCTGTAAAAACTCTGACCAATCCCTGCCATTCGGTGCAAATGGAAAGAATCAATCAGATGCCTTCATGTCTCGTCCTGCCCGAGCCCCCCTCCGTCCCTCCCTCCCTCCTCCCTGTGTACACTCATCACGTGTCATCGTTGCTGGAAATATTCAGCACACTCCTCAGCAGAAATACCGAGTTAGCAGGAGTTTGCTGAACAATGGCAGAGAAAATGCAGTCAAAAGTACCACTTCCAGTGTTACTAGTAACGGCTTGCCCCGCTAAACAGGCTGAGAAAAGAAAGTCAGAGGCAGATAAGGCTGTGATGAAAAAGGCTTTGGATAAAGCGAGAGGACAAAACAGACATCAACATCTGTGCAGCTTTTGAACGGTGGAGACAACTGAGGGAGCTGAAGGGCCTGAAAAGTGATGCTGAGGTTGCTGTCTTTCTGTTGGACAGGTAATTATTTGTTTGCTTCAGGGGGATTTGTTATTTTACTCGGCTCTCCTCTGCCCTGCTGACTTCTACTGCAGTGCAGGATGCGCGTTCAAGTTTGTGGGGCCGTGGCTTTGGACGGAGCACTGACGGGAGGGGGAGGAGGGGGAGGAGGGGGTGGAGCTGAGAGGAGGTGCCGCTTTCAAATCTTGCTAGCTCTCTAACATTACCAACTATAGCTTTAAATAAATGTCTGTTAAGTCATTATCTATCGTCGAATAAGGTAACATAATGATGATCAAGCCTATAGCCCACTGATAGAAAGAGTTGTAATAATTATATATTTGCAGAATGATAAACCGAGTGTGACAGTTTGCAGGAAAATGCTGTATTAGTCAAATGCTAATGCAAACCAAATGTTTCCTACCTTTGCAGCTTCACATTAAAAGCATTCAACTAGCAAAACACAGGCTGACTTTTATTTTGAAACTGTCAGGAAATGCAATGTGTTTTTCATTGAGCTTAGCAGTTTGCACTATAGTTCAGTCCTTTTTGGGTTCTGTTGTGAGCAGACCAGTATGAAATATTGCAGGGAGTAATAAAACAACAAGGAGCAGCCACAGTGAGCTGTTAAATGAAGCGCTGTAGGCGACAGGCTGCACACCTCCAACTTAGCGAGGTAACCAACTCCTTTCACTACCCTGCTATCCATAGACTCATGTCATGTGCAGCATGTAATCAGATCACAGTTGCTCACAGAATGATGGGAAAAGGCCAATCATTGCCCGACTTCTTTATTAAAATGACAATGGTTTGATTTGCTGCTCCCAGAACTCTGTGCCCTGTAGTATTAAGCCGCATTTGCTGTTACTACAGTAACTACAGGTGTCACCAAATCAACCGGGACTTAAATCGAGATTGCCACTTTAAAGCCAACTGACCTGCAATTTGACCTGCTGGATAGCTGCTGCCGTCCCTCTGACCCTCGGCTCGGACAGGTCACATGCTGAACACACAAGCTGGAGGTAAGTGCTGGCCTGTTCCTGTAGAGCACGCTCCTGCTTCACCTGCCAAAAAAGGAGCATGTTAATGATTCTATGGTTTTATTGACCGATCAGTGATCATATTTCTTTAGGACAATCTGCATATTACAATTGCTTTGCCTGCATTTTGCTTCCCAAACCAAAAACATACAATAAATTAAACTGCCCATGAAACTGCTATATGACAACCATGCATATTAATACTATTAACTCAGATATTCAAAATTTCAAGGGGCAACACTACATTTAAAAGGGATCAAAGCGAGCAACTTATCAGTCATGATGTTCTTGCAAAATACCAAACTCCTTGATTTTTTAGGAGTGGGCAGTGGCTTTCTGACCTGCTGTAGAGCCTCCTCCAGGCTGAGAGGAGGATGTGCAGGAGGCTCTGGTTCCTCTGAGACAGAGGTCAACCAGGTCTGGCACTGCTTCAGTGTGTCTTGGAGACTCACATGTCTCTGCAACTCATGGTCCAGACTCTGATACACCTGTGAGACACGAGCAGATAGTGATGAACGTCTGGAATTGAACAAACACAAAAAATGTCCACTAACAAAATTAAAGCAGACACATGCAATAAGACGCATATACAGTGGAACAAACTGTAAACGCTGTAGGTTAAGACTGCCTGGCTGCCAAGCTTTGAAGCAAGTATAGCATGGCCAAACAAAAAGAAACATTAAATGATAAAACCCGAACAAGTAGGCAGTTATGCGGTGTTGTATTTGACAGGTGTTGAATGTGGAGGCGTCCATGCCCTCCAGGGGAGAGTGAAACAGCAAGGTCTGATTGACAGTGTTAATATGAGAGCCCGAAAGAGAGAAAGAAGGGGGGCACATTTTGGCAAACCGCCCAGTGTATTTGGCAAAGGCTAGAAGGTTGGCATGGTGGCAAGTGGCAGGCAGGATATTAGAGCTGTGTTGTGCTGGGACACAGTTGGCAGCCATCGTAACACTGGAGGCGCAGTTGTAGAGAAGCCAGCAGCGTAGTGGTAAAGTGTGGCTGGATCACACAATGCCAGATTGGATGTGCAAGTGCTGGTGGAGGTGGTGTCTTGGGAGGTGAGCTATGATGACAGAGTAGAGGTTGCCAAAATGACAGAGTGGGCCTGGATTAGAGGGCTCGCCAGATCTACTGAATAGTGGTGTGTGACCATTTTTGGCTCAGGCATGAAAAAGTAGAGTTGACAGGGGATATGCAGAGATTAATATGGGGAGATTGAGTTAGTGATTTTGGCTGGTGGGGTCTGTCTGAGCATGGCTGCTGTTGAGCTCTACTTTGGCAGCCTTAATTGGTGGTGCCCTCTACACTGGCAGTGAAGGGCTGTCTTGAGAGATGGGTTTAAGTGTCAGGATGGGTTAGGATTAAGAGGATGCCGAGGCCGTTGGAATATTAATAGCACTGATATGTAGAACGTGTGTGTCTGTGCCTGTATGTGTGGTCACATCCATGGATGCATGTGTGAAATGTGCATGCATCCAATCCACTGATATATCTTACATTATAAATGTGTGAGAACCATTTCACTACTTTAAACACAGAATACATCTCAGCTTCCCATCCTTCTCTCCTCCTCCTCCTCCACCTCTGCCTCCTCCTTCGCATGCCCTCCTTCCCTCTTTCCATCTCCTCCTCCTCACTCACTCTCTGTGCTGTGCTACAGATGGCAGAGTAGCTGTCTCTGGTGCCTTGCTGGTGAGCCTGGACCTGCTGTCTCAGCCTGCTCTGCACACGGTCACTGCAGCCTTGTACCAGGTGGTCTCCTCGCTCCTTCAAGCCTGCCAAGCGATCCTCAAATCCTGCTATTTCCTCCATGATGGCCTGTGGAGGACAAAGTAGCAGTGTAGGATCATGTTAGAGAGAGTCTCAAGTGGACATGAATTACAGAGTCTGTCTACTCGTCAATGACATGGGAGGTCAAAGCAGACTGATACCACACAGTGAGGTCTCACAGCATTACACAGGCCTGAATGGATGAACTTGAAAGAAGATTATTAAGGATTATGGGTTAAATCGTTAGGTTAACCAACATAATTTTCCAGAAGAGCATTATGTCACACTTTTGCTTTAAGTCACTGATTTTACCACGTGTGGTTGTAATTAAGTACAGTCATGTAAAACTGAGAAAATTATGCTAAAACTTAGGCACTGATAACATTATTAAAGTCAGAAGAAGAACTCATACCAGTAGTTAATAACTTACAACAATATTGTATTATTCAAGCTCTCCAGGATTGGTGGTATAGTAATATTTATTGAGCAAAACCATAACAGCTGAGGTGAAATCATGCAGTCACCGAAACATACACAGGTACTTTTTATTAAATGTAAAAGGTGCTCATTCATTGTAATGACGCCAACAGTTAGACAGCACTTCAATCCAATAGTTCAGCAAATACAGACCTGGGGAGTAACGAGTTACAAGTACATGTAAAAAATTGTTTTTTTAAGGAGTGATTACTTGTCATGTACTTCTCATGTAACCCACTTTTGACTTCATTGCATTTGCCATTTATACTTTCAGTACAACTGATTAGTTTAGATTAATTACAGATTAATCCAGTGTTTTTTTTAAACTTTCTGTGACCAAGGCACACCAAAGTTCAAGCCAAAATCTCAAGGCAAACATATTTATGTATGTGTATGTGTGTATTTATATATGTCCACAAAAGACTTTCTAACGTGTTATCACTCTTATTGTGACATAAATGTCTGTTTTTATTTACTGATATCAAATAACAGTTGACAACCAAGTATAACTCATTAAACAAAATGATTCAAGAATTCATTTGAAACTTTTTAAAATGACATCAAAGCACTAATAACACATCTATTTATACAGGAAATAATGTAAGATAATGTGATGTGTCACATACTTATAATTTCCATGTGTGATCAGCAACAAATGGGTTCCTGTGAAGGTTTTTTAAATTAAATTATAATTAACCACATGTTCTAGGTAGAGTTTGCCTCTTTATCAGGAAATGAGTGTGTACAATATACTGATACAGTCAATTACAAATTCAGTCATAATGTTTTGTATAGGCCCAGCTGAATATTGCAATAATAATATGTGGTTTTCACAAAATCCCCACAGCACACCTGGAGTGGCATCACGGCAAACCAGTGTGCTGCAGCACACCATTTGAAAACCACTGGATTAATCAATGGGTGAGTTTGTAAATCCAATCTGACGCCCTACACAAAAATAAGAGCACTGTTTTTTCAATAAATAGGGAGTTCTATTTCTATATGAATTACAGACTGTTAGTTGAAGTACATTCTCTGTGCTAAGTGCTCTGCTACTCCGAGAGTGTGGTGCTGTAAATAAATCAGTGGCACTAAGCTATATCCAACAGCCCACCAAATTTATGAACAGTCCAGTTTGTGCCAGAGTTTGCTTATAATTTAACTCAAATAACATTTTCTTTTTCCTAAAAGGAAAAAGAAAATTACTGTACTTTGAGTAATTTTTTAACCAGGTACTTATTTTACTTTTACTTGAATCATTTTTCATTGGAGTAATTGTACTTTCACTTACGTATTAATTTAATCAGTACTCTACCCACCACTAAGCAAATGCTAAGTAGCTGAAGTCTGAGTATTTGGAGAGTCCTTCAGGATGAAAGTTTGCCAAAGTGAGCACTTTTGCTCCCTAATCAAGGCTCACTGCTTGAGCTGTATCATATGCTACAAACTCTGTGAACAACACCAAAAAAAAAAAAAAATCAAGAAATGTGATTGGTCACCTTGTGTCTGGCCAGCTGTTGAGTGGCTGCCTCCAGGCTGCCACCCACAGTTGGATCAGGAGTCACCATCCTGCTGGACATCTGGAGCAGCCAGCGCTCCACTTCCTGGAGCTCGTTGTGGTAAGCTTCCTGTTCTTTCACCTGGCCTTCCAGATTCTCCACATGGGCCTGGACCACATAATGCACACAATGTGAGCCAACACACACAATCAAATTATACTGATTACAAACAGCATGTGCAACAAATCATTACAACCACCTTCCTGAAGCAAAGTTACATGCCTCCTATCTATATCAGATTTATTCTAAAGACTAAAAAAAATCCTTCTTAAACCCGTCTTGTTTGTATTACCCAAGCGTTACGTATGTAATCAATAGGTGTATTAAGGGATCATATTCCTTGCCGCAAATCCATCTGCCAAGTCTCCTGCAAGGAAAGATTATTCACTTTTTCCTTTCAAAAGTAGTGTCATCTGAGCACAGATTCTCACCGTGGCTGTATGACAGAGTTCAGTGTAGTCCCTTTGCATTCTGTTCATTTTGTCTCTGATGGAGGGGTAGTGGACGGAGGCTAGCAGAGCGTCTCCTTTCTCCACCACTGACCTGATGGATCCATCATGGGACTGAACCATCTGCAGCAGAGCCTGGAGACACAATAAGCCAACATGCATCATCAGTATCCTCTAGTATAAAGTAGGGACATCTTCTACTATAGTGTCAATCATTTCCAAGAGCACACCATAGGCATCTGTCAGTATAAAAAGCAATGGTATACTCTGGAAAATGATCAGCAGTTATGGAAAGTATATTCAGTTTTAAAGTTAATGGACTAAGATATGCAAGGACACTCATGTGGTCCATTAAGATAATAATATTCAGTAAGGTCTTGCTGCCATCCGCCAGTGCAAATTTACATATTGTACTCATGTTTTCAATTCAAATACAGTACATTCAGAGAGAAAAGATTGAGAAATTACATAGTTGCTGCTATACCTTATGTTTAGCCAGCAGTGCTCTCCGTTGATACAGTTCAGCCTTGGGCTCCACAGGGGAGCTGAGCACAGCCCTGGTCTCCACCAGCCACTGGGCCTGAGCCTTATATCGGTCCTGGAACTCCTTAGCTAGCAGTGAGGCCCGCTGTAGAAAGCTGTGCTCCTGTCTCAGCCCACCTGCAAGCTCCTCCAACTGGGCAAGACGAGCCTCTACCTCCGCTCCCAAACTCTCAGCTCCAGCCTCGTCCAGGAAGCCCGCCGCCTGCTCTGCCCGCTCCCTCAGCGATTTCAGGAAACTGTGACCGTGTTGGAGCTCAGACTGGAGAGTCTGGGTGACAGAGAGAGCAGAAATACAACTCAGCATTGGTGCTACTACGGTGTCACCATTACTTTATGCTGAATGACCTTCAACTGGGGCATTTTACACCGAGTTAAAGAAAAATATTGCCCCACTGGTCTGGTGTACCAAAACTGTAGCATTTACTATATCCTTTAGATTGAGGGAATCCTTCGATCATAGTTTCAATGACTTTGAGGTTAACATTCAAACATAGTATCAGTGATTTCTTTCTCCTTCACCTCCAGTGCTGCCCAGACCAGCCTGGCAGTGTGTTTGAAAGGCTTTGAACCCATCAGGTAGGCTGACACCTGCACGGTGAGATGTGGAGAAGACTTGGAGGTCACGTTGTGGAGAAACCACAGCGAATAATATGAAAGGAGGACCCAATTATAAGGACCCTTAACAGGCAGCAGTAGCTGCGGGGGTTTCCAGGGCAACCACAACACACCACACACACAGAGACCTCCACTCGATGGGACGCCATCTAGCTTTCATCATCAGTCTATTATTGCTTGAGTGGAGAGTAGCTTCACACTGCAACAACCCCAGACCTCCAGCTACTGCTGATAATATAATATAACAAGACCTGAGTCTGTATGCACACGTTCACGTTTGCAGCTCCAGGCCCGTTCATCATTTCAGCCTCAAGGCCGATATCCCTGTCTTCTGACCTTGGTAGGAGACACTCAGTGTATCCCAATTCCATACAATTCTGTATAAAACAAAGAAAACAAAGAAGTCCGCGGCAATAGCCATCTGCAGTAGATTAAATTCCGTATGACTCATTATCTCCACTTTACATTGAAACATCTGCTCTCATCTCGTACCTGAAATCACATATGCTGCTTAGTGACACTACTGGCTGTCCACATGTTGCATCAAACTTGCAAGATTAGCATTTTATAAACACTTCTCCAGAATCTAATTTGTTCCAAATTGTGCATTTACATCCAGGACTGAGAAGCAATTCAAATACACAAAGGATATTTATTCTAACATGAAAAAAAAATGTTCACAGTCCATTTCAGCATGTAGCTGTTCCAGCTAGGACAAAATAATAATTCAGTGGTCTTTCACAGCTTGGTTTCACAAACTGTCTTGATGAAATTAGCCACTGATGAAGGCTGGAAACCTGCTTAGTCTTATATCACTGAGCAGCACTAATGCTTTGATACAGTAGTAGACAGTACATTCTGGTGAACATTACACATGAGGTCTTGAACACAGCGTGCCCTTTATGCTGTAAACTGTCTTGAGGCATGTCAGCCCCAATTATCCATGTCAAGTGTCTCGTGCACTCGCTGTAAATGACTCTGTTTCTTATTCTGCATCAGCTCCATTATCTACTGTAATAAATTTACTGTGGCGCTGACAACCATGTTCATCAGTTAAATTATCTTGTAACAGAGGTAAGACATTACTATGGTGACCTGGTGAGCAGCAGTTAGCTCTACTGTCATAGTCTCTCTGCTTTAAATGTACAGTATGCACTGCAGCACAGAGACATTATGGTGTATCTGCACAGGCAGAAATGTTGTTATAATGGTTAGGCCAAAACTAAAAGATAACATTCATACATATACCTACAAAAAGTAATGGATCACAATTAGTATAACCCACTTAATCATGAGCCAGTATTTCCTGTATTACCCAAGTAATTGGGAAGGCTGTGGTCACCAAGGCACTGGTGGGATTAAAGACGGAAGTAGTATACAGACCAAAAGTCTGCATAGAGAGGTAGGTGGTGGATGGGTAAAACAACATTGGACTTTCCCCCAGGAGACTGGTGTTCGCACCATGTGAAACCAAGTGAACTTTTAGCAATTTTAAAGTACGTTATCATCATGTTTCTTTTCCTAAATCTAACCTATAGTATGTCACTTTACTTGCCTAAGCCTGAAGATGCCCAACCATGTTTCTTTTCCTAAACTTAACCTATATAACTTAAGTTAAGTACATAATGTCATTCCTGAGGCGCTAATTCGTTGGACATTATACAAGCTATTGTGTGTGCATTTTTGTAAGATATCACATGACCGTTTTGTTAGAATATGTTAAGATAACTGACTTTCTTTTTTTTTATTCTAGTGCTATTTGTAATGCCAAATAACGAATAAGAAATTCAAACATGGACCTGTTAACTTCTATCGTCAAGAGAAAAACCCAGACTGTGTGCATCAGACGGCACAGGGACTTGGGGAAAAAATGCCCTTGAACATTTATGAAATGCCAGTGAAATTAAAAACATGGAAGGGGAAGGCAGCGGGGGGGGGGGGGGGGGGGGGGGCTAATTAGGAGAGGGAGAAACACTTTTTTATATTTTGCATTTTGCCCTGTATACAATTTTTGTATGAGCAAGCAAGTAGAGGATGCTTTCCGGAGCACCTTACCAGAGAAATTATTGTAAAAATATGACAAGTAATATGTTCTAAAAAATGAAAGAATTGGCAAAAGTCAGGTAAAATGTAAAATATAATGAATTTTATTATTTAAAGGTTCCATATTGTGCTCCTTTTCAGGTTCTTACTTGCATTTGGGGTTTCTATTAGAACATGTTTACATGCTTTAATGTTCAAAAAATACTAGTCTTATCATACTGCCTGCCTGAATACACCTGTATTCACCCTATGTCTGAAATGCTTCATTTTAGCACCTGTCTTTCTAAGCTCCCCTCCTAAAAAGCCCAGTCTGCTATAACTGGACAGTGATTCTGGGTCTATCTTGGTGCCTCTGCACCGTCATTAAAGCTAGGGAATGACTGTAATGGCGCTGTCGTAGCAGTTTCTACCATTATATTGTATAGCTGTGACATCACAACTTCACTGACGTCCTGACCACTCGTTTAAAGGTAGTTTTTGAATAAGGACTGTGTGCTATTTTTAAAATGAACAGAGCGTTTTGATACTTTCACATTATTTATATAGCACCTACACCTGCTTTATAATAGAAAAAAACATACAAACTTGACTTTTTACACTGAAGGACCTTTAAAAACACAAAACTGCCTAATTTATGGGGAAAAGTCATGCTCTCTGAAAACTATATGTCTTACGATGGTACATTAAACTTTCATTTTTGAGCTCTTAATGAAGTTACAGCACATTTTTAGCTAACAGGGACCATTACTGCTGTGTGACTCATACTTTTACAGTTATATCTCAGAATTCAATGAAGTCTAAATCCAACTAATGGCCCTTGACACAGCTATTGACTACTGGTCTTTGTGTCAATGCATAATCATCCCAGCTCACTGAAAACTAGCAGTAGCTCTCACTGTAGCTCTCACTACGGGAGGATGAGTAAGTGATGGAGCACTCGCGTATTATCTGCAGTGCTGGAAGGACACATGTGGTGACAGCATGTCCTCAGTCCCTATGCAGAGACAGAGCATCGATCCCAGACAGGGATTACTGCAAAGCCCACACCAGATGATGTATTGTAAATGTCTACGTGTGTGTCTGTAAATGTGTTTATGGATGTGTGTGTGTGAGGAAGACAAAGAGAGAGGAGATGTAGTGATACATAAGGAAAGGTGGTGGAAAAAATGTGTGAAATCACAGAGGATTCATGGGTAAGAGAGTTTGCTGCAGCTTGTTAGCTAGTACTCTGGATAGGTTTTGTGATATGAAGCGAGTGTTAGAAGAGAAAAATGTGTGTGTGTGTGTGTGTGTGTGTGTGTGTGTGTGTGTGTGTGTGTGAATGTGTGTGTGATGTGAAGCGATAAGGGCACTGCATCAATTACAGTGTCTGTGCCAGCAGGCTCCTGACACCGGCGCTTCTTCATCCTCTACTTCACAGTGGGAGGTCTCTCCCTGCTACCACGCTTCCTCTAAAGCGGCACCCGCATTGTCTTCATAAAGAGCTGATCGATACACACGTACTCATCCAATCCTCTACACACTCGATATGAACTATGCCAAGCAAACGATGGTGGTTATTTTCTTTTTAGTGCAGTCTGTGTGATGGAGCAGGGCTACTTCCCTCCAATGCCCATTTGACAAAAAGTGCACGAAGACAAACTGTTGCCATTATACCAAATCAGTGAGTTGATAGAGCACAGTCCAAATATTTTAGGTACACTGAATGCTTTGGAAGCTTCATGCATATTTTACTGGTCGAGCATACTGTAGCTGCCAAAGAAATCTGTAGACTTGATGTTTCTAACAGGTACCGTATGTTGCTTGGCAGAAAACAAGATTGCACAAGGACATTTTTGCTGGCTTAGATATTGGACTAATATGAGTTTGTGCTCAAATTCTCCACTACAAACAGGAGTCTTGCTAACTCATCAGTTTGCCATGGTAATACCCCACGTCTGGGCTGATTTATTGCAACCTGTTCAGGGAGGTGTATTAAGCTCGGCACTGCACCTTGTATCATAATGCCTCACTGACTGTGACTGTGAAACCATCTAACCACACGGGTACAGTACAGATTTAGATAAATAAATCAATACCTCTACTTTTTTCGTCTTCCTCTCCATGGCGACGCGGTCCAGAGGTTCAGAACTGTCAGTTAAAGCTGTGAAGCTTTCCTGAGTGGAACTGAGCCAGTCCGTGAAGGACGTGCAAAGGTTTTCAGCCTCTTCGATGCTCTTCAGCTCCTCCTGAAGCTGCTTGATAGTGTCCTGAAAAATAAAAGGATGAGAAGTCAGAAGTTAAGTTTAAGAGAATATACACTGTTTTTAAAGTATGACACCAGTGCAAAGTGTTTTATAGTTACTGTACACTGCTGACTTATCTCGCATAGCCAGTCGTATCTTGAACCATGTCAGCACTAGAGAAAGGTCTGGCTGAACCCACCATAATTTCACATTAAGGAATAAAAACACTCTGGGTTGTTCCTAATTCTTTAAACTGATCACAACTGTCTTGGGCTGTGCTAAGCCCATAAAGGAGTGATGGTACCCTTGCAAAATAGTGTTGGGAGAGAACTTGTTTAGATGAAACATTTGCACATGGAGATGCAAACACTGGAATTAAAATGGCTATGTCCCCACAAAAGAAAACACCACATTAAATATTAAAAAAAAAAAAATGTGTAGGTTGCCACTTTGGAGGTGACTGTGTAGATAGCTTTGGCTATAATGGGACTAGCTTCACATAGCGATGGGGATTTTAAAATAGGCAGCCAAGACAGGCTTTCTGACTTTTTTATTTCAACTTAGGAATTAACTGGATATTAGTGCTACACCACCCTTTTCACATTATATCTAATAGTTCAAGCAAAAAGGTGAATAACCTTCACTTCAACAACTGCTGCCATTTTGTTTTGGAGGTTAGAGTTGTTGGTAAACTTTGATTGACTGTGTTTGGTCAGGGGAAAATTCAGGAAACACGGTCTGTATCTCTTTCTTTTATGCTGTGAGATGTGCCTCAGCTGTCTTACTTTGGCCACCAAGGACCAAAAGCTCTCTGATCAACCATCAAAACAGAAAATATCCGTTTCTCCGCTGCTCATTCATCTGCTGAATGTCAATAGCTTCACTACAAGGTGAAGAGGGCTTTTATGTTTTTTTGACGCATTATCCACTTGACTGAGATTTTGAGTCAATAACACCATGAGGATGGAGAGGGTTTCTTGCAGGTTTGACACATTATTCACTCAACTTGCAAATCCTGTGGTGAGAAGCCCCAATTAACAGAAAGTGCTGAGTGAACACCTTTTCTGACTAGACAGAGGTAACAGCTTCCCACCTCAAGCCCATATGGCCCCCACTTCACACAGTATAATTACAGGCATCCTTGGTATAAGAGGGATGTCATGTGTCTGCATACGTACAGTATGTAGTGGCATGACTGTAAGTTTATTCATGCTTGAGTCAATTTTGAGTAGGGGAAGGAAGGGGCGTGGGTATAATGGAGACAGAGGAACAAAGTGAGGGAGTGAGGGTGAGACACACACGCACACAAAAACTCAGATGTGTTACTGAAGGTGTAAAAATCAATGTAGCGCAGGCAAAGCTTTTCCACTCCTGGTGCCGGGTGTGAGATTGCCTTCTGTAGCGTTTAATTACAGCCTTAGCCCCAGACCAGAGGAGCCCCATTGATTTTCCTTTAGTCCCCCCCAGAGGAGCAGACAAATAGAGAGGCTGGATCTGAGTATACAGAGCAACACAAGCTGGGCTCACAGGCATAACTCTCAAAGCTACTTCAATGGGGTGTTACAGAAACAAAGTCCAAACTCTCACTGGAGAAAATTCCATGGTGAGAGATAACCATGTGTGAGAAGCCCACTGCGGGTAGAGACCCCAACGGCAATACACACAGCTTCACATATTCTTTATCCATCATCGAAACAGTATAACACAAAAGGGACTAATCCTATACCCAGCACCATTAAGGCTTATGTTTAACTATTCTTAACTCATAATGACAGGTAGGAATTTTCCAGAAAATCTTGTGATTGGACAGGAATCAGAGTATTGTAGTGTGTCCGGACTTCCTGACCACCAGAGGCATTTTTTAAACCCTAATATACAGTCATAATAAAAATAGTAGGGGTGGGTGAAAATTATATTAATAATTAATTATTTAAATTATGAATATTCCAAGGACAAATTTAACTTTAGGTAGCTGGTTAGAATAATAACATCAATTGCTTTTTCAGTCCACTAGATAAAATTTGCTGCAATAAAAATGACTGAAGTAAGATGAACAGACTGAAAACTTTTGGGGACGTAATTTGCTGTTGAAAAATGGTAAAAAATTGCAATATTGTGTAATAAATGCTATTGCAAGGGTCAGCATATCCCAACTCATTTACAATCACAGTAATATTGTATCAGGACTCAAGTATCATCATAATATCGTATCGTGGGTTCTCTGGTGATTCATGGTGACCCTAAAAAATAGTATTGTTCTGCATGGATACCATATAGGTTATCTATAAGAACTGATGACACAGGTCACAGTGACTTCCACATGCTGTACTTCTTCCAGGAAATCAAGTCATTGCGGAAGCCGTAAGACGACAAGATGGAGGAGCTTACAACATTGGTGTCCAAGTACCCAGAGTTGTGCAGTGCTAGCAATTTAATTTAATTTAATTTAAGATAACTGGGCCTGTAATAACATTTTCCTACCAAACTTTCCAATGACTGTAAATTGTCCAAATATGTAGAAATCTTTATAGTCTGCACCTTATGATGATAAGGTGCTTTAGTAGATAAAGCGAGTCTTTGTCTGCCGACAAAAAGTTCTGTTTTTAAAAAGTGGAAGCATCTGTGAACCTCAACAGACTAATAATATATGAATCGATGAACAGGAGAGAGTGCCTGACCTGTATGTTGAGCAGCAGGGAATGGTAGCGGGCCGTGAGCTGGGTGGCAGTAACACTGACACGACTACTGATGTAGGTTTCCTCCAGAACCTGCTGGGCCAGAGAGGAGAGGCCATCGACTTCTCCCTGCCGTGCAAGCACTGCCTCGAGACACCCCTGTTCAGAGGGGACACAGGGAAATGAATAATTAGCATCATGCTGGTGAAACCCAGTCAAAAATATTCATGACTTAAATGTAAATGAAGTTTTTTTTTAATGAAATAAAAGGGCAAACAGGGGTGAAAAGGAAAACAAGAGATAACAGATCACATTTCAAACAAGATAAGGAGGCCAAGGGGTCTGTGTGTGTGTGTGTGTGTGTGTGTGTGTATGCCTCTAAATGCAGGGAAGGAAAATACTGAGACTGTCTGACATCCTGACACTGGCAGGAAGCGTGCTCTAAAGGGAGGAGGCCCAGTCGGGAAATATTCTGTCCCCTGCTGTTTTCCTTAAATGCATGTTTTGAATGAAGTGTATGCATAGGAAGGAAAAGTGATTTATTACAGTGCATGGCCCTGTGATGCTTCATTTTATTTTGGATGGCAAAAGGTTGTTATTGGCTTGGATAATTTTTGGCTACATTTTGAGTGAGTAAATTGGCAGAGTTAATTTTGAAGGATTTATTTAGCTCTAAACTACTTAGGGCCTAAAATTAGTGTTGAGAAAATGTTATTGTTTGTTTGTTATTGTTGTTGTTTTGAGTTAAAGTAACTATGTGGTCGACAGTACAACCAGGTGTTAGTGTTGACTGAAGTTATTTGTTACTGTATGCGCATACCAGTAATAGAGAAAATAATATATACAGAAAATAATACAGGAGAGGATAGAATAAGGGATATATAATCAGCTCTCTTCAAAGCCAACAGACCCCACTGACAATTCACCTCATTTTAGCTCGCTGAACACAGAATTGCTGGTCTACCACTGCCTCAATCGTTTAGTTAGTTAGCGTTATTGTGTGACTTTGGTGGCTTTGAAGAAAGCACAGATAATGGCTATAGTCCGAAGGGGCTGTCTGATAGCAAGGTAAGGGGATTAAATATTCTAAATATAGTGTACACTTAAACCAACATAGATTTTTGGTGTATTAGCTCCCTAAAATAGATTTTGTAGATGTCCAAAGCAGTACATTGCTTAGCTTCCATGCCAGTATTACACTGAATCCTTTGATCTGTCAAAATTCGTGAACCAGCACCTAAACCCTAACCACTCAACAACTCACAAAGTCTGATTTTTGAGGGATTTTTCAAGTAAAAGATTTCTGTGTTACGCCAGTACTCCTTTCTGCTTCTCTAAATTTGGGGCGCACTGACCACCATCTACTGTAGGGCAGATAATACTGTACACTGACTATGGATAAGTATCTCTTACAACTCCACTTTAAAAATTCCCATAACTATCCCTTAAAGAGCCCATATCTTATATAGACTTAAAAGCTCTTTCCCTGTCTCTGACCTTAAGTTTCTTCAGCTGTGTCTCCTTGGTGCCTCTGTCTGACCGCCGATGACGTCTGACGTTTGCCACCTTCTCCATCTCCTCCAGCCACTGGGCCAGACTCAGGAACCTTTGGCCCATCTGCCTCAGTCTGGTCAGTGTGGAGCTCAACTGGGTCTGAGTCTCCTCCAGACGGCCCTGGTAGGCCCCCCACTCCCGCTGAGCAGTGTCCAGCGCTCTGTCTTCAATCTGAGGTATACCCCAGGGGATCACTCTCTCTCTGCTGGTCAGCACAGAGGAGAGCAAAGACTGGCCATTTGAGCAGCGTTCCTGCAGGAGCTGTAAGGGAAATAAAAAGTGAAGAAAAAGACACAGTGTGATTGAAGAGTTTAAAGTGGTTCATTAACCAAAAGGCAGGCAGTCAAAGGCTTTGTTAGAAAATTCTGTTTGAACTTTGCTGTCAGTTGTGTGTACGAGAGTGTACAGTGATTACACTCCTTGCTCATGATAATTACATTATGCACAACACTACACAGTGTTACCTGTAGCTGTTGCAGTGTCTTCTCCAGTGTATCCACGTTTCCCTCTGGATGGGACAATGATGCCAAAGAGGCCTGTTCCTGCTCCAGCCAGTCCTCAAACACATGTAACCCCCTTTGATATTCCTGATGGACCAGCACCAGCCCTTTGGCCTTACTGACTGCATTCTGCAAGACAACAGGTTGGAGACATTACTAGAAACAAGGGGTGTAACCACTCAATATAACAGGGGCACTGGACAGTGAAATTTTGTTATAAAAAATACTATCACCTGACTACTGACTTCAATTGTTTGAGTCTGAACTACATGTTTACGTCATATCTGAGCAACAAAGGTGTATGTAATGTATTCTGAAGCTGCACATAAAGTCTTTAAGTCTGTAAAAAAGAAAGTGAAACGTGCAATGAATTTAAAATGTGTTACTTAAATGTTCAACATGCAGGTCACACTCTCCAACAATTTGTGGGAATATAATTGAGAAACAACATGTAGTGGGTGTTCAGAGAAATATTCTCAAAAGTCATTTATTATTCAAATGGCTGCAGAAGAAAAAACTGAAACCCTATGTTGTGTGTTCTCTAGGTACCTTGGCCTTTTCTTTGAGGGCGTTATATCTACACTGCAGCTGCTGCACCTCCTGCTGGGTAGTGTAGTGTTCAGCCATGTTGGACCCCTTTGTGGCAATGGTCTCCAGAGGACTGCTGTGACTCAGTACTTCTTCATAGAGAAGCTGGAATGAAATAAGAGCACATGCACACAGTCAGTGTAGTACATCTAACTCAACTGGGAGGCTCTGGGGTATAAATGTGTATAAAAAGAAAAGTGTAGCATAGGTGCAGGAGTAGCGCATTTAAATTTAAAAAAAAGGTAATATTTCATCTGTCGTGACTCAGCCAGAAATCAGGTTCACGGACGAGGAAATATATTTAAGTAACATTAACATTACATTAGGTCATGTTTATTCATGTTAATTCACATTGTCATTTCATTCTAAGAAAATAGCAGCAACTAAGGTAACATTAACTTGCTACCTTACATGGACACATGGAGCTTCAGCTAGTGCCCTGTGGCAACTCTGATTCAGCAAGCCAAACAAAGCCACCATGGGTTTGATCTGGACCTCTCTGACCCACTGCTAGATCACTAAACTTTCTGTTGCTGCCATTACACAGGTTAGACCCAGTGCTGCTGCTGGCACGCTAGCGTTGGGGCTTGCACTGGCTAAATTTGAGTTGCTACAGCCGAGCTGCTGCCCACTCATCTCCCAGTGAAGTAGACTCCTAGGTGTGGAGTGAAGCAGGGGGACCATGTGGCGTTCTAATATTAGTTAGCTAGCTTATCTCATTTAGCTTCACAGCTGTTTTCTTGTGATAGTTAAAAAAAAAAAAAACGCTAGCTTGGTCACTGGCATGAGCCACTTGAATCATTAGCTTGTTGTAGTTAGTTAAATCGATAATGAAATATATCAATAAATTAGGTCTCTGCTGTGCTGTGAAATTACATACCATTAACGAAAAAATGCTCTGTTACTATTACTGAATAAAATTCTGTGACACTGTATGATTTTTAATGATGTATCATCAAGTGTTTCCTATAGCAACTAGAGAGGGTAAAGGAGAAATGACGCCACTGAAAGGTGACCAACAAAATGCAGGTTTCTTAAAGAAAATAACAGATTAATAACAGGAACATTTGAGATGATGTTTGTACACAACTAAACAAAATATATATCATATGTAAAGTCGTTATTAGACGTTCTAATGTGGAAATGATACATGTTGTATCTTTAAGGCAACCTGTTAGTGAGATGTGATACCTTAGTCTTTCCCAGGTTAGCGGTCTTGTCTCTCATCTCAGAATACTGTCTGTCTGAGCAGCTAAGTGTCTCCTCAACCCGGTCCATCCACAGCACAAACTGACCCACATCTTCCTGATAGCTGGTCCACTGCGACAAAGCGCCCTCCAGCTGGCTGTTACATCAACATAATAATGTTAACACACAGGGAACAAACATAACAAAAAACACACACTTGAAACATCCACATGCATTTAAATCTAATTATCCCGCTAACCTTTCAACCAACTGAAATCAATCAAGTGAAACTAGACAGTTCCCGGTCCCATTTATCAACTAACTGACAGATTGGTTGATTCATGATCACAACCTTTTACACTGAATGGAGGCAGAAAGCAAGGAGTCCCATGAGTCTTTGAGGTCCTGGATCTGTTTGCGAATCACTGGGACCCCCTCAGCTGACGTGTTCCTCTGGACTGCTTCTCCCCGAGTCAGAAGCATCTTCAGTTGGATCTCCCGCTCCTGACGAGCAGCCAGTAAGGCCTACAAACATAGGTGAATGGACAAATGTAAAATAACTATCTTCAGTCTAAAATAAATATCTTTATTTCTGTTTCCACATCATTAAAGGAATGCAACATGTTTTCCAGATGGTCATACTCCCCAGCATGGTGAGGTGGAGGACATCATCTGGTCTGAACTTGACTAATTTTGGGGGTAAAATCAGACACAAAACTGCCAGACTTGACTATTTACCTTTAAGGTTACCCTGCTGCAAGACCTGATTGTCTGAACCCAATCGCCAGAATAAATGTTGGCATTGTATGTTTCTGCAAACCAAACAAATGTAACATTTGTTTGGATATGTTGAAACTTTATGTTTCAACAACACTGTGGTTTATGTGTGACTATGTTTAGACACAAAAAGCACTTGGTTATGACTAGAAAAAGATCATGTTTTGGCTTAAAATACCCAGTTTTGTTGGCACAATTTCTAAATGAAATGATGATAATAACATTTTTATTGTCCGCTCAAGTCTGAAGTGCATCACAGCAGCTCAGTTTGCAACATCAACAGGACAAACATTTAAGACAAGAAACCAACAACATTCAAAACCCGTCAGTGTGCATTTGATCTGAGATTAAACTCCTGTTTGGGGTCAGTGACAATGGTTTAGCTTGCCTTAATAAGTTGTTAAGAAAGGCTTATTTAAAGACGTGGTCCACGGGTTGAGCAACAGTTTTGTTGTTTGTTGGTCTTGAACAGTGGTTGCAACTTGGCAGCCGTCTGTGTCTCACACCATCTTTTGATGTGACACATAGGAAACATACAGATGTATCAAAAAGTGTTTGTGATTTGCAGAAACATACTATGCCAACATTTTCTTCCAGTGACTGGGCTCGATGTTCTCACTTCTGAGACAATGCTACTTTCCTTTAATCACTGAAAATGTCAACATGACACACTGAAGGAAACATATCTTTGGGGGTGCTTAAATTAACCAACAGCCCACTATCTGAAAATAATGGTGTATTCCTTTAAGAGAGCCCACACCCGTCCTGTCCCTCCTTACTTCCAGCTGTAACATCCGGTCCTCTAACACCCCCTTGTCAGTGGTGGTGGAGATGCAGGTGTTGAGGACCCTCTGAGCTTCACACACCCAATCCTGGAGCTCTTTAAGGCCCTGAGAGAAGAGGCGGTGTTCCCCTACAATACGTTCAATCCTGGAGGCCTTGTCCTTTAGAGATCAGAGCACAGCACTGTAAACACACTCTTCAAGAATGGCTCTGAGAAACAGGTTAGCACTGAGCTAAAAACTAAGAATATGATTATTTCCAATGCACAACAACAGCTTCTTAATATATTTCTGTTTGCATTTGAAATTACTATCTTGTTTTTCCTCACAGGCATCCCCGGAGACAATACCACCCACACATTACAGCACAAACACAATGCATTTTGTTTGCAGTCATCACTCGTAAATCTTTAACATCTGCGTAACTGTAGAGTGGAGAGAGGCAGGGCTACAATAATAATCTACAAGTGGCAATTTTAAGTGATTTCATTCCTGTTTCCATGTCTGGCAGGGAAGAAGACCTAAAAATAGCGCTCCACTAGCTCTCCGGCAAAGTAAATAAATCTCATTCATCATCGTTGGGGCACTCTCATTGTCCTGAGGTAAAAGAATGGTGCTTTGCGGTCAGAGTGTTTTGTTCTGCGCTGTATCAAATTAATCATAAGAGTGTGACCAATTTAATGAGATCTTCAAAAAAGGTCAGATTCTTAAGCACTGACACATTTCAGGTCTGGCATTTTAGAAGTGCTTCAGTGGATAAAAGGTAAGCCTCACAGCCTTGGCCTTTTTCATGTTGATAAGGCGGCAGCTGCAAGGACCTTTTGGAGATGAAAGATAGATTATTGCGCTCAGGTAAATTACTGTGAATACCAAGACTTTCTTGGGCGCAATATTTTTATCCAAGGTAAGCTGATTACAGCCACTGTGATTGATGTGCCACTGGGGAATGCATGACGCAGCAAATAACAGACAACAGTAAACAGCATAGCTGGAAAGGAGGCTCCACAGCTTTTAGTTCACACACAAGGCACATTTCAGCATGCAGCAGCATTTCTCAGACAGAGGCACAGATACAGTAAGTGGACAGGAGAGGGGGTACAGGGTGGGGGCAGTGTTACCTTGGTTAAATTGCTGAGTGCTAGGTACTGTGCTGATAGCTGGGACACACGATGGACGAAACCCTTGCCAGCTGCTTGTCCCTCCCAGAGACGATGAGCTCTTTCCCTGAGCCTCCCCAGCTCTGCTTCCCGACTGGCCATCTCCTCCAATACACACTGGGCCAGTAAGAAGCAGGAGGAGATGGAAATGGAGAAATAAAAGGTAACGGAGCAGTAGGATGTGGGTAAGCACAGTTGGGAGGGAGAAGAAACAGAGCACATTGAAGAGGATGGTTGTGTGTAAGCACCAGAGTCAAGGGGAAAATGAAACGACAGAAAACATGAAAGCGATGACAGAGAAGGGAGGTAAGAGAGGCACAGAGGAGGGATACAGGGTTGGGTTAACATGTCACAAGAACAGACCGAGCAACAAGAGCACATCAAAATACATGGATAAAGACAGGGGAAAAGAACATCATAAAAAAACAGCATCAGCAGTATTTTCTCTTGATGTTCGTATTTAAATAGAGATGTGCTTATTCGGTTAGACACCACAGCTCAGAACAGGGAAAGAAGACAAGCCTGATAAAATACTGCCAAGGAGGGGGGTATATATGTGAAAAGGTAAAGAGGATTTTGCCAACACAGGTTCAGACACTGAAGCAGGCATGTATTGTATTGTACTTCAGGTGCTGAGGGGAAGAAATGTAATTGCTTGCAGGGCTAGACAAAAGGCGATGAGGAGAAGTGCTACAGTGGGCGACAGAGTAAATACAAAAATAGCAACAACGATAAGGGCAGAGCTTTGAGATGGGCTTGATATATTTTTTTCTCTATTGTCAGTTTTATCTTTTTAACGCTCCGTGCCTCTCTTCCTTTTTTGTCTCTGCCAGACACGGCAGAGGCTGTTATCGCATCCTGAAAAGGGCCTTTTAGCCACGCAGCGCTTCAGCTGTGACAGAAGGAGAATTAATTAGATTTCTGGAGTTTTCCTCTGACTATTGTGTCAAGACGCTGCTCTATTTTGATCCGGTGGTGCTCGACAAATGTAATTAGGTACCTTCTCTTTTCCCAGCTGATTTGAGATTGGACTTTGGGGATGCATATCTGATGGAGAGCTACAACTATTTAGTATCCTTGGAAAATCTACTTAATATTCAATTTATGGTGTAACGGCAGGGTTTACTTGAGTGAGAAGAGGAAATGAGAGGGTGTCAGTGAAAGTGGCTGAGAAAAGGAATGTAAAAGGCGCACTCTCAGAATGACATAATGCAATTAAACAGAAAATGGATCCTATATCATGGAAAGATATTGCTTAAGGAGTGGCAATAAAACACCACAAAAACTAGGAGAGGTACCAATGAATAACCACAATAATTATGTGAGTAATGTAATTTAAAGAGAGCTGTTAAATTCAGCTGTAAGGAGTAAGAAATCTGCTGGTGAAAGAGCCTCAGACAGAGTAGAGGCAGGTGTAAATGTGTAAGGAGCATGGCTTTGGGCTCCACAATACCTGTAGTTTGCTGAGCTCCTGTTTCTTGGCTGGAAGGTCGTGTAGCCGAGCACTGCTCTCCTGAACTCTGACCTCTGTGCTGTTCAGCCAGTCCTGCAGAGGCTCAGCACTGGCCTCAAACTCCGTCATCTGGGACTGCAGGTTCTGGAAATGTGACATTGAACTGGTCAAATACAACAATGGATGTCCTCATATAAACTCACTCTGCGCAAAATGACACAACTCATTTATTAACATACTCTCGTGTCAGATCTAAGATACATATTAAATCCAAAATAATATCTATGTGTATACCCTCTGAAGTACTTATAGACACAATAAATCAAATCAAACCAAATCTATCACAATACCATAAAATACCATAAAAGTGTTAATAATGAGTTTGACAACAGTAAAAACAGAAACAGACTGGTTACAAATACCAGGATATCTTGTGGTCCCCATTCATTTAAACATTCATACTATACAGTTAAGGGAAACGCCCCCCCCCCCAATTGACCTTTTGCATATCAATTACTCAGCCCGTGTTGTGTTGAATTCATGAAGAACACTGTTTTTCTCACATGCCTCCACAGTGAACAAAGAATCCAACAAAGGCGAACATTCTTGATGAACTGAAGTCATAGGGGTCCATGTTTAACAACAGCAAATCTATATCAAAACATCCATTTACAAACTCACACAACTCATCTACCGCTGCCTCCATAAGTTATTTTTTTTGTGTTGTTGTGTGGCTTTGGTGATTTAAAGGGTTAGTTTAGATTCACCCAAGGTAAACAATAATCCAAACTACCAATCAAGGTAGTGGTAGACCAGCAGCTCCTGTGGCCAGGAAGGTAAAATTACTGTTTATGACAATGGAGTCTGGAGTCTTGAAAAGAGCTTATATTAGTTTCACTTTCAGTGCAGTTCCCAGTTAGAAAGGGCTGCATTAAGCATACAACTGGATAAAGGAGGCTGGAATATACTGCATGAGTTGTGTAAGAGTTTGTAAATGGATGTTTCAATATAGTTTTGTTGTTGTTTAACACAGACACCTATGATTTAAATTAGTCAAGAATGTTCTCAGTTTTTGGATTCTTCATTCACCGTGGAGGGATGCAGGAATAACAAAGTTTTCTTCACAATTTCAGCAGAACACAGGGTGAGTAATTGATCTACACAAGATCACTGGGGGGTGTAATATTCCTTTAACCTTTATTTAACCATTTATCCCCCTGAGATCCAGAGTTAACTGACCTTAAGTGCATCCTCCCTCATCTGCAGGTTATTCATCAGGCTCTTCCAGTCTTCTCTGGCATTCGCCACCTTGGCCTTGATTCCCTCCACTCTGTCTTTGGACACCACAGCCATCAGCAGCTCCCCACTGGCTCCTACTGTACTCAGCCTGGACTGGCCATGCTCCCTGTCACTCAAGAACTCCTGTGGGGATACACAGACAAAGACAAAGGGACTGTGACTATTTAACACAAACACACACACAAAGGGAGGAGGGTTGTGAAAGTGACAGGAGCAAAAAATAAAAGGACTAAATCACAATCCTCAACTTCTTTTTGTCTTCCACTTCTAATACAACGGCTCATGGGTAACTGAAATCAATATGGTCATTTTCTACATGGCCAACAGATGTTTTTTTGGACTAGATTTCACTTTAAATTGTCAAAAGCAGTAATTACACGGAGCCATTACTAATTCCATATGCGTGGGCAGAGGATGGGGGTTGACCCAGGGAGGCAGTCACAGATAAGGATAGTACAGTGAAGCTGAATTGTGTTGGTTTTTACATAGCTCCTCCTTACCCACCCACAGAAAATGTACACACACCCACACACACACCCCTCCCTCTCAGAGCTGAGTCGATGACAGTAGCGCAGCAGGGACCACTCCACCATCTGTGCAGTCAGCACATCACTTACACACACCACAGCTTCAGCCTCCTCTCACACACACACACACACACTCACACAAATTTGGTACAGTACAACCACACACAAGCACAGAAAGTCTGTGTCTTTCTTTAGCTCTGTGTCTTTTTTCCCTCTCTTCTCTGTTCATTCATTGTTTTTATTTTACACTTACTATCACTCCCCCTCTGCCAGTGTAACCGTATACCACCAATTAACCATGACACAATGGATGCCCCCGCCCCTCCCACGCTGGCCCTCCTGGAGGTCAGCCATGTGGAAACATTGTTCCACATTCCTCACCAAGTCAATAATAAATAAAACATAGTACGCCTCTGTGTTCCTCTCTCCTTCACTGCTATATACTCCATGACGTTTCCTCTCATCCTCAAGGCTACACTAGACACATCTGAAAGTGCACACAAAAAAAACTCCTGCACTTCCCTCCTTTGACATGCTTTTGGAAAATTATCTCTTCGGGTAACCTAATGCTCCTTTGACACCCTGAACTGCCTCTTCATGAACTGTTGATTAATAACTTACGTTTCATGTATGCTACCCTCACGAAATAAAAAATGTTGGAGTCAAATCAAGTTCTGTGTTTTGTAAGTGTAGAATCATCGTCTTAATATTTCAAGTCTCCCTCCACTCAAACTCCACTTTTCCTTCTGTTTATGCCCCCTAAAATGTCTGACCTTGACTATACTGACTTCTATCTGTGCAAAGTTTGTCACTAGAGAGGTGGTTTCAAATTCCTCTACTGAGAAGGGTGATGTCTGTGCATTTCCCTAAAACCAGAGATTCAAATGTATGCAGGGTAAGCTGGATTAGGTACATCACTAATATAAAAGCCAATTACTGTCTAAATCAGGAGGCACATATCGACTGGAACTGGAACAGGCTTTGACACAACACTGGCAAAGAAACCTATAAACTCAGGTGCTAAGCGGACTTGACATAGAGCAGAGTTAGCATTAGCATTGTGAAAGTTTTGACAGCAAACATGGTGGAGTCAGAGTATGGAGTTTTTGGATGTACACTGGACCCTGAGACTTCCTCCCACCATCTACCAAAAACCAATCATAGCAGATTATTTTATGTTTCACAGCCACTGACTCTGTGTCAGCCACTGCCAGTTAACTTACATGCTAACAAACAACATAAATCAAAGATGCTGTGTACAACTGCCATTCTGTTACAACTGCTAGTTGCAGATTTTGGTGCACAACAGAGTTCTCATCTCAGCATGGGTCTGACTGAGACTCAAACATGTATAGCTGAATCCTTCTTATGTTTCCTCTGACGCTAACTCTAGCCATCCTGATGCACACTGTACTTTCAGCGTACAACCAAGTGCGAGCAGCGCTGGTGAAAGCAGAAAGCGAAACATGCAGCCAGCAAATTTCTCAAAAAAGGATAGATCTGGTTCCAGCACCATTTCAGAGTGGAAAAAACATATTAAACAAAATAATATTATTAGTGTAAGTATATTAAAACGTGTCTGGAGAGGGACTTTAAGCTCAGCTCAAAGCAATAATGATAATTCCTTGGTGGTAATGGACATGGTCAGGTGTCTGAGAGGTAATTAACTGTCTGGTACAGGGATGTGGGGACTACCTTAACCAACAGGCACCTGACTCTTGGCCAGGGCCCTGGGGTGCTCTAAAGAGGCTGCCAGACTGTTACACCTGCCAGCTTCTCAGAGATAGACACAGAGACTTCTCAGAAAGAGAGACAAACAGATATTTTTTGAAGAGAATGGCACAGAGACCCCGCTGTGGAGCTTTCTCTTATCCCTCTTGGCTATGTGCCCACTTTCAGCTTACGCAGCCTACAGCAGGTCCCGCCACTCCGACAAGCCCACCAGAGGACACTCAGCAGTGGACATGTCAATACAGACACCCCCTTGAGTGCGCTCCCATTGAAAGTTGATTGATTCTTCAACTATTACATCATTTCACATTCAGCAATTTCCTTTGTGCTAGCAATCTTTGCTTTGCCTGCCCAATCCAGGCAAATAATTTTTTAAAGCAGCCACTAGTCTGTACCTGTGGATTTAGAACATTCCCAAACATATGATTATTTAAAGCCTCTAATGCAGCAGTGGCAGCAAGGTGGAAGAACACAGAAAGACTTATGACAAGAAGATTGCAGATTTCCTTCCCTAAAAGGCTGAATAATTCTGGTTTATGTAAGCGACTAAATTACACTCCCCTAACTCCACTATCAACAACTACTTGCTCTGAAATCATTGCTGCTTCACTGGAGCTAGTTAATGGGCAATATTGTGAGACTATACTGCCATTCTGGATGGCAGTCAGACACGTGAGTATGAATGAGTTTTATTATCTTATCCCGCAACCAAAGTTATTACAATTTTTCTGTCTTGCTCAAAAGGCTGGATTGGAAGTAATATTCAGTGACAGTCAAATAAATATAAACTCTACCGCTTTCTATCCCTGAATAACCCAACCAAATGTGATTTAATCTGTGTATTTGCTGTTCTGTGTCTGGTAGGTCTGTCCTGGGAAAACTCCTCAGGAGGTGAGCCGGAGGTGATGCACTTTATAATTCCAGCAGCAATAAAGAGAAAGATCAGTAACAGCTGAATAGGCTGAACAAAAGGGTGATTTCCAAGTGATATCTGCCACTTGCAGTGTAGAGATGCAGTGATTTATGAATGAATCGATTAGTTGCCAACCAATGAAATAATAGCTAACTAATTTGATCAATTTGAGTAATTTTTTAAGGAAAAAAAAAGTCAAAATTCTCTGATTGCATCTTCTTAAATGTGAATATTTCCCAGTTTCTTTACTTTGCTGTGAGAGAATACCTTTGGGATGTGGATGAAACAAGACATTTGAGGACGTCATCTTGGGCTTTTGAAAGCACTGATTAACAGTTGACCATTTTCTGACATTTTCTAGACAAAACAACTCATCATTTATCAAGATTATTGTTGGTTGAGGCCCTACTGCAGTGCAAAAACACCACTGTGAGGACTGCACATGACTGCAATATTATATTACAAATGTTTTTAGGAATATAGTAGGAATTCAACACATGTCCACTTCAAATAAGAGCTGAGAAAAAGACATCTCTTACTTGGATCCTCTGCAGAGCTGTAGAGGCCTCGGCGACACTCTGTGGCACATCAAAGCATTTGGCGGTGCTGATTTTGGCGTTGACCAACCACTGCTGGAAGTCTCTCAAGGCTGCACGGAACCTCTGCTCCAACAAGCGCTCCTTATTTTGACACTCCCTGGATGCACGAAGACTGAGACTGGGGGGCAAGAGAGAAGTTCAGGACTGATTTAACATGTTCACGGGTTGAAATCCATCTCGTGTGATGTACAAAGAAAGAAAGATGTTACAACCAGAGATACTGTTTGCTGTCTACCGCCCATGTGCTTATCAAAACAAAGAGGATACATGTGCAGATGCTCAAATACTATATATGCTGTCCTCACATTGTGAAGGAGGAGGAGGAGGAGGAGGAGGAGGAGGAGTAGAAAGGGAAGCCTGGGAGATGAGCAGGAGTGAGAAACAGGCAGGTGGAGAAATGGCAAAGTGGGTGAAGTGGAAGGAATGAGCGTTGGGGTAAAGAGGGAGAGTGGGGGATGGTGGTAAGGGTTACTGCGTGGGAGGGGGTTGAGAGGCAACATATGAGTGGGGCAAGAGTTCACAGCGGTGACAAGATGGAGAGAACGAGGGATGACAGATTGATGCTGTAAGAAAAATGGTTAGATGGAAAGGATATGGCGGGGATACAATATGAGGGGGGAGAGGTCGCAATGAGTGGGGATGATATTGCTGTTTAAGTGGGTTTTAGTAGGTTTATTTATCACATGCTGAGATTTGTTTTCTGTCGTTAATAGATCCCTCAGAATCTATAGCTGGAGCCACAATACAACAGTGCAGACTGGTAATAACAGATATCTGAAACGAAATGAATGACTGATTCAATGAATGTTAACAGACATATTGAATAAAACTAGAATTTCATTTTTTTTAAGTTCCTCTTTTAGTGACAGCTTAAGTTTCTAGCAGAAGAAATGACTACAGACAGGAGAGAAGTAAGAGCATGAGCCGCAATACAGTAAGTGACATTTTAAGGTCAACAGTCAGTAATGGAGCCCTATAAGCAGGCAAAAATATTGATATTTAATCATTGTGCCAAATCCAAAATGATCAGCAGTATAACCCAGTGGCAGTGTTTTTCAGTGAGGCTATTCACCTAGTAGTTTCTCTCAGATACATTGGCATCGAGGATGTTAGATATCTTTAGGAAGCAATTTTAATACCCTCTTACTCCAAAGAGGAAGTTTTAATACTTTCACTCTCCAGACTCTTACACCTAGAAGGTGGAATCAGTATCAGAGTATACTGATTCCACCCTCCTTTATAGTCATAGCAAAAACAAAAACCTTTAAGTTCCTCTACAGGCAATTATTACACCCCTGAAAACTCATCTCCTTTCATCAAAATTACATATTTAGAAGTTTTTTTCCCCATAAAAACACTCTTAAAATTGATTAGCTGAAACCCTACATCTTCCCTACACCAATCTCGTCCTACAGCCGCTGGCCTGCATCTTAAGCTTACCTGCTCAACTTTGACTCTGCCCATCAAACATACAAAGCTCTGCTTGTAAATGGTAATAGATACTACGAGCCTTCAGCTAGATTACATTAATAAACATCTAATAATATGGTGCTAATCTTAGATAAACACTGTTTCTGATCGCCAGCTCTGACAAGGTGAAGTGAAAGTGTAACTTAACTGACAAAATATAATACGCAGTAGCATATTTGGGAGATGTTTTCCTGGAGGGTCTTCTACCAGAAAGGGATTTCTTGGTTAAAGTCATTTTGCGAGCAAATTAATGGGGTAAGTTTCTTAGGTTTGTCATATACATAACAATCCCTGGAATTCTGAATCTATGATCATGAGACTGTCAATGGTACACTCCAGTTTAAAGGGGAAATGCTCAGCCATGGCACTTATTTTGCTTATGATATGTCTGAAAGTATATAAAAAACACCATATAAGACATGTTTACAAGGTTAAACACTTGAATTTCATTGAAGGGGGTCTTAAAATGCACAAACAATACAGTTAATAGCATGCAAAATCATTATGTGCATAAATGTGCACCAATGAGGAAGATGGAGGACAACAAAAGAAAAGAGTCATCGGGTTTCATACATATTGGGCAGTGGGTGAAGGTTAAAGGGGGGAGTCGGGAAGAGGTGATGGAAAGGATGACAGCAGGGAAACAAGGTGCACAGCTGTTAAAGCAAGGGTTACGGTCCAAAGGGAGGCATGAAAAAACAAGGCAAAAACACACACACAACCTTCTTTTGACACACACTTAAACACACACACACACACACAAACACACACACACACACAAACAAACACCCTTGAGTTTTAATGATGCAATGAGAGCATGAAAGGGTAGTACAGTGGGGATGGCATTAGAGTGGAAGAAGCACTTTTTTTCTGCTGTGACAGACAAAATCTGGCACATGCTATGAAGAGGACGGGGGAGTAACTGCGTTTTCTCCTCTATCTCCTCTCGTCTTTTATCAGTCCATCTCTCTCCTTGCTCGTCTTTCCGCAGTGCCTAATGCAGGACAGGTGCAAAGAGCACACAGGCCAAGTCTATTACAGACTAAAAAGCCCAGTGAATGAGGAAGGGTGCTGTTTTTGCCAATCAGCAGCCAAAGCCAATTACCCGCCAAAGCATCTCCAATAAGTTGGCCTCACTCAGGTTGTCTGCCAATAAATGTTAGTCACGGTGCTCCATCACACTCAATGCAATAACTCAGAAAGTTATATCCATGCAAATCAAGCAAATAATTTGTGCTTCATACTTGCATATGCATGTGTTGTGAATATGTATGTCATGTGCATGCATGTTCTTTTGTATGCACTGCGTGCTTTTAAATAGGCATTGCATGGTGAGTTCACAAACAACGCTAAATGAACACAGGGCTCACTTGTGGGCTCAAAAGCAGGCAATTAGAGCCCAGTAAATAGACTGAGGCATGCAATGTATCAGCGTGGAAAAAAAGACCATCCAAATGTATCTGATTTCCCTCAAATCACACCCAGCCTTGCATAAAATTAAACCAGAGAAGGACACAAACCAAAACAAACACAGCCAACAAGCGGAGGTGAAGGGAAGGTAGTTAAATGTCGCATAGCAACTGGTGGCTCTGGTGCTCTCTGTCACCTTTAGCCTTCGTCTGGCTGACAAACGTGTCACAACTCTGTGTGCAAGGTGGCCACACATACACACACACACACACACACACACACACACACACACACACACACACCCACTCCTCTAATATAAAAAAGCTTGTAAAACTAAGCTCTAACCCTGCCTACTCAAGACATGCCAGGGGGTGTTTTGGAGGGAGAACTCTGCCCTTCTTCTTTTGTGGCTCTGGTGCTGTGTTATGGAATGAATAAGTGTGTTACACATGGCTGTTTTGTGCATTTTTCAATCTTATTATGTACCAGACACTTTCCCTGTTGAGCTTACAACAGGGCTTGGTAAAATGATTGAAATCTTGGTTACACTTTCTATGACACGCATGTCTATAAAGCATTATAAACATACTTATAATGTGTTATAATGTGCTTATAGTACTGTATAATTATAGTTATATAAGCATTCATAAATCACCACAACACATTATAAAGCATTTTATAATGACATACAGTTAAGTATCATAATACTTCATTATTGCTTATTGAAAACATTCGTTGAGAAGTTGACAGGTGGTCAAACTACATCTTACGTGAGAAACAGTTCCTACATTCATAGTCTGAAAATGGCAATTTAAGCTAGAAAAGAAAAAAAAAGGGAACAAGGACCTTCGTCATAATACTGCTGTATTATTTGCTTATAACTCCGAAGTATTATATTTGGAAATCGTCCTCAAAATGTGTGGAAGTTAATGAGGACCCTGACACCTAGGAGGAATGGTGGTGTTGACAGCAGTGTTGACAGCAGACAGTGGTGGCTGCTATCTTATTTGCATGACTTAAGACAAGTAAAGTGAAACAGCCCTTTAAAGGTGAGACTTACCAAGTGTTATAGATAATATATACCAAGTACGGATAAAGCAAGAACTGGCTCTAGATCAGTGGTTCCCAACTGGTCCAGCCACAGGGTCTGGCTTTCTCCTCTGTCATTACTTCAAGGACCACACAGTTTAATATATTCAGCATCATACTTGGGTTTGGCCATTTTCTGGAGCTAGTTTGCTGTCTCTGTTAAGTACCTGTTAGTTAGCCAGTCACTCTACAGCAGGACACTGCACTTGAGAATGAAACCTCTGTGCAGGAAATTCACTGTACTTCAAAATAAAGGGCGTTTTTTTTTACAAACTTGATATATTTGTGAGTCACTCAGAATGAACCTGCGACCCTCAAGTTGGAACCACTGCTCTAGATAGTGCAATCCGTGTTTTCATTTCTTGCATTGGCCAGTGTAGTTTTCCTACATGGCTTGGCTCTCGAGAAAAGTTCCAGTTCTTCAACCCCACCGCTAGATGCCACTAAACCCTACACATTAGACCTTTAAAGCATCCAATGGCCACAAAAAGTAACTTATAATCACATTATAACAGTGATTATGATGCATTATACAATGACAAGAATGAATTTAAACTAGGAGAGTTATAATACACTATAAGCCTCCTAAAAAAGTATATCAGCAAGTGACCAGTAATTGTGAATTATTAGAAAATTAGCCTTATAACTCATTATAAAATGCTTTGCAATGTATCATGATTATTGTTGCCAAGCATTATGAATATTTATAAGTGCTTATAACAATAATTATACAGCACTTTAAAGAGATTAGAACTAATTATAAGTATATTAATGATTCATTATAAACAAGGGCATCACAGAAAGTGTGACTGAAATCTTTATCACAATGTCATTATATTAAATATGTTCTGAGTCCAATATCAGGATATGGCAAATGTATGCAAACATCATATTAATGACAATTAACATTCAAGTGATGCCCCACTGATATGAATTGCATGAGACAAAATTTAAAGAAAAACATTCTCAACTAATTTTGTTAACATCAAGCGGATTTTAATTACAGCTTTATCTTAAATATTCAGCAATAACACAGTAAGATTTTATCATCATGATATAAGTCTGCAAGAGAGTCCATAAATGAAAATATTAAGTTATCACCCAACCTCAACCAACAAATCTCAGCCTCCTTTCAAATCCACATAAAGACAATAAACATACATGCTCTTTACTGAAGCAGAGAAACTCCTCTCACCTGTTGTGCTGTTTGATAAGCGCAGTGACGCGGTCTGACTGTGAGCCCAGGTCTCTCGAGTATCGCACCAGGTCGTTCAGTTGGCCTTTCAACTTCTCTGCCATCGGCTCGGCGCTCTGCAAGCCCTCCAGTATATCCTAAACAACGCAGAACAGACACCAGCTGGCTCAGTGTGTGTGTGTGTGTGTGTGTGTGTGTGTGTGTGTGTGTGTGTGTGTATCAAGGAGAGACAAGCACCCAACGGATCTGCATGACACCCTTCAATAAGAGCACTCGCATTCCTATTCACACCCTGGCTTCGTCTTTTTAGCTCTTCTCACATTCACACACACACACACACACACACGCGCTCCAACACATACTCACAGTGCTGCTTGTACAATAGCATTTCTGTTCTTCGCGGAGTGTGGCAGGAAGGAGCTGTGGATAACGTTCTCCCGCTCTCCTCAGCGTGCCTCACATTCTGCACTCACACAGTCATGAAATCCTGTCCCATGAAATATGTACAAGCTCCCTCTCTCTGACTCTCGCTCGCTCCTTCTCTGTCTGACGTATGACCAATAAACAACCCTCCCTCCCTCCCCGTTCTCCTGGACTCGTTGCTCTCTTCTCCCTCTCCTCCTCCTCCTATCGTTCTACTACTTTCTCTTCCCTCCTCTCTCCTCTTCCTCTCTCTCCCTCCTCCCACTCCTTGCACTCATTCCCCCTCACACATTTTTCCTCCTTCTCAGTCTCTCACAGTGTCTCCCGGTGGAATTCAGCTGTCAGCCCTCACAGATGCGGGACTGGTTCAAACACACACAAACGAGCGCGTAACGAAAACAAGGCTGGACACAGGAAACGGGCTGGAGGAGGAGAGAGAGAGAAGCGGAGGAGGGGGAAGACTCCTCCTCTGTTCTTTGACAGCCCCAAATTGAGAAAAGCCAGAGAAAGGCATGGCCGAAGAAGCCCCGGGAGGTGTATGAGGGTGTACATGCTGGCATGGCCTTGACAATACAGAGAAATTGTCACAATGCAAACATCCTGTGGAGGTTAGAAACAGAGCAGCAGGGGAGGTTAGGAGCAAGAGCATCTAAGAAACAGCCCCTGCAGCCGGGAAAGACATTACTGTACACTTCAGATCAAACAAGTCTGAGTAGGGAAAGGGGAAAGGGGCTGGAATTAAAAGGGGGAATGTTTGGGAGGGAGTGATAGTGGAAAATAATGGCATAAATAAACAAAAGGGGGAGGGGTAGAGGGGACACCATGAGGAGAAAACAAGGGAAACTGATGAGATTGTAGCTGTCACTCCTTCGTCATCCCAGTAAAGCTGATTTACAAACTAATCTGTTTTTAGGATTTACAAATAGAATGGATAATTACTGACAGAGAAAGCATAGCTGGATGCAGAGGATGTATGTCTGCACAGAGTGTGTGTGTGTGTGTGTGTGTGTGTGTGTGTGCCTGTGGGTAGTTTCCATTAAACAATGCTAATCACCTTCTCTAAAATTAACATAGTACGGTGCTGAACAGTAGCCACTGTCAGCTTTGTGCACATCACAGTTCGCCAACCCAAATCTCCGCCGAACAGAAGAGTTTTTATTATTTATTATTTTTTGAATAAACTATTGTGAGCAGATGAACAGTGAATAATTTAAGCTGCCATTTATTTAAATCTCATGCTACTGTACCTTAGCCAGCTGCCATCCCTCAACTGCTTCCTCGCCGTTGCTCCTCCCTTCAGCTTTAATCAACTCCTGGCTCCACCCCCTCAGCCGTCCATCCAGCTCTTTTAATTTGTCCTCCAGCCGCGCAGTCAGACGGTCATATTCTTCCTCTGAGGCTGCAGCAGCGGCAAGAGCCCCCTCCAGGCCGTCCCTGGCCCTCAGGGCGGCCCCCTCCCACTGCTCCAGAGCCTGGGACAGCGCCCCCAGCTGTCGGTCCATAGCCTCGCAGCCACCTGCTGCCGTGTGCTCCGCCGTGGATGCTGCGCTCCGACGCACCCTGCTGAGGCGCTCTCGGCCCTCTAGTAGCCGACACTCCACACGCTCCTGAAGAGATGGGGAGGGTAGATGGGAGACAAAGTTGCTACGGAAACTGTGGTTACGGAAACTGCAACCTCCAGTTCTATTTAAAGCTGTCTACATGGATTTCTTCTGTCTCCTGCTTCATCACTTTCTATCCTTCCTTCTGTGACTGTCTTTGCACCATGAGTTCTGACATCCTGTATTTTCATTTGCTATTTCAGCATTCTCTCACTATTACTAATTTCATCCTCTGCCTCCATCCCTCTCCGCCTCCATGTCTCATTCTGTGTGCACAGGTAGCACTTGAAAGGCAGAGGCTGTGAAAAGCAAACACTTGAGTGTGATGTGATAGCATTGAGCTGATAGAGGGATTAAAAACGGAAGAAGCTGATCATTTTTGTCTGTGAATAGAAGGATATGAACATTAACCTTGAGACCATGAATAGAAAATGAAAATGGTGCAGCTAGCTTGTGTACACAAGACATTATATTCCCTCTTCTGCTGAAATGCTTCACACCACGGCTCTACAAACACACATTTATAATGTGATAATTAGGCCCCACATGTGAAATTTAAGTGCAAATCAATATCTCCTCACATATTTTCTCTCCTCTGTAATTGCAGAATTACTGAACAAGGAAAAGCGTAGACATTAGCTGCACTGCTCTTCCCCTTTTATTTGTATTTTTTTTTACTGCGTGGTAATAGACCAACTTAGTGGTGATGAAATGTGCCAGGAGAGACTGAGATATTTGGCTGAGATATGGGAACAAACTGAGAACCAATTCCAATTCCCTATATAGTTTGCCCTCCTTCATAGCAGGAGTCCATTAAGATTAGATGGGTTCAGATAATTCAGCAATCAGTTACCTTAGCAACAGATAATGCCTTTAAACTGGGTGTAGTTTCACTAACACACAACACATCCTTGAGGCATGCCTATGAATTAAACTGACAGGGGTGTTAATTCAGAGAATCATGATTACTGTTACAGTTATAAGAGCTCAAAATAAAAACATACAGTCTATACCATCTGTCAAAGACTAGGTTGAATTATCATTCTGATGTACACTAATGGTGTGGAATACTGATGTATATGGAGGAAATTATATTTCAATCACCACAACATCATGCAAAGGGCCAACAAATAAATATAATCTACAGCACAATCAATTAAGAATCGCTAATGAACTCTGAACTTCAGCAGCACCTCGATTCTTTAATTTAATTAAAAAAAATGAAATTCTAACATCTACAATTTCAAGTGATGCAGATGGTGTAAAATAATTAAGAACTCCAGAAAAGCTGCTAAATAGACCTAATAAAGAGCCTGTTTTCTCCAACCATCCAAACTGTGTTCACATTGAGAGGCACATTTGATTATAAATAGATGAGTTCAAATAAAATTGTCTGCTTTGACGACATTGTCAAAGTTGTAAAATAACGCCACACCTATGCCCACTCTACAGAACAATAGGCTTGTCACCTGTCAGATGTGGCACACTATTATCTGTCAACGTATGGATCAGAATTTTTCAGAGTTTGTGACAAAAGTGCATACAAAGAAAACAAAAGGAGTGTCAGCCCGCATCAACGAGGGGATTTCTTTGTATGTTGACACCCCGTCTTACCCTCACTTCTGACAGTTTCTTTTTGATGGAGGCAGAGTCTCCTGATGTATCAGACCAATGATGTAGCTCCTCTCCAGCAGTCATCAGCCAGTCAGTGAGCTCCCTAACAGCCTCCAGGTAGTCTTGGTGTTCCAGCACCACGGCCTGCGCTAGACGTACTCTCTCCTATAGACAAAGACAACGGACACACACAGTCAGCAATGACTCTAATATAACAATGAGCTTATTCAGTCATTAATAAAATAGTTTAGTAAGTTCAGGAGTTTCAATATTTTTTTACTAAATACACTGACAGTAACATCGTACCTCCACCAAGGCTGTTAGGTCATCAAACTGCACCTGCAGCTGGGTGCGGGCACCGTGATTAAAGCTGGCATCGGCAGTCTTCTTAAACAGCTCCCTGGCTTTTTCCTCCAGGCTGGATAGCGCCACCTGGTGGTCTTCCAGATCAGCTAGCAGGGCTCTAAGTCTCTCGAGCTGGGAGGCCTTCTCTCTGGGTCCCGGCTGGGGGGTGAGAGGGGCACACACCTCCCTCTCCACAGCCTCCATCCAGCACCGCAGCTGGGCAGCACTCTCTAGGTATCCTCCCCACTGCGACACGGTCCACTCTAATCGGCTGGAGGGAAGACAGTAGATCTGTGTGTTAGCTTGTGACTGGCACATATGGGAATTTTATGCTTTGAGCAAATACAGAAAATCTGAGTAAATACGTGGAGTATCCAACATGTGGGCAGGTTTTTTTTAAACCTGCTAAAAGAAAATACAAATCATCTTTTATCCTTATCATCCTTATTTAGAGAATGTTGAACTTTAATTGATTTGAAAACGTTGATCTATAAGTGATATCAAATGTAAAATGTGTGGATGTTCTCACTGACTAAACCTAGGTTACATACGGACTTTGGCAAAAGAGCTTTTAAGTATGCAGCTCCATATACGGTATGTGGAATCTTCTGCTGAAGGATTTATAGTTGCACTCATTGCTTCCTCTAGGCCGTTTCAAAGCACTACTGCAGGAATTTTGCACATCATCACCTAAATGCGAATGTCAGGGTGTATTTAAGTTGGTTGTTTATAGTTGCCCCTGTTTTCTTGTTTTACCTATGGTTCATGTATAGGATTTGTCAATGCACTCTTTAAAGTTTTGCTTTATAGTAATTTCATTTTATGTTTTTGTGTTTTTTATTGTTTGCTTCAGTGTTCCACGTTTGATTACGCATTTTGGTTCTGTGTTGTCTCTGCAACCAATGTTGCTGCCTGTCTTGGCCAGGAAACTCTTGAAAAAGATTTTTCATATCAAGAGGTTTTTCTGGTTATACAAAGGTTAAATAAAATATAATGTATAAAAATGTGTCAGCAAAAAGTAATATTAGTATTTCCTTTTCTGACTAATCCAACAAGTGCTGGCCTTTTTTTTTGTTTTTGTTTTTGTTTTGTTTTACAAATGTATATGTTATCTGGTTTCTCTAAAGTCATATCATTTTGATACATAAAATCTGAATATTTAATGCCCAAAAAAAAAACTACTTTATACAGGTACAGGTTTTATGGGATACCCGTGACATGGCCAAGTAATCTAAATTATCTATAATACTGGCTTAGAGTCTTTATCCCCTTTATCCCCTGGTTCAAATACACAGGCGCTGATACACACCCACAATTTTCCTTGCCATCTGTTACCCCTGCATGTTCAAATAACACCAATATCCCCACACTCACACACACACACACACACACACACACACACACACACACACACACACACACACACACACACCTCCACTTCACCTGCTACCCCTCACCTCCTGTCATCCCTTTCCCCTTAAAACACAAACACACCCCATGTGTGACCCACTGTTTGCCATCCACCATTTAGTCCCTAATGAGATCAATTTTTGCTAGGAGGGGCTATAATTGCTCAATTAAACACGCACACACACACATACACACACACAACTGATGCATGTGCATGCTGCCATGCACACATACACACAGGAATGAACACACTAAATCAGATACATCAATCAGAGTTACAAAATGAGACAAATACTTCTCATTATGTATTTAACCTAATGGTAATTAATGGCATTGAGACATCAATCTATCATGATGAAAATAACCTGTTCCCAAGAAAGAGGACTTTTTGGCTCACAGGTAAATGGCCTCTAAAATGTCCAGGGGTGAAAGTTTTAATGCTGCATTATAACAGCACAAAACAAAAATGATTAAACGAAAATTAATTTACAGTTCACTGCAGTTTGTCCAATTTGTGTGAATGCATTCTACACTTAAATGATAAAATATTAGGTTAAAGGCAGGACCACTTCTTTAAAATCATTATGCATACATGTAATTGCACACATGGGGGATAAGACATCAAATTAAATTCCAGATGATGGAACAAGGTAAGCAGTCTACCTGTGGCAGCTCATGGCAGTCACAAGCAGCGTGGCCCATGCATCCTCCACTTCCTGTAGCTGAGAGCGGACCACTTCCTGTCCGGCGGCTCCATAGCTGCGCAGGGCCAACTCCCCCTTACCCATGGCCATATTCAGCTTGACCTCCCCCTCCCCTTTCAAAAGCAGGATGTCCTGTAGAAACACAGAGAGGTAAGAGTGAACTGGGTTCAGACTTTCTCAAGCAAACAGCCCCCTCTTGTGTTTACTACAACAACTGTAGATTGTAATAGATGTCTGGACATAAAAATGCTCTATTAGAGTAGATTAATTAAACAAAGAACAATATAAGTGTGTTCCTTACGATTATAAAAGCTTTACGCATCTCATCGTATATAACATTTCATGAAAATTACAGATATTTATAGTCTTCTAGTCAAACCCCCCTCTCACCTGCACAGTCTCCAGCCTCTGCTCTAGCTGTTCTTTGGTCCCCATGGTGCTGTCTACTGTACCCAGTCTCTCCTGGATCTCCTCCAGCCAGGCCCAAACCCCTTGGAGGGTCTCTCCAAAGGCCTGGCTCTCTTGGCATCCCCGCAGCTTCTCCCTGGCTGCCTTCAGCAGGGCCTGGTGCTCCATCTGGAGCTGGCCTGTCACTCTGACCTCTCCTCCTGACCCCCGGCCTGCTTCAGAAAGAGACTGAGCCTCCTGGCTGAGACGCTCGATGGAGTCCCTTGCAAGAGACAGCGATATGTTATTGTTGAGAATATTTTACAGCCCACGCTCTATAACATATGGCCTTTCACACCCACATATATACACACCTTCTTGCAAGCAGTTCCTTATGGAGGTTTTCCATCCGCTCCAGCTCTTCCGTGGTGTCTGGGGCTCCTTGCTGGCACTCTGCCCCAAGAACAGGCTCTCTCTTGAGGCTGAGATCCATCTGCTTCAGCCAGTCTCTTACACCTTCCACACAGTAATTAAAGCTGGAGAAAAGAGGAGAGACATATTTCCATTTAGTTCAAATTACTTTGCATAAACACATGACACAACAAGAGAGATGACTTACTCTTTCAGAAGGTCAATACTCTCTTCCAGGTCTCGTTGGCTCTGAGAGCAGCTGTCCAGGTAGTTCCTCCACTCTCTCTGACAGGAGGAGAGATGCTCTTGGACCTGTGCTGCTCCAGCTTTAGACAGGTGGAGCTGCAACCTCTCGGCTTCCTCACGAACCTTAGAGAGACGCTCCTCACCCTCTGATGTCTGCTCAGCTGACACCTGTGGATGTAGAAGGGACATGCTGCTAATGAAAACTCATATGTCTCTGCAAATTTAAATAAATAAAGAGCCATGGTCATGATGGCCTTTTTCTAGAATAGGATTTGTTACTATGATATAGTTATTACTTGCTTAAATCTGATAATTTTATCATCATTATAATTTTGGTGTGTCATAGATTGATAGCATGCCTGTGCCAACAAGTGAAGTTACTGAAAACTGTAACTGTACCTTTAGCCTTTGCAACTTTGCTCCAAGGACAGTAAGATCCCCTGATTGGTTTGAGCATTCTTTAAGCTCCAACTTCAGATCTGTCAGCTGAGAGTGGAAGTCTTGGACGAGCTCTGCTTTGACAAACAGAGAGAGCAATAAAATAAATGTTGACAAGTTGATGAAAACCGACGTGTGCTTAAATAAAGCCAGAGAAGATTTAAAAGTGAAGGAGCCCGAAGGAGGAGAGCGAGAAGAGGTGATGTGTTGAAGCAGATGGGAAGTGTGGGCGTGTCCACGCTGTGCAGCGCTGGGTTGCCTTGGCAACAAGCCCAAAACGACTCTCGAGAGAGCAGATGTGACGAGAACGACATTACTCTCCGAGGCACAGGTGTGTGTCTGAGCAACAAGAGCGCACCGGTGCGCCAGACAGTGTGTGTCAATGGAGTGTGGGTTGTAGTGGGTGGATTGAAAGTGCTCTGGGGAAAAATGAGGATAATCAACACTAAATCTGTTGCACTACTAACAGGAACAAATGACATTGCATCATGTAGTTGCTCACTGTTTGATTGGGTGATTATGGGATTTTAAGTGCTATTAAAATCTATATGTCTCATTATAAGGGAAGAAGTTACAGTGGTTGTTACTGTTACATTAATGACTTGATGTATTTGACTGAGGTAAAGAACAAAGAAGCCCTGGAGTAGAGAATTTAACAAATCATTAAACAGAGATGATACATTATTACCAAGGAAAGTTTTATAAAGTTAGGTCCAAGTTTTTGATGTATATAAAAGAAAGAAGTTAATAATGCTACAAATTGTTTTTTTCCTCATTAAAGAAAATATGCCACCCACATATCAATACATCATGCCCCTTTGTTTGTCATTTTTCAATTATCTCCACAGTTTACAGTCTATTCCTTCTTTCCCGTACTTGTAGCCAATTTTATGTGCCCAGATTTATTTTATTTTGTTTGGTCTTTCACTTATTTTTCGTAGTAAATTGATCTACTGTAGCAACTGGCTATTTGTGTCATATATATAAAAACAGGTTTTCCTCATGAGCCAAACAGAGTGACTGAGACACTGTGCAGGACATACAGGGACAAAACAGGTAGAGTGATATCAGCACTTTATCAAGGACTAGTTATGAACAGAGGAATCTCCACATCCTATATTAGGGACAATGGTAGAAAGAAAGCAAAATACAACTAACAAAAGAAGACTGGTTTCACATATCCAACATACAGCAAACAACCACCAGCTCCAGGATTTGGAAAGAATTTTGTTGGAAGAACATAAACAGATTTTTCATTACTCCTAAGATGAAAAAGTAAATCTACATCTGTACAACAGGCATGCTGGAGACTGTTTAGGGAAAAAATGTAGCTAATACTCATGTTTTCTGGGGATGTAAGGTCTGGATGTATGGATTAAACTTAAGGCAATATTAGGATATGCAATACCAAACACATGGGAGGTCTTATACCTTAGCAACCTGACAAGAGAAACTGTTCAACATAAGAATCTATACTTAATCTAAATCCTTTTAGCAGGAGCGAAGAAGGCCATTACCAGGAAATGGCACAAGAGGATCCTCTTTCTCTAAGTGATTTGAAAGACATTGTTAAGGAGATATATGACATGGAAAGACTCACTCAATTACTGAGACTCCAAAAATCATAATTCACAGAAAAATGGACCATATGGACTGATTATATGGCCAACCACAGAGACTCCATCTAAATCTCTTGATGGTCATGGCAAACATGTGTTTCACTTGTTTTGTTTTCCTATGTTTGTTCTGTGATAACAAATTGCAAAAAAGCAATAAAATTTATGTTAAAAGACTAACTCCAACATATCTAAACTACACATTCATATCTCCTACCATTGAAGTGAAGCTGTAGCCCATCCTGCAGGCTGCCCCTGGTCTTGGCACAGCGCTGCGCAACAGCCTCTGTTCGCTTGGCAATGGAGGTGAGGTCAGAGGAGAGGCACGACAGCTCCTGTGAGGGATGAGACCTGCATAGGGCACTCAGAGCATCTCTGGCCGAGTCCATGTCTGCCCTCTGCTGCTGCACAATGCTCTGCAGGTCCTGTAAATGAAAAGAAGTGAGAAAAAAGGCCTGTCTTCATGTACATTTATAAATAGGGCTACAGGGTGGTGGAGTGATTTGTATTGTATCCACCTTGCAGATGGGGGGTACAGCTAGATTTTCTGGGGGCTTAAAGGATGTACGCTTCCTTCTCCACAGTGATATGGTTGGCAGGTGTAGTTCAGTACAAAGAAAATAGTTCCTACATGAAACTCCTCACAGTAAAGGTCTGTGGATTATCTTGAGTAACTGGGTCATAGTTTCTTGAGAGACATTGCTGTTGAGTTTTTCAGATGTATTTTCTTTGGCGCTTGGCGCACCAAACGCTGAGTGCTATCTAGTTCCTTTATACTGGAGAGAAGTCAACATATCTACAGCCAATATCTCCAACACTTACCAACTCACACCAAAACAATCTAGACTGATTAATAGCACTGCAGGTAGGAGGAAAAATATGTATTTGGGGGTGAATTATCCCTTTTAAATACTTTTAAATGCCTCTGTGTTTGAAAGGTGCTATACAAATAAACTTGCCTCATCTTAACTAGTGATGGTTATGTGGGCAGTTGTTTAAATAATTAAGGCATCACTGGTCAAATATTGTATCTTCTCATATCATACAGTATAGTGCATGTTTGGTAGTATGAAGCAACAGAGATAACAATAGAAATAGTGATAGGTAGAGAAAGACTATGTGGTTACTTGCAGAGTGACTATAATTTTTCTGCATAATATATTTAGGTCTTGAACTGTTGTGTTCTTGCATTATCTTTAAGGAAATGAGAGTGTCATACCTTCACTGTGCCAATGTCTTCAGGAGAAGTAGCTTCAGTGAGGTCAGATAGCGAACCCTCAACTGCCACCAGCCGCTCGGCCATCTGGGACATGAGGTCCTCCAGTCGCTGCTTCTGGAAACTGAAGTAGGTCAGAGTGTGTTTGGCCTGGTTGTACACCTCCTGTGCATGGGCCATTTTCTTCCTCAGGTCTGACTCCAGGACCTGGTTCAATAAAGACATTTAGCAAGATCATACAAGCAAAATTCCTTGTTAATTTTAAGTATGTCGGTCTTTGTAGTTTTATTTTTGCAGCATCAGAGTTTTGTATTAGCATTTTTAACCCCTAGGACAATAGGAAAAATATTATTTTGCAATGGTAATTTCAGCGGTGTCGGACAACCACCGTTCCACCCAGCTTAGTCTTGGAAAGGTGCTGGAAACATCATTAAGTCCAAACTGGTGGAAGAGATTTCTGCACACTTACATCTATGCAGCAATTTACTTGAGACCGAAATAGACCTAAAACTGGAGTATTAGCAAAATCCTCCAAAATGTTTTTCCCATCACCATATTCACCTGCATTTGTAACGGGGTTTCCTGCAGCTTGGCTCGCTCCTTCAGCTCTGTCACTCTCTCCTGCAGGGCGTCCAGTCTCTGCTCCCTCTTCTCAACGTCAGCCTGTAGATCAAAGTGCTAGACATTTCAATTAAATGGGACCTGCTATGAACTCACTCTGAATATTACACCATCATCATCATTCAAACACTCTTTCATACAGACTATTCAGCGTATACTGACCTGAAACGTGGCAAGATGGGCCTCTGTCTGCTCTTTATCACTGAGATTACTAACACTGTCGGTGAGATCAGCGATGGAGTTGGCCGCCCATTGGTTAATGTCCTGCTCCATTGACTTGAGGTCGTCCCACAGCGCTACACAGTAGCCCAGTCTCTCTGTGTTGGTTTGTATTCTCTCTGAGACCTGAAGGATAAGACACCAGGAGTCTATCTGAGTACTGAGCAGAATACATCTCAATCAACAAGAGAGGTAGGAACTCTCTCCCTCTTTGTGTTTAGTTTTCTCTCCCCGTAACAAGGGACGGTATACTTTACCGGGAGATGGAGGGAAAACAAGACTTAATTGGTTTGACAGATGTGGGGATGAAAAGTGTGTGAGAGGGAGAGACAGAAAGGCAGATAACGTGTCTAGACTTGTTTATATTTCTGTCTAATTTGTGACAGCTGAGCAGCCAACTAAATCCCTCAAGAGCAGAAAATGGAAAAAGGGAAAAACATAAATAAATATCATTAAAAGAAGAGCAGTGCAAAGTGTTTGGCAGAGCCGTAATGTGGAAGTCATAATTGATTTTTTTTTCCAACAGTCACATAAAACAACACCACAAATCTCCTCATACCCTGAATAGTCATTACCATGTTTGAGCTCCAGACAGAATTCATGGAGTGCCACGTGTCAGGATGAGGATAACTCATTAATATCACAAAACCCAGAAAAAACTCAGGGATTTCAGCTGTCAAGACCTCTTTACCAAAACAGACGCACTGTACAGCATGTGTTATCAAGAACCACTCACCTCCAGCCACTGGTCTCTTAACGTCTCCATGTCTCTCTGGACGGAGCTTGCATCAGAGTTGGGAACCTTCTCCAGCTCTCTCTGCAGGTCCTCCACTGTGCTGATGAGCTGGTCCATGTCATCCTGTTTTTCTCTCAGCTCAGCTTGGACAGTGTCATGCTAGAGGGACAGAGGAGAGTGCAGAAGGAATGACAACAGACCGCCACTAGAGGGAGAGATACTGTGCAAACAGGAGGGGGTTTGTTGCTGAGGTGCAATATAATTTCTGAGAGTTCAGCTCACTGACTGATATGCAGGGAAAGTCATGCACACTGCAGTCTGATACCTATAAATCAATAACTGAAGAATAACGCGCAATGATTTAAAGAAAGGAAAAATTTTTGCTGCTTTGAAAGCTATGAATCATTAACTTTGATTTATCAGGAAAGATATAATCAACTTATACAATAATTTGGACAATGGATATTCCATAGCACTTACATTATAATTATGGTAGTTTCTGTATAATAACCATGAATCAGGGCTGCATGAAACAGGTAGTTGAGCATTTCCCATTTTGCAGGCCTGATTAATGATCATTAGAAACTACCACAACCGTTGCCAGGTAATAAAATCACAGTAGTATTTTTGTACAGTATTACCTTGAAATAAAAGAGAATGCTTCATACATAAGGAAGGATGAATTTCTGCATTATATTATGATAATCACCAATTTTGACTTCTGAGAATTGTCAAATCATTTTGAAGGTGTTGCGCTGATAGTGGCCTATGATATTGTTAAAAATATCAACCTCTATTACCTCATTATTATCTGGTCATTACCCCATTAATGTAATTTCTATCTCCCTTTCTATCGATTTTGGCCCTTATTATTACCCTGTTACATATATTTCAGTCTAATATCACCCATAAATATCCACTGTTAATACCAGACTATTACCTGGTTATTACATGGGATGACTTGACTTGATTTACATAAGTTATTACATGGGATGACTTAATGGCTATCTCTTTATTATCAGACTACTACCCAATTACGAGCTGTAATTCAAAGTACTATCGGATGTTCTGTCCTGAGCATAAACTGTATAAAATTATGGACGTTACCATCATGGCCTCACCTATTGGTTTGTGGACTCCCATTTTTGCCTTGAGTCTGGCATTTTGGCTGTCATCATCTTGGATTTTTGGAACCAAAGACGACCACATTTAGATTAAAGGAGCTAATCCCACTGGCAGCTGCTAGCTAAGTTAGCACTGTGTATATACGGCTATGGTTGACTGTGCTAATGCTAATGCTAATTTACGCTAGGAAAAAAAAGGCTTAAAACCATTATAACAAGATGTACTAACATGAAAAACTATATATCCGAGTCCTTAGCGGCTCTATTAGTAACTAGTCGCTTAACAGGATATTATTTAGACAACCAAATTGTTACAATTAACTTTCATGAAGTTAAAACATACTAGAAAAGCAACAGCTAAGGCTGTGCCTATATGCTGTGATTCTGGGATACGCCATGGTTACATTACCTAACCAATGTTGATGCCATGCTCCTGACTTGTCAACAAACAACACCCATGTGTCATTAAAGCCACAATGCCCTTAATTATGCATAACTTTATGCAATAACAACATTTAAATTCACCCCTCATAGGCTTCAGTTGTCATTTAGCGGGAAAATTAGAAAAAATAATAAAATTCTTTTGTACCAGGCTGTACAGATGTTTATTTCTGCTGTAAAGTTGGGCATTTTAACATGGGGACTGACTCGCTTTTGGAGCCAGCCTCAAGTGACCATGAGATGAACTGCAGGTTTTAACACTTCTGCAAAGCTTGGTCCTGACATAGCTCAGTGGACTATGAGACATGTTTTGATGCATGAATCATAGCTAGAAATGTTGGTCTACCAAATGCATCATGTGAAAAGAAAATGCAGAAAACTCAACACTTAATAATTTTCTGAGAAAATGAAAAAAGCACTGACTCGAGTAAAAGTCCTTTTGGCCTCCTGAGCGTTGTGGTTGTGGTCAGGCAGATTGTGAGCAACAGCCTCAGCGTTCTCCACAACAGCAGTGAGGATTGACTTCAGGTGGTGGAACTGGCGGAGAAGATCTACCACAACCCCACTCTGTTCCTGACTGTATGACAAAAGAGAAGAGAAAGGTCAAGACTATTACTTGGCACATCACTTGGCACTGGATATTAAATGATGAAAATATAACAGACTCTGCAACTGCTGTTTAAAAAACTCTCCTTCTGTCTCAGTGTAACTTTCTGCCTCTGCACAGTAGGACCAAAAACAAATATATGAAATGACTGAGTCAGAATCCCTCTCTGTTGCCCCCCATCTTTACCCGTTAGTGATCAGAGTCCTCACGTTCTCCCAGGCTGTCTTCACCAGTGCTACCTCTCTGAGAGCCTCCCCAGCCAGCTCACTGTCTCGCTGGGCCAGCTGGCTTCCCTTCTCCTCTAACCACCGCTGGGAATGCTGCAGGGACTGGAGCTCATCCTCCAGCTGGACGAAAAAACGCAGCCTGGGAGAAGAAAACAATGGGGATTACTACCTGGATTCCGACATAATATATCAAATTTTTCGGTTTCAACAAATTAGAGAATTCAGATCTATATTTTGGCTTCATTCACATACGGTATACTCTCAGAGTTTGGCTTATAGCAGGTCTGTGAATGAAAAGCTCACAGGATTGAACAATTTATCTAAGAACAAAAAGCTGTTACAGAATGAACATAGGTGTTTGGATAGAGATGTCAAACTGCAGGTACCGTTTATCAATACATATCAATAGTTTGGACTGATGCCATACAGTTTATTCAGTATCAGCTGATACAAACTCTGCTAATGTTAAATATAATACCACAATATATCTGGGGGTGTTTTGATTACCTGTTTTGAAAAGCCTGTACAGAGCTCTCTCTGGCCCCCTCTTGCCTTGCTTCATTCTCCAGTTTCTTCAAATTCTCCATCACCTCCTCCCTCCTCTCCCTGAAGGAGCTCCATAATGCCCCTAAAGCATCTGCTTCACTCTGCCTCCATCCGACGCCCCTCTGCACCTCCTCTAGGGCCATCATGAGGGCCACCACCTGTCCCCTGCAGGATGTTCTTCCCTGAAGATGGCTGACATCTTTGGAGCCCCGCCACTCTGCGCCGCTCAGGTGAAGGTGTGCCTTGCTTAGCTGCCCATCCAACCCCAGTGCCTCAGCTTCAAGCTTGGCCACGTCTTTAGCCACTTCCCCTATTCCACGGTGCAGCTCTTCAGCTTTGGAGCGGTCCCAGCTCCCCCTGCCCTCCACCGCCTCATGAAGGCTCCGCACAGCCCTACCTGCTGCTCCATTCTTCTCCAGAAAGGCTTTTAATGCTGTCAGGCACTCTTTACGGAGGAGCAGGAGACGCTGGGACTCAATGAGTGGCTGTAGGCAGTCCTCTCTCCAGCCCTGGAGCTGCTGCTGGGCCTCCAAGGTGGAGCAGCGAAGCAGGGAGGACTCTCTTTGCTCAAGAGTCTCTCTCAATGATGCATGTGCTTGTAGTTGCTCCTCATGTGTCTGCAACAAGATGGTTCAATTAGACAAATTTATATCAGCTCCTACAGCAATCAATATAAACTTGTTTACTGTTACTGCTCCAATATACAGAACCTATAAAGGACATTGTTTTTGACAGCCACGTATTGATTTCTCACCTTCAGTTTACTAATTGCAGCCTCAACATCAGCAATATTAACCTGGGAAGAGCTTCTCAAGCCAGACAGGAAGTTCTCACTCCTTTGGGTCAGAGTCAATAGTGCCTGATCAAACTGCTCCAGCTGTGACAACTGCGACTCCAGCAGCTCAAGCCTAAAAGAGCAGTGGAAGGCAGATTAGATTGAGGGTATGACAGTGATTATTGCTACTATTGCTGCCAGAAAAACAGTTTTCTTTTACAAATTAGATGTAACACAGGGTGAGCAACTGATTTCTGGTTATTTGGGAGGTGAAGTATATATATTTTTATGCTACTACGTTTTTTTGAAAAACAGATAAATTTGTATAATCTTTATGATACTGTATGTAAAACGAGAATTGCCTGTGTGATATGCTGTTCTTCATAGAAGTGCATCTTTCCTCCAGTCGTGTGAGATCATTGCTGATCTCTTGGATACGAGTTTCAGGCGCTGTGGGGTACAGACACAGTGCGAGATTCACAAGACCCTGCAGAAGAACTTCGTAGGATGTCGTCTCACCCTGCATTTCCTGGATGGCAGAATAAGTGTTTAAAAATGATGGAATACAGAATAGCTGACAACACAATATGTAGATGAGGCAAAAATATGCATATTTTCCTTTACATTAAGGAAAAAAAATCAAGATGCAAATGGAAATGATTTACCTGAACGTTTAGCAGTTCATTTCTGAGCTTTACTTTGTCTGCAGAAAGCAGGTCGGTGTCTGGACAGCAAACAGACTCACATCTGTTCAGCCAGCTTTTCATGGATGAGCTCTCCTTTTCAAATCTGCAGAAACAAAGGTGGCAACAAAGAAAAATATATTCAAATGAAATATACAATTTATGCAGCACTATTCTGAAAAATGAATAGAATACTGATCTAAGAAAAGACTGATAGCAGCAACCTCTGATCTTAAAGTATACACACACAGTGACACAGGCTGTGTTTTTTTTTATTATCCGACCATGCCTTGGTATCAGTGACAGGGTCATAATGGGGCAACCATATCTCGCCAGAGCACCAACTGCTGTAAGTAATCCCTCATACATACACCGGCAGGGGAGAAGACCGACTGCAGAGAAACACAACCACGCACAGAGACACACAGAAACTCAGCAAAAAGCTAACTGGATAAATGCAATAAAACAAGCACCAGCGCTTTAACAATTTAAACAGCTTGCATGTGCCTTATACAGAAGAGTGAAAAACAATCGCTGCAGTCTATTGTCCAAGTCTATTGTGTGATCAAAGAAAGCGATAAGAAGAGCGTATTATTAGAATAGAAAGGCGATGGCTGACTGGGGGACAGACCGATTGAGTCAAAGACAAGATCTCACTCCTCTACATCACACTAAGATGAGGGAATGATTCAGGGAATAAAAGAGGAAATTAGCACAGACAGAAGGATTCAGACGAAAGAGTACATGCACAATAAAAGGGGAAATTGCAATGTTTATACAATCAGAATAAGATACGTGTGTGAGCAGGGACCTGAATTGATGGGAAATAGAGTCAGCAAAAAAAACACACAGTACAGCATAGTAAATGAAGTCCTTTTTCAGCAGTTTGTGCTCAAAAATGTTTGATATGACAAGAAATATTCTAATACACCTCGTCTAGGTCTAAGACACACACACACACACACACACACACACACACACACACACACACACACACACACCAGGTACAGAAAAATGCTGTCAGCCCAGCAAGGCATCACAAGAATCGCAACACATCCTGAATATAATCTCAGGTAAACTCAAGACAACTAAACAGAGGAATTTCAAACAGTGGAGACATCTGTGACTTTCTTTGTGATTCTGTGTACAGCTGAACAAAGTTTATCAAAATCACAATATGGCAAACTACATTTTTCAAATCGCAAGAGGCACAACATTTATTAAGAGTGAAATGTGTGTCAAATTACTACTCTAAATTAAATATTGACATACTGCAGAGATACCCTGGCCTATACATCATATTCTAGACTTGAGAAAACATTTTTGTTTGGTACAGATCCCAGCAAACATCATACCAATACCATATTAATATGTATTTTCAATGAAAAGTTAGAATAATGATGTAAAATTATCACTCTAACTGATTGCAAAAGATATCACAATATCTTTTTTTAAATCCTTCAACACTAAATCTGTCTATAATCTATCTATGTGTTATTGTCTTAAAAGCTGGAAAGGATGGCTCATCTGGTTATTCGATGGTAAAACATTCAGAATTTTGCTGAGCAAAGCTGGAGTACCAGTTACATGAGCTTAACACGGACTGATGATGCTCTTCAAACAAATGTACATCTGCAGTATTATTTTTTCACCATAGTTTTTTTCGCAGATGCCCTAATTTTTCAAAAGCAATTCACAAGCATAGACACACATTGCTGTTGACTTTACCTTTGCCACAGTGCTAGAAGGCTCTCTAATGTTGATTGCTTTTCTGTTGCCTTTCCCATAAACTCTCCCTGTTGCCTCTGGAGGTTAGCCACCTCTTCCTCCAGCTGGCTGCCCTCTCCAAGCCTCTTCATGGCTGAACACAAAGTCATCAGCCTGGGGTTCAGCTGCTCAACAGCCTGGCAGACCTCCTGGAGGAAACAGAGATGTACTTGTCATCAGCTCCGCAGAGGATGTTAAACCACAATGGCTACAAAGTCAATTCCTGCACATAAATCCTGCTAACAACATAACTGTTTTTCATTCAATTCAGCAGCTAGTGAAAATAACTGAAGTTGAAATTGTATTTTTTTTTTTTTTTTAAATTTTAGAAACGAGTCTTGCTTTTCTTTCAAGGCCAAAAGGAGACTGGTTGCCACCATCTTTTTTTAGAGGGTCTTTTATTGCCTTTATTATAGACAGCTGGAGAGTGACAGGAAAGGGCATAGAGTAAGAGGGGATGACATGCAGCAAAGGGCCGGGGGTCGGTTTCTGACCCATGCTGCTGCCAAGGACTCAGCCTACATGAGGCACACGCTCTATCAGGTGAGCCAGAGGTCGCCAATTGCAGCTGCCCTCATGTCTGTGCTGGACTATGGTGATGTTACATGCGTGCATGCATCATTACAATTCCTACACACGCTGGATACTGTCTACCACAGACCACTGAGATTTACTACATATATCAAAGCCCTTTCTCACCATTGCTTTCTGTATGCTTGGGTTGGACGGTCTGCCTTTTCCACCAGTAAACCCAACCACTGGCATATAAAGCTATTATTGGTCTGCCTCCTCCTTACCTTAGATCTATATCCTACAAATAGTGTTTGCTCTCAGAGCTTACTCACGCTAACAGTTCCTTAAGTCCATACCGAATTCCGAAAAAAAGTATTTGAGTACTGTATGCTGCTCCCTTGGCTTGCAATCAGTTGCAAAATTACCTAAATCTTCGGGGAGCTGGTCTCACTGGATGCATTCAAAGTGTTTCTAAATTACCTGGAAGCAGACATATTTTGCCTGTAATGTTTTGAATGATTGAAGGATGTTTTTTGATGTCTTCATCATTTTGATATCATTCCTGTAAGTTGTTTTTTGTTTTCATTTTTAATTGTTATGTATTATTTGTGCTGCTACCGGTCTTGGCCAGGACAATTGACAAGTCTGTTACTTCTGGTTAAACAAAGGTTAAATAAACTAATGATGTGAATAATTACAGATTATAGTATCAGTTAAATTAAGGCTTAACCTGAGAAATAATCAGGAAAAAAAAATGTTGATTTCTGTTATTTTACAGTGTAGGTATGAAAAAAACAAAAGGTACACCATCCAGATTTCTAAGGATTCAGTAATGTTCTAGTAAAGTAAATCAAATTTCATGCAAGTAATTCCATATAACAGTAGTGATATATGACTATAGGCACTCTTTGTGTTTGTTTTATTTTTACCATGTGATCCTGGAGGCTTTTGTAGGTCTCAGATGATGATGAACAGTATGTGACTGGACAGTCCAGCTTCTCTTTAAGGTCACTCATTGCTTTCTTGACCTGATAATGACCAAAAAAATCTCAAAATCATTTATTGTTAAATGTATATAACACACTGGCACTGCAAAGTCATAATTACAGTTTCTTTGTTGTCAAGTACCTGTTCAAGGTTATCATTGTATCTCTGCCAGTATGAGGCGCTCTGGTTGAGCTGTTCCCCCAGCTGCTCCACCCTCCCCTTCAACTCTTCCCAGTAGCGCCTCATCTGTGCAAGTCGTGCCCGGATACGTCCAGCCTCTCCAGGGGTCACAAAGCTCGACAGGGCCTCACAGTCCGCCTCCATGTGGGCAAGGGCTGCCCTTCTCTCTTCTAAATCCTCTGACATAGCCTGTAGGGATGCAACAGCAGGGGAATGCTAATCAGGAAAAAGTGTGAGATGGAAAAAATACAATAAACAAGACAGAACAAAATGCAGTAGCAGAATAAGACTTGATAACACGCTGTCGATTCTCTCTAGCTTCTTCATTGGCGTGACACAGACATTGTTATGTTTTATCTACTACAAGCTCCTTTATCTATCATAGAGAAAAGTTGTGTTGCTGCACGTTCGTGGAAAAATTCAAGCACAGAAATTGTGTAGGAAAAAAAAACTGACAGTGCTGTTTCTGGAGGCAAATGTTTTCAAACTCACAACTTATCAAATGGCTGCCGCAGGACTTCTTAAGTCCCGTTATCCCAAATATTTTTAGACATTTTTTTCTCTAGACTTCCGTGAGATTGACAAGGCTGAGGTCTGGCAAGCCAAGATTATATTTCCTTCAATATGATCAATTTATTTTCTATATGCTCGTCTCTGCTGCAGCTCTGACCCAATTTCCCCCTGGAGTTACATTAAAATTTAATCTTATTTCATCTTAATCTTAATAACCCTCGGGCCACGCTGATACTGTTCACTATAGGCACGAGGCCAGACAGCAATTTGAACTCATTTTACTTGGAGCTCCTAAAAAAATGTGTGGATGGTGCATATTTATTTGTGAATATCAGAAGGTGATTGAAGGAAAAAAAAATGCAGCTGTACACTGTGCAGTCAGTATCACAGCTCTTCCTAACTGGACAAGATGCAAACCTGCAAATATAAGATTGTTTCAGTTTTTCCCAATGAAGATATCCTGACCTGTTCTGTACATCAGTGAACAAGCTAAGCGGTGTGATGCTTGTTTGAAAAACCACTTGCCCTGGTTATATTTTTGCAAAGCTTCGTGCACTGCCAACCTACTTTCAAGCATTTCTTGGCTTGATCAGGGCTCAACAGGCCTCCTAATTGCTGGTGCTTATAGTGTATCTGGACATCTATTTGTGCTCTATCCACTAGAGTTCACTCGCTTGCTATAAGTTGGGAAGAGGGGTCAGGATAAAAGTCACGGCAAAGAATGCAGTTTTAAGAAAGAATCAGATACATGTCAGACCTCCACAGTGCTGATGTATTTGTCCAGAGGATCTAAGGAGGAGGTGGAGTTGACAGCCTCCAGCTCCGCCTCTTTCTCATTGATCCACAGAGAGAAGATCTCTGATTCACTGCTGAAACGCTCCCACCACATGCACATCATCTCCAGCTGGGCAACACTGGAAGACATGAGATAAGACGAGAACTGTTCTGAAAAATAAACTGTGTGCCTATCTGTATGTGGTGTAGAGATGAGAACAAACAAGCCCACACTGACATGAGTGCAAACAGAAGATCAAATCCCAGACAGTCACAGCACGTTGGTAAAATATTATCTTACTCTAATAATGTGCTTCACTTTTTTCAGACTTTCCCTTTCCCACTGTACAAACATTACAATGACAGATCTGCAATTTTGCTGTTTAAGAGGACTTATTATGCTCTTTCTGAGGTTTATTCTTGTACTTTAGGTTTCTACTGGAACATGTTTACGTGATTTTATGTTCAATAAACACTTAATTCTCCTTAAACTGTCTTTGCAGGAACACTTGTATTTACTCACTATCTGAGACACTGTTTTAGTGCCTGTCTTTTTAAGCCCTCCTCCCGTAAAAAGCCCAGTCTGCTCTGATTGGTCAGCATTTCCAATTCTTCGGTATCTTGGTGTCTCTGCACCATCATTGTAACCAGGGAATGACTGTAACAGAGTTTAGCAGTACTTTCTACTGTGAAAAATTAACAATAAGCCTCTAAAACAAAATCTTCACAACCGGACATGTTCCAGCAGAAACAACATCAGTAACCAAGATTACATGTTTCCCCAAGGGTAGCAAGTAGCTTCATGTAGCAGTGTAGGTCAGGTAATGTATAAAGTCTCAGTAGTATGTCTGGAGCAGATGACCATATAAAGAAATCCATGCGCTAATGTCAGCTTGTCTCAAAAGTGGAAAAAAACCATTGGAAACAAGGTATGTAGAATGGTCTGAAGCCTGAGGGTTTTGCTCACAGGAATTACTTTTACATACGTTTCCTTCATTATTTCAAACTTTGGGCACATGTAATAATAACATTCAACATTGCAACTTTATCCACAGTATATGAAACAAAAGAAGGAAAAGCATAATAGGTCTCCATAAAGTGAAGGTCCTCTTCACAAGCTATAAATAAATGACAAAGAATGCTGTTTAGCATAGTAAATAATGGCATCGTCACTTTATTTCTCCTCATCAAACCTGAAAATATGATTTTGTACGAAGGAAGTCACAGTATGACGATGGGACGTACTTCTTGTTGAGGTGGTCTTGCAGTTGTGTGACTGCTTCTGTAGTGGACTGAGCCTGCTGTAGAAGAAGAGTCTGATTCTTCGGACCAAGCTGAATGTCTGCTGCCTTCTCCAGGAGGAGTTCTGCTCGCACAGAATACTCCTCAACTTTTGTGAGGAGCTCCTACAGACAAGAAAAAAATCAATGTATCATATAAGCAAATACAGAGAACACACTACATGCAAGAACACACACACATGCTGTATGTACACACCTTGTTATGCTCCAGTTCAGTTTTCAGGCTATCCAGGCTGTTGAAAATAAGTTCTTTGTGCAGCTCATTGTTGGTATTACTGATAAACCTCCAGACTGCCTCTCTTTCTGCTTCAAAACTCTGCCAGGAGCTCAGAGTAGCCTTGAGATGATAGAAACAGCAAAATAATGTCAGTGGGTAGAGCTTCATACAGGCAATACTACATGTGAACACAGAGTTGATGGGTACAGTAGTGTTTCGTATCATTCAAAACAGTCCAGACCAAAATAGTCTTTGGTCTTAATTTAACTCTAGATCACTGCACAAAATTATAACAAGGAACATCAAAATGCACTGTCTATCTTCATCTTTTATCATCAGTCCCTCTATATGTAATTATTTGATACTGGTGTGATAGGGTCCATCTAGAGTGGATCTTTAACTTTCATTCACTCATAGTATAGACACCAGGACCTTTACCATTTACCCCTGATGTTTTAAAGCTTTGATTTAACATGTTTTACTGTGATTTTCCCTTTGAAAATGAACTTATGCACTCCTGGCATCTCCAGACATTTTCATGTAGAGGCATGTTGATTTTCTGATCAATCCAAGGACAGTGATAAAAGTGTGTACACAGCTCCCAAGACAACAGATACAAATAAAATTAACATTCCACATAACAATCAATATCTGGTTAAGTTTTAACATGGACCAATCAATCATCACTGCAGGAGCGTGTGCGGAAACTCACATGTGCAACCATTAGCACACTGACATATGAGAAAAATCCAGGCTCAGTCTACCTGCAGGTTGTGCTCCTTTGCCGCTGATTTGTGGTCGACTTCTCGGAAAGCTCCCTCCAGCTCCCGCAGGGACTGACTAAGCCCCTCCCCTTTCTGCAGCTGGCGGCAGTGGGCCACCAGAAGCTCTGCCTCCCTCCTGTTAGCATGCAAGCGCTTTAGGTGGTGCTAAAACAAACACATAGAAAAGAAAATAACATGTCAGACAGCAAATTTGGTTTTTGCAGCAAAATGACAACACAATATCTATTAAGTACATTGAGGTGGATTTTTTTAAAGGGGATCTATTGTGCTCATTTTCTGTACACAATGCAAGAACATGTTTACATGCTTTAATGTTCAAAAAACGCTGTCTCTTTAATCCCCCCTCCCAAAAAGCCCAGTGTGCTCTGACTGGTCAGCATTTTCTGGTCTTCCACATCTTGGCATCTCTGCACCATCATTGCAGCTGAGGGAATAACTGTCAAAGAGAATAGCAGCATGTTCCACGGTGAAAAATTGCAGTTTATAGCTTCTAAACACAACCTGCCAGAATTTAGGGCGAAATATACAGTACAGGCCAAAAGTTTGGAGACACCTTCTCATTCAACACGTTTTCTTTATTTTCATGACTATTTACATTGTAGATTCTCACTGAAGGCATCAAAACTATGAATGAACACATGTGGAGTTATGTACTTAACAAAAAAAGGTGAAATATCTGAAAACATGTTTTATATTCTAGTTTCTTCAAAATAGCCACCCTTTGCTCTGATTACTGCTTTGCACACTCTTGGCATTCTCTCCATGAGCTTCAAGAGGTAGTCACCTGAAATGGTTTTCCAACAGTCTTGAAGGAGTTCCCAGAGGTGTTTAGCACTTGTTGGCCCCTTTGCCTTCACTCTGCGGTCCAGCTCACCCCAAACCATCTGGATTGGGTTCAGGTCCGGTGACTGTGGAGGCCAGGTCATCTGCCGCAGCACTCCATCACTCTCCTTCTTGGTCAAATAGCCCTTACACAGCCACAATAAATGATCGTCCAACTAAACGCAAACCGGATGGGATGGCATGTCGCTGCAGGATGCTGTGGTAGCCATGCTGGTTCAGTGTGCCTTCAATTTTGAATAAATCCCCAACAGTGTCACCAGCAAAATACCCCCACACCATCACACCTCCTCCTCCATGCTTCACAGTGGGAACCAGGCATGTGGAATCCATCCGTTCACCTTTTCTGCGTCTCACAAAGACACGGCGGTTGGAACCAAAGATCTCAAATTGGGACTCATCAGACCAAAGCACAGATTTCCACTGGTCTAATGTCCATTCCTTGTGTTTCTTGGCCCAAACAAATCTCTTCTGCTTGTTGCCTCTCCTTAGCAGTGGTTTCCTAGCAGCTTTTTGACCATGAAGGCCTGATTCGCGCAGTCTCCTCTTAACAGTTGTTCTAGAGATGGGTCTGCTGCTAGAACTCTGTGTGGCATTCATCTGGTCTCTGATCTGAGCTGCTGTTAACTTGCCATTTCTGAGGCTGGTGACTCGGATGAACTTATCCTCAGAAGCAGAGGTGACTCTTGGTCTTCCTTTCCTGGGTCGGTCCTCATGTGTGCCAGTTTGGTTGTAGCGCTTGATGGTTTTTGCGACTCCACTTGGGGACACATTTAAAGTGTCTGCAATTTTCCGGACTGACTGACCTTCATTTCTTAAAGTAATGATGGCCACTCGTTTTTCTTTAGTTAGCTGATTGGTTCTTGCCATAATATGAATTTTAACAGTTGTCCAATAGGGCTGTCGGCTGTGTATTAACCTGACTTCTGCACAACACAACTGATGGTCCCAACCCCATTGATAAAGCAAGAAATTCCACTAATTAACCCTGATAAGGCACACCTGTGAAGTGGAAACCATTTCAGGTGACTACCTCTTGAAGCTCATCGTGAGAATGCCAAGAGTGTGCAAAGCAGTAATCAGAGCAAAGGGTGGCTATTTTGAAGAAACTAGAATATAAAACATGTTTTCAGTTATTTCACCTTTTTTTGTTAAGTACATAACTCCAGATGTGTTCATTCATAGTTTTGATGCCTTCAGTGAGAATCTACAATGTAAATTGTCATGAAAATAAAGAAAACGCATTGAATGAGAAGGTGTGTCCAAACTTTTGGCCTGTACTGTATATTGGTAACCAAGATTACCGTCTTTCCCTGATATAAGCATGTGGCTTTATGTAACAGTGTAGGCTACATAATGAAAACATTTGCAGTAGTGTACCTGGAGCAGACAACCATATTAAGAAATACGGCATACTATAGCCAAAGTAGAGAACTACAATTTTAAATCTACTAAAATTAAAATCAGTTTATCGTTTAGTCAAACTGGACGTTTGTGCCAAATATGAAGAAATTCCCTCAAGGCATTCTTGAGATATTAAGTTCATGAAAGTGGGTATAGAGAAGGATGGATGAACAACATGAAAAGATAATGCCTGTGACCACGGCCACAGTCGCCGGTGCAGAGAAGTAAAAATGTTTATCTCATTATTTGAAACTTTGTCATGTTTAATATGAACATCTGACAGTGTAACATTATATGACAGAAATTAAGAAAAGGCACAATAGGTCCCCTTTAACACTATCCTTCTCTCTTCTAGATGCATTTTTTAGCCTGTTTGACCCCTGATCCAGAAGTGTGCTTTGTAGCACTTCTATCCACATCTTATAGTGATGTCACAGAGTTCCTGAGTACACATTAACATCACTGTAGCAAGGTAATAAGTTAAACCACTGAATGTAAGCAAAACTAAGACTTATTGAGGCTGTTAAGTTACTCTCAAGTTACTCAAGTTGTGAGAAAAATAAATCCTAAATATTTTCTGAGATGTCTTCATTTTTCTCTTTATCACTTAAACCAGATGTAATTTAAACTCAAATTATTAGTTTCCTCTTTGACATAAAACTGCTCAAAAGACACTGAAAGAGGCTGCTAAATTGTTCTAATTTGAACACACTTTGGCGTCAGTGCTTGTATTTCATCAGCTAATTTCAGAGTCATCTGTTGTATTCTTCTGATGGAAGCTTCTGTTAATCACTGTCCAGGTTAACATCACCAATTTCCTTCCTCTGAGCTACACACACCTGGTGAATAAGGTAAAGTTGTTTGGCCTCCTCCAGGCCCTCAGCATCCAGGATCCTGCCGGTCTGCTCCTCAGCCTCTCTCCGCACTCTGAGAACCTCGTCCAGTGTCCCACGCACCTCCTCCCTCAGCTCCTCGTACTGGAACATAGCAGAGCCCTCCTCACCCCACTGTGAATGAGGGAGGAAAAGGATCAGACAGGAATATTTTGTTAGGAGAACAGAGACATTTGTAGCTTTTGGAATATCCTACAATACCTGACAGAGTGAAGAAAAGAGTGCCCGCAGGTCAGTTGAGAGTTTGGCCAGAGCTGTTCTCTGTCTCTGGACCTCCAGTTCAGAGCTGACTTCAGACAGCCCAGCAAGACGGCTCTTCAGCCACAGCAGACTCTCCTCTCGGGCATCTACTGCTTCCTGCAGTGCCTAAAAATGGTGGGAGCAAAAGGGAATGCGGGTTTACTGAGGCTGAGTGGTATTGATTCAGTGCCTAATCTCTGAGCCTACAGCAGCAAATATAATGTGCTGCTAACTCACCTGAACAGCAGCATCAACTTGCTCCTGGTGGCCCGAATTTCTTGCCGTCTCTCTCAAAAGCCTCACCTGCCTCCTCTGAGATGAAAGCCAATCAGAAAGCTCACAGAACCTAGAAAAAGAAGAAGCTACTTTGAACCCCTTCAGTGATGAAAATGTCAGACTCTAAGGAGTTGGAGTTACTGTGAGGACTTTAAATTTTTGTCCACCTTTACCTCTCATTCCACTCTTTCCATTTATCAGGGTGATGCTCCAGTTTGAGGTGGGTGCTTTTGATTTGCTCCGTAACCTCCTCTACAGCCCTCCTGGTGGAATCTAGCGTTCGATAAGCCGGGTCGTTGTCAGGCAACTTATGACACAGATCCTCCATGTTTCTAATCCTCTTCTCACACAAAGTCAGAGGTTTGCGTTCCCTGAAAAAAGTCTGGAGATAAGGGAGAAGGGAATGTTGAATTAAGGAGGCGCCAGTATGATGATGAAGATGACGTTAAGTGATTTTATCTTTCTTTTACTCTCACTCCTGGTTTAATCTGTTTAAAATTTCTACTAAATCCAAGGCTCACTCTGTGCTCTTTGATCACTCGCTCACTGGTACAGGTGCCAGACAGGGCTTGCGTTTCTCTGTCCAGCTCTGCTCTGATGTCTTGTATAATCACATCCACTCGACTACGCTCCACCTCCACTTTAAGACGGAGCAGGTGAGACGGTATCTCACCCTGGATGTCCTGTGGAAAAGACAGAGAAGACACAGAGCACAGGAGACAAGGCTGATAAGATGTGCAGTATAATACACATGTGTTACAGTTTCATATTGTATCATCCCCAAACTGTCAAAGACAAAACATCATCTAAAGAGAATGCAAGTAAACACTGAGAGGGTTGCATTTTAATCTAACTAGTACAGGTTAATTGGAAACAGACTGAAGGGAACTCTATCAATTCAAAGGTCTTCCTGGTTATGTTAATGAAGTATCTGCTAAGTGCCTCCAGAGATATACAGTAATTAGTGAGAGTGTTAAAGCACGGTGACCCCTGACCTTCCAGTGTTTGTGTAGCCTGCGGACAGTTTCTTGCAGCCCCTGTTGCTCCTCCTGTGGCAGGATGTCAGTCAGCTCATCGCACGCCTTCAGGAACACGCTCAGCAACCGCTGGTCCAGTTGGCCAAAAAAATCCTGTGCAGAAAAAAATACATGTGATGGGACAGAGAGAGTAACACATCTTGAGTATATATCATTTTATCTCTTTTGGTTGTGGACAAAAAAGACTGGCCCATACTAAAAGATCTTTTAAATGTTAAAGGATGTTAAAAATATGAGACCACACACATAGAGACATGTTATAGCTGGTACAATAGCAGATCTTTACTACATAATTATCATGGCCAAAAGAGTTCATTATAATGATAATATAAGATCCAGTGAAAATTTGAAGAAAAATAATGCTATCAGTCAAATTCATCTTTAACTTTGTTTATGATGTGTTTTTCTTTTCTTTTTTGGCAAATGAATAACGCTCAGAATAAAGTGTAAGGAGGTGGAGACAGAGTCTGTTACCATTACTGTACAAAATCATACAAAAAGAGCAATTACACTTAATGGATGCTAAAAGGCCGACCAGATGGCATTTGGGGAGGGTGACAAAGTGAGAACGGAAAGAAATACATATGATTTAAAAGGTGAAGGATTTTTTTATACATTATTATCATCATATGTATATTATTAACATGATATCAATATTTAGTTTTTAAATATCACGGTTATTGTTAATACTGGTGTGATGTGACATATAATGATACATTTAACATTTTGTTCTTGTACCTTGTGGAAACAATGATTGGGCCATGACAGTATACCTCACACTAATGAATTCCATTCATGAACAACCACAACAATCTTGCCATTCTGCACGATCAAACGTAACTTCAGAGTAAACAAACATGGTGGACAATGGGCGGTAAGAATCAGCAGTTCGTTTTTGCACTCATTTTTACAGAAAATCTACGAAGCACACAGAAAGAAATATCGATGAAATCATGAAGACGGTGTGAACATTGACTGTACTGTACATGTTTTACATAGACTGCTTAATTCTTTTTTTCATAGTGACATCACCCATTGGTTTGTAAGCCGCCTTTATGGAGGCTCAAGCTCAGCTTTTCAGCCGCCATCTTGGTTTTTTGGGGCAAGAAGTGACCATATTTAGAAAAGAGGGTGGAATGGAGCGGAGCAAGGGGTGGATCTAATTTAAAGACTGTAACGATGCCTGTCACTCAGAGCAGCCCTGCCCTCAAATATGCATTAATTTGGGCCTGAATAGAATATCAAAAGGTGAGTTATATAAAAATTTAACCCTTGTACAGTTGTCATGAATGTTAAAATTAGCTATAGAGACCAAAACCAATTTTGCAGCAGGCTGTAAACATGTTTATTTCTGCAGTAAAGATGTGCATTTTAACATGGGGGTCTATGGGGACTGACTTTGTTTTGCAGCCAGCCTCAAGTGGCCAAACACGAAACTGCAATTTTTGGCACCTCTTTGTTGGTTTCATTTTTCAGTCTTGGAGATAGCCACTTGATTTACAGTGCAGGCTGGAGGTCATTCCTATTTGATATTGCATAAAAAATAACCCAAAATAAATATCAGATCATAAATATTGATCATGGTCGCTACTTATGATCTGAAATTGGTGTAGCCAGGATAGACTTCCAGGCAGATCAGGGGATGTAAAAAAAACTCATAACAACCCCATAACCCAGAAAAATCAGGCAAGAACTGTCAAAAAACATGGTTTTGCTGACGACTGACAGGGAATCTGGCCCAAAATCAGCTTGATTCTCACACTGTGTGTACCTGGCATTACAGGTGTATTTTGAGTGCTGTTTTGCTGCTGTGTATAAACGGTTTGTCTTTGTGGAAAAGAGAAAACTTAACAGCCAGTATTCTTTTCTTCAGCTACACTGTACTCTTCATGTACGTCCTCTATTTACAGCAGAAAGTTACAGGTTTGATCTTACACTGTGTTTCTTCAGTAATTCCTCGGCATCTCCAGTCTCTCTCAAGCAACCCTGAGCTTTCTTCAGCACTCTCTCCAGCTCCTGTCTCGATTCTTCAAACCTCCTCCTTAGGCAGTTGTTGGCCTCTTCCTGCCTTCTCCATTCCCCAACCTCCTTCAGCAAAGCCTGAGAGGACAGACAGTAGGTAGTGGTGATTGTAATTGGTCTCTTTGGTAATATGGTGTAATTACATTATTTGTTTTATGTCAAGCAAATGAATAGCGAGACACATGAGCAAGTCTAATCTGCATTGCTGCCTCCTGGGTGTTTTGATGTTCTTGTAATCTCATTAATATAATCAGCGTTGTGGGTAATGTTGCATCTGTGTGGCATTCTGGTATGTGTGCGTACACATGTATGTTTAACACTAACCTGCGCAGAGCCCTGTATTTCAGCCACTCTCTTCTGCAGCAGGGACAGGTCGAAGTTTCGGAGCACCTTACTGGTGGAGAGTGTCCTCTGCAGGGTGTGGTGATTCCTCTCAATCACTGACAGACAGCGTTTACAGCTTTGCTGCTGGTTTAACAAATCCTGAGGAAATTGTGGAAACAACACAGATGAATAATGAAGTGTGTTAAAAATGGTGCATTCAGATATTTCCACACTTCTACAACAGCAATTCCCTTCCCATCAGACAACCTGAATTACAGCCTTGCAGTTGTATGCCTCTGTCAACCAGTCAAGTTGTAGTTAACATCCATGTAGCCATGACAGTTGACGATGCAAAGAAGCTATATATTCTAAAATATGGATGAATGCTTCACACACATCTTCAACTAGGCAGCACAGAAGAGCTATATAGTCAACATATTTTCAAGGTGGGCACCCAAGATGAGTGTCACCAACACAGAATCTGACCCTTCTGTTCCTGAGATGTGGCACTGAATAATGGACAGAAAAGTGTTTTTGCTTAACATTATGATGTAACAGTGAAGTTGACCTTATAAATGTATAAAATGTCATCACTTCTTCCATTTAGACATTTGTGTGAAGTTCAGTCCGTTCACTGTGATCATAGCCTACCTGCCACTTCTGTTTTTGCTGGGTCTGGGTCTGTGTGTCTGGGTCTCTGGCAGCAGAAGTGATGCGACTGGCTCGCTCCAGGGCTTGGTAAAAAGCAGTGATGTGTTTCTCCATCTCCTCCAACAGTGGCAGAAGAACATGACACTCCCTCACAAGGGAGGGACACCGTTCTCTCACCTGAAAATGGTTAATAAAGGCTGTTAAATAGTGATATGAAAATGTGTGATTAGGTTATAAAAAAGTCTCACCAAAGAGGGAAGGTAAGTGTGTTGAGATGTGTGTGATAGATTTCATTCTACTTCTCATGTTTTGGCCTTAAATGATACCTACCTTACTCAGCTGACTTTTGGCTGTTGCCATAGCTGCCATGACCCTGGCAGCCTCATCCTGTAGAGCATCCTTGGCGAGGAGCTGAGCACTGCGGGCAGCCAACTTGTATTGTGTCTCCATGGCAACAACCTTTTGCTTGGTATTCTGAGATGAGACGTGGAGGCAAAGGGTCATCTTAGACATCCTTAAATTGAATGCACTTTCTTCAAAACTGCTTTTGAAAGATAAGGTCTTTTGCAGCTCTGACTTCAAACAATAAGTGACATAAAGCTTTTAGTAACTCTTTACTAAGAGCTCCCAATAAGCTTTGAGTTTGACTTGTAGTCTGGCAAATTGAGAAACAAACAGTGGGATCATCACACTCAAACTTTTCTTCAGTTTCTGGTCAGTTTCTGGTCTGATTGATCAGAGCTAATAAGATCAAACTGATGGATTAGAGGAGCGGCTGCTGCAGAGGCAAGAAAACGTTCTTTTGTTGGTTAGACCCTGGACTGTAGCATGCACGGTTTCCAGCTAAGTTTCACTTTCACTGTGCTCGGTGTTCTGAATGCAGCAGCAAATGCTGATATTTCGGCTGTGCACCACAAAAAAATGAATGTGTAGGAAACCCTGTGCATTATTAAGCTATTGTGATCTTAAAGGTATGCAGGATTTTCCCCCAAAGAACATGTACATACTCATTCAAAAGAAATCCCACTCAGTCACCACTTAGGACCCACTAGTAATGTGTGGTGGTGCAGAGCCTCTGCCCTCTGCCTGTATTTTCTTTTGGTCTTCTTAGTTTGCTGTGGTCGGGATGTTCATGGGCAAAATGTCCAGGTGAGGCTGGGACTTTATTAAAGGTAGCAACCAGGTGTCAGACTGTAAGCAGCATCCAATCCGAGACGAAGCTATGAAATCCGTGGACTGAGGCGAAATGACAAGCAGACAAAGCTGTGTCCAAAATGAGAGTGAATCTGGGGTTGGCTTTCACATTCACATTTGCTGGCAAGCGTGTTTACAAACAGTAACTGACATTCCTGCATGCACTAGTATACCTTTGGCATATGATAGAAAAGTTTGCTTTCCTCACCTCCACGTCCTGCAGAAAGGATCTAACGCTGAGGAAAGACACCTGGACAGGAACATTAAGCTTGGCCTCTGCTGTGTCCAGCAGCTCTTTCAAGGCCGTCACAGCCTTTAGGTGGTCTCTTCTCCACTTCTCCAGCTCATCTGCATGGGCATACTGCAATGAGGGACAGACAATATAAACTTTAGGATCAAGGTTCCCATGCATTTTTATGGGTAATATTTCAAAAGGTTTCCATAGCTTTTCAAGGACCCATAATATTTTTTTTTTCCTCGCCCCACTTGCCAGGCGTTTTTCAACTAACCAGATTCAAACTCTATTCAAACAGAATTTCAGCCAGCAGACAAACATGAAGAGAGAGACACGAAGAAAATAAAGACATGAATGTAGTGGTGAGCAAAACGTTTTCACACATCGACATATAGAGCTACATTACTGCGACAAATACAAAAAAATAAATTTGCCGTTATGTTACATTACATGGAAGGTGATCCATGGAAGGTTACAGTGAAATTTTTTGTTACACACAGCTAAATGAATTGACTTTCAGTGATTTTTACTAATTTCATTACTTTTCCAGACATAGAAATTGTGAATATGAAATTCCATGACTTTTCCAGGTTTTCCATGACCCTGGGAACCCTGTAGGATTTATTTTATCAAAAGACGTACCTTTCTCAGGCTTGGGTCGAACAGTACCATTTATTCAAAATAAAAATAAAAGTCAAACACCTTAATTTTGTGACCAAGAAAACCCCATTAATTCTCCTAGAAATACAATTTAATCAAGCTCTGGCTTTTCTCTGACATTCAGCATTATTGGTTGTATTTGTATTTTGTGTTTTTATTTTTATTACTTGTTTGACTTTGAGGAAGAGGTCTCTCCATCGTCCATTCAAAAGAAGTAGCTGCTGCTTGAGATCAAGCGACACAGTCTCATCACACGTCTCAATGAGAAAATTCCCTGCGTCGTTCATGGCTGCATGCTGATCCATCCAGTGGCTGAGGATCCTGAAAAACTCCTGGATAAGAGACAGACTCATTAAAAGAGACAGAAAGAAACACAGACAAGGAAATTGAGAGAAACAAAGAACAACACAAAGAACAAGTTTCAAAGAAAGAAACAAAGAAAGCTAATCATAAAAGAGACAAAGAAGTGGTTCATAGAGAGAAACAAAGAACGGACAATAAAAAACTGGGGTAATTAGCTGTCTAATCCTTGGTGGGGATGTGAATCTGAGGTAACCATGGCAATGCGACAACTCGAATATCCTTAGTGGCTTGTTGTAAGTCAAGGAGATCATTTGATACTTGAGTGGAGACTGCTAATAGGATTCCACTTAGAAGACCAAATGCTTGAAATTGGGCTGCCGTGGATTTGATTGCTACTACTCAGGCATTTGAGTCCATCAAATAAATGCATGTATGAAGGACGGGACTCTTAATCTGTGTGCAAAAAAAACACATCCTTGAAGTGTATGGTGGGGTTTCCTACGATATTAAGACTCAAGATTGTACCCGTTTTGTGTTTTCCGGCTGGCTCAGAGCTTCCTCTGCATCCTCCAGCCAGGCCTGTAAGGAGGCCACAGTGGAGCTGTACCTCTCCCAGTTGGACAGCACCTCCTCCAGCATACTCCTCACACTGCGCACTTCCATGGACAGACTCCTCCACTGGGTCACCACCTCTCGCATGAACCTGCGCACACCCATCTCGCCCTCGTCCGCTGGAGGAGAGATAAATCAACAATAACAACATCAACAATGATAGCAACAGCTATACTTGTACTACCAGCTAGAGTTGTACAGAGACATCATTATCTGTACCTGTTCAACCAACAAAGTTATCCGTCTCTGTGGTCTCTGTATCTGTATTCACTGGCAATGCAACTGTTGTGCCTTCAAAGCATCAAATTAATTTAGTACTGACATATAATTAATTATGAAATATTTTTCCACATCCTCATACTGTACTTTTCATCTCACTCTCTATAATTTAATAAATTATATTAGTTTTTATTTATTAATAATATCCATTTTCAAAGTTTTTCTTATTTATTTCAGGAGACTTTAATTCAATAATCTCACATTTATTTATTTTCAGACTAAAACAATGATTGAATTGCTTGTCAGCTTATTTGGATTTTGTCTGGGGTTTCAGTAAAACTGTGCATTATGACTCAACAAAATTTTTCTCTTTAGAATTAAAAGTTGTCTTCATGGGCAATAAAACCCACTCATGCTCAGTCCAATACACTCAGGGGTTTTACGCCCACAGCCTTACTTGTTCTGATTTAACAAGTGGCACTAGGCTAATGTTAGCTAATGCTAAGATGGGTATGGTTGACCGTCTAGAATGTCTGACCTTGACTATACTAACCTGTGCATAGTTTGTCACTAGAGAGGTGTTGTCACATTCCTCTACAAAAGGGGGTGATGTCTGGGTGGTTCCCTAAAATCTAAGATTCAAAAGTATGGCGGCGAGTTAGATTAGGTACTTCACTAATACAAAAGCCTATCACTGTCTAATACAGGAAATACATATCAATGGGGAACAGACTTCAACACAACACAGGCAAAAACCCTGAAACCTCCAGCAAAGAACAGACTTGCCACAATCGAGAGCAGAGTTCGCATTAGCATGGTGAAAGTTTTGACAGTGAACATGGTAGATTCTTAAGTTTTTGGATGTTAATTGGACCCTGGAGCTTCCTTCCAATGTTTGCCACAAATCCCATTGTGGCAGATATTGGTGTACATTTCACAACCACTGACACAGTGCCAGCCACTGCCAGTTAGCCTACAAGCTAACATACAACATAAATATAAGCTACTGATGAAACCTAATTCTGATACATCTGCTAGTTTGCGATTTTGGTGCACAACACACTCCTCATCCTGTCTGGGTCTCACTGAGGCTCAAACATGATGTTTCCTTTGACGCCAACACTAGCTATCTTGATGCACACTGCTCTTTTCACTGGTCAACCTGGTGCTAGTTGCGCTGCACCAGTGCTGGAAAGTGGAAAGCAAAACCTAGCGCAAGGAGCAATTGATGGCAGGTTGGAGGCTAGATCCAGAATTTTTCATTGAGGGAGAACGCATAGATCTGCTTCCACCCACTTTCAATTTTTTTTTCTATATCTATGAGGAAAAAACATCCAACGATGAATCATCTGTAATCGCTTAACTTATCTGGGGGCAATGTCTATCCCAGCTGATATTGGGCTGGAGGCGGGGTACGCCCTGACAGACAACCATTCGCGCTCATATTCAGGAGACAATACTAACCACTGCACCACTGTGCCACCCCATGTTACACAAAATTTGAATCATACTAGAGTATTTTTATCCACTTTAAAACATGTCTGGAGGGGAACTTCAAGTCAGTTTGATAACTTGTGGACTCTTCCTGACATTGTTAATCTTAAACTACGTTTTTGCATGTACATACTGCTAATTGTCACTTGTGACAGCTATTCAGCAAAGGTTACATAGCCTTGCATTTAGGCACAGGACATACAGTATGGTACACGTATTCATAGAAATGCCAGACACAGAGCACATAAAGCCTGATGGAGCTACGTGCCTTTGTAGACAAGTCTCTGACCTAAAAAACTCTCACTACAGGGAGATGTATTATGTTTGCTTGTGTGTTCCACTTCATTGGTACTAACGCTCAGGTCTCACAAGTCCTGTACCACAAACTATTGTCAGCCAGTGTGGGGCTGATAAATGACTCCATATCCAGTTTCAAATACACATTAATCAGACAGTGCTATGCCTTGAAATAGTAGATCATTACGCATCAATCTCTTTATTCTCCTGCTGTGCCTCTATTCGCTATAACCTCAAACTGGGCCTTTAAAAAGATCCAAATGATCTCTCATCCAGCCAATCAGAGCAGAGGCAGCTAACTACCAGCTAGGCTCATGCGGTAATTGCGGTGGTGGGGGGCACTTCATTTGTGGGGTTGACCAATCAAGCCTCAGATGTCCTGATTTCTCGCCATACCTCACTCCTCCGCTCCACATACCCTAGAGCAGCACAACCCTGAAACTTAATGAAACCAACAAGCTAGCTCAGTTTGCGCCCAGAGACCTGCAGAAGTGGAGCAGCCCTTAACTAGCAAATGGGGTCGTATTCCCCACTGAGAGCTGGGAGTGGAGGAACCTCATTTAGCTGTAGCCTGCAGACTCTCCCCTTCTACCAAGCTGTAAAACCAGACAGGGCAGACTGTGCTGCTGGAAGAGAAAGCCTCATTGGTTATCGAGTTGTTGACGAGAGAGAATAAACTTGAGATATGTGTACAGTGCTGAGAAATTGAGTGCCACACAATTTCAGATAAAAGCAAAATCAAAAGGGCAAGAATGCAATTAGGTTTTAGTGACATAACAACTGTGAGATGATATACATTTATGAACAATTAGAGATTCTGCCGTAACATTTCTACTGAGATATTGATCCCTGTAATATCTCTACTAGCATTAAACCAGGGGTGTCAAACTCATTTCAGGTCATGGGCCACATAAAGCTTGATTCGATCTCAAGTAGGCCAGACCAGTGAAACCATTGCATAATAACCTATAAATAACAACAACCCCAATTTTTTTATGTGAGAGAACTGTATTCCGGTCATGGTGGACCATTTTACATGAAGTAGGCTACACACTGTAACTCACTCCTGAAACCTGACACCTCTTAGCCTTCACAAGTGCATCCACATTAGGTTTGTAAAATCATGAAGTGGCTGGATTGGACCCTTTGGTGGGTGGGTGACTTCTCACCTGAGCTGTCAGCACTGACATAGGCCTCAGCCGACTGTTTCAACGATCGGAACAATGCCTCGTAATTTTCAAAGAAATGATGCTTCTCCACAAACAACTAATGAAGACAGAAACAAACAGGAAATTATTATAACATGTGAGGAGACATTGCAGACAGCACCATTATAATGGATCTACAGAAATAAAACTAGTAGTCATACACTATGCAGCAGGAATTATTTTATAACCATATGACTTTTATTCAATAATGTCCAATAATAAAAAAAAAATATGGGCAAAATATTTTCATCTGCATAGGAACCCTAAAGATCTAGTTAATACTTCAGCACATCAACTACTGAGTGAATCAAAGCCTGAGCTTACAACATAATTGTGTAGCATCAGTTCCACAGATTCTTGTCGGCCGTATTTTATGATCCAGGATTTGAGCTTCGACTCGGCGAGAGTGAGAAAGGCCTGCATGTGATGTTTGTTCTCCAAGAACTCCATTCTAGACAAGTGGATGCTAGAAGATGTGGAGACAAAGTTCATCCTGAAAAAAGGCAAAGTTTACAAACGATATCAGACCTACAGCTTGACCCTCACATTCTGCTTCTTCTCTGAAAAGCAGAATGTGAAATCATGCCAAGTGAGGCAGTTAATATCAGACACTCAAGAGAGATTGGCAGCTTCTTTATTACCTCTCAGCCATGTCTTGGAGCTGGTCTGGGGGAACAGGGACTCCATCAACACTTCTGTCTTTATGGATTCTCTGAAAGACCTGCTGGTGACTTTCCAGGCTCTTCAACACATCCTGCACAGTGTAAAAACACAAACAAACAAATTCTTTTAGACTGAACAAAAAATAAGTGTCTGATCAGAACATTTCACAACAAATGAAAAGAATCCTTTATTGCCCAGTTTACTGCTCTTACTACTGAATTTATTTTTGACTAAAATATGAACTGAACAATGACGCCACTCTGTCCAGCGCCTTTTTTTTCTGCTATTTGCCTCTCCTGTCCATGGCTCTGTGCCAACCTTGTGCTGCTCCAGAGCCCTGTGGACAGTGTTAGCTGTCACATCGTGTGCCTGATGGACGATGATCTCTTGTCGCAGAGCTCCTTCAGCCTCATGCAGCCACGCCCCCACTTTGTCCAGAGGAGCAGGCAGAGACCTGTCCAGCTGCAGATGCCAGTCCAGAAGCTGAAATAAGGAAAACAATCGAGGAGACAAACAGAGACACGCTATGAGCAGACTGTGATTGTCCAGCTCACTGCATGGCACAACAAAAAGCAATTATAAATCACCTTACAGCTCCAATTAAAGCTCAAAATTGAAAACACATCACGGATGAAACAATAACAATGAAAACTGACACACTGACAATATAGACTGTAAAGCCCATTTATATGGATTGCTTTTGCTATAGTTTGTGTCTTAATTGAATCAAGCTAAATTATCAATAACTGGGAGACAAAATGCCATCAACCAATTAACTACCTGAGTCACCTATGTTTTTTCATAACAATGCACAGAGCTCAAAATCCTGATTGCATTAACAACCCCAACTGTACACTGTACTAGGTTGTCAATGACTATGTTTACATGCACAAAAAATTCAGGGTTTTTGCCCTTATTTCCAAAAAGACAATATCCCTACTGAGCTGTTTAAATAGCTAATGAAAATAAATATTCCACTAATATTCCCTTTCACATGCAGCCGTGCATAGTCTGATTAATGTGCTCTGACATGTTGTTTATCATGTCAAAATATGGAAAAGTGGGACGGCTGGAGCTGCTTGTGCCATTTTGCTTCTTCGTATCAAAATAGGCTTCTTTAACAGTTTTCTACCAGTGTGAATGTGCGAACGTAGCCGTTCAACCACCTTCTTGAAAAGGTCGGTGTTTTGATGTTTGTGCATATAAAAATAAACCTGTTGATAACCAGGTCATTCATAATGTTGAAAAGTAGGTGTGTTTCACCTTCCATGTATCTTTAATGCAGCTACAACACATCCATGACAAAACACAGAGTTCACCAAAACCAGGCAAGAGACTGTGCATTGCAAACTGCAGTAAAAAACCCAAGTAAGAAGTTTATTCCAAACACACTGTATACATGTCCAATGAATGATCCTAAAACCTGAATAATATGGGCTTATCACACGTCTTAATCGGAAAATGCTGCATTCGGAATAAGGCCTAATTCAGAATATCCAAACGGCTGTTTACATGACCCATATCATATACGGGGGGCGGCAGTAGCTCAGTCCACAGGGACTTGGGTTGGGAACCAGAGGGTCACCTGTTCAAGTCCCCGTCCGGACCAAAATATGGAGCGTGGACTGGTAGCTGGAGAGGTGCCACCTCACCTCCTGGGTGGTGCCCTAGAGCAAGGCACTGAACCCCCCATCTCTCATCTCTCCACTCAGTGCATGTATAGGTCCTGTTTGTGCATGTGTGTGTTGAAAAAAAAATTGAATTTCCCCTTGGGGATTAATAAAGTATA